TCAATGGCGCCGTTGATCTGACTACAGTCGACTTGGAGAACATCTACAACAAAATCGTCGAGATTGGCGTCCGAAAAATTACTGTTTACCCCGATGAGAAGATCAAGCCCCCGATGGGTAAGGGTCTGAACGTCGTCTCTACCCTTCGCATTGAGAACTCCTGGCCTCGTGGCCGTGATCGAAAGTCCCCGCTTCCCATCACCAGCGGACCCCTGTTTGATAAGCACATTGACCGTCTTCAGAAGGTACACGATACCGAGTTTGTCGACTACGATCACGCGACTGGCACCTGGATCTTCAAGGTTCCTCACTTTACTACTTATGGTTTGGACTACGATGAAGATGAAGAAGGTGAGAGTCTCGACCAGAGCACCCTTGGGGCAGGTCCTGATGACAACCGCACTCCTAAGGCCCAGCCGGACCACCCAGCCAGCTTTGAGCAGTCCGCAACCTTCTCCATCGACGAGTCTTTCGTTGGCTCCATGGCTGGCATCGACGATGATACCTTCGACTTCAAGAAGCGCAAGCTCGTTCCTGGCTCCTTTGGCCAAGCCATGGAGATGGAAGATGAGGAGATGGGATCTGAGGGCGAGACCGAGTCTTTTTTAGAGGAAGGCTCCACGGGTTCAACTACTGAGCATGAAGATGATGTCACCGAGAGCCAGCGCTCTGGAGACTCCGTAGTTGGATCTGATGAAGATCAGGAGATGGACATGGCGGGTTCCTTTCCACACCTTCATCATACCGTGGAGCGGGAAGACTCCCAGAGCACCGACGGTGAACTGGACACCACCCACCCAATCAGGCGCTTTGGCACACCTCCCAAGCCCCGCCTCGACCTTACTGGCGACTGGGCGGAGCAGCTTCAGCGCACCATTAGCCCTCGCAAACAAAACCGCGATGCTTTGCGGGAAATCCAGGCCAATGCCTTTGCCGACCGATCTCTCTTGAATGACACCTCGCCAGAAGCGAAATCGAATGGATCACCCAAGAAGGGGTTCACGAACAGTATCGACTTGATGAACTCGCTCTTCCAGCAACCGCGCAAACAGAACGCCCCTTCACCGCTGAAACCTTCCAAGGTCCAGCCCAAAGGCTTCGAGGTTCGCATTCCCTTTCCTGTTTGTATTTGATTTCTATCTTTTACCCATTCCATCTTGTCTATTTTTCCGCACTTTAGCACCACCCCCTGTTTATCCTTTGATCATGTAACTAGGCTTCAATTCGCTTGCACATCCCATCCAGATAGTTTACTAAATTGAGAATACTCTGAGCTAAATTTTTTCCCTCTTTCCAGTGGCCCTACAACAAACAACCCAAAACCTTCGCCGGCGACGAGGCCCAGATGAGCCAAAAGGACGCCGCTTTCCACGATTCGTTCAAGCCTCGCTGGGGTCCCATGGACTCTATCGTCTGCGCCAAAGATGACGTGGCGGAGCCGATTTCTGGTGTCAACAACCGCTGGCAAGAACGTCTCTCTGTCTTCAGTGAGGGAAGGGATATTGCGGTTTTCAAATACCATCAGACTGGCGAGGTATGTAGATTCGATTTGTCTGTATTCATCCAACGCATCACTAACCCTCTACTAGTCGCAAGATATGCTCAATGTCCAAAAGCAACAGTCCACCGTCGAGCGCATTGACGGAACTCCATTCATTCGCCTTCCCAAGGTTGACATGCGCGAGTTTGCCTTTGCGCATTCCAAAGAAGAGGAAAGACTGGTGTGGCAGCTAGCCAACATTCTATTCAACGACAACATCGACGATGATATCTCTGCGGGTGTGCCAGCCCAGCTGCGACCCCAATTCGTGCATCGCATCAAGAAGGACCGTTTGACTCGTCTGTGGGAGAGTATCATCCGTGAAAAGCATACGCAAACTCTGGAGCTGATTCGTTCGGCTGAGGAGCGTGCTGTCCACCTCCTTTGTGCTCACCGGATTGAGGAGGCTTGTAAGACTCTTATCGACAGCAATAACCTTCACCTTGCTACACTTGTTGCTCAGATCGGCCGCGACGCTACCTCTCGGGCCGAACTGACGGACCAGATCGAGGTCTGGCGTCAGAACAACGTGCTCTCTGAAATGAGCGAGCCTCTACGCGCCCTTTACGAGCTTGTTTCGGGCAATGGCCTTCGCAGTGAAGGTAAGACTGGCGGTGCTCTGGAAGATCGGGCCTCCACCTTCCTTCTCACCGAGCGCTTTGATCTGGATTGGTTCCAGGCTTTTGGCCTCCGCCTTTGGTATGGTACCACCGAAGATGAGCCGATCGAGGCTGCCGTGTCTCAATTCTTGAACGATCTGGAACTGGGATCCGAGCCTGCTTTCCCTCACCCTTCGCACGAAGCCAGCTCTCACGCATCTTTGCAGCCTGGCACTGATACCTTGGGTCGTGAATCGCCTCTATGGGTGCTCCTGAAGACATACGCAGCTGTTAGTGGCGCTGCCAACGTCTCCCCTCTTACCTTCCCCGCCGCAATTTTGCCTGAGTCTCTGTCTGGGGACCGACTCAACAACCGCCTCTCCTTCCAGCTTCATCACGTTCTTGCTGCTGCTGTGGGTAAAACCGATGCTGTCAAAATCGACCAGCATCAAGTCGACCGCCTGGTCTGGGACTATGCTTCTGAGATAATTGCGAGCGAACAACTTGCCCCTGCCGTTTTCGTACTACTGCATCTCTCTAAGGCCGAAGATCGCAAGCGTGCTGTGCAAGACACTCTTGCCCGCTTCGGCGCTTCTCTCCCTGATCCTACAATCTCTGACGGCACCACTCCTGACCCAGCCTGGCAACATCTCACAACCGAGCTCCAGCTTCCCGAGCCTTGGATCTGGGTCGCAAAGGCTCTGCACGCACGTTCCAGCGGTGATGCTATCCGCGAGGTTGATGCACTGATCCGCGGCAAACACTGGAACGACGCCCACGCCACTTTCTGCCGTGTCGTCGGCCCTACTGCCGTCATTTCCCGTGACTACGCGACCCTCGAGCAGCTGGTTACCGGTTTCGGCGATGGACCGGAGCGTAAGATGCGCGGCTGGTCTTCCGGCGGTGGCATCTATGAAGACTTCCTCCGTCTCGCGACCGCGACTCGGGGCCGCAGAGATCCAACCCGGTTAAGTCGACTGGTGAATGCCCTTGTGGCAATGGGCGACCGTGTCCGCAGCGGCTCAGGCATGGACGGCTTAGAAGAGCGCGTTGCCTTCAAGGAGATGAGCCGTGCCGTCGCTGGCTGGATTACGCATGAAGATGTCCACGTGAGTAACCCCTCCCATATTATATGCGGTGAAGTTTTTAACACCTTACAGTCTGTCGAAGCGTCGAAAATTCTCGGCCTGCCCCTTACTGGTGACGCCCGTGTTCTTCAAACAGTTGAGATGAGTCGTCGGTATTACGGTGTCGTTATGGCTGGCGGTTTTTAGTTAGCGAGGCATTGATTCTGTTTCTACAAGCCCATTCATTGCTCACGTGGTTCCTTTGCTCGTCGTTTGCTGAATCCCTAATGTCCTATGTTTCCCCCCCCCTGTTTTTACCCCAATTTTTCTTTGTCCTGTGATCACGATATGAACTGTACTTTATTCATCTACCCCAACAATCTACCTATCACCACGTCGTATCTCTGCTTCTTGTAGATTAGTCGCAATCGCGATGCGAACGTTGCATCATTGTAATAAACGGCACGAATTCAGTCTGTTCTTCCAGACACTGTAGCTGACTACCACGCCATATCCAAAACCGTGTCTCGTTGAGATAATCGAACAATCATCCATTTCAAGCACCCTGCCCATCGACCTCAAAATCATACTCGGCTATGAAGACGGCGATCATGGGTGTTCCTGTCGCTAGTCATTCCCAGGCTGAAGATCTTGACCCTGGCACGATACACAGTCTCTATGACTCGTTTCAGAAGCTGCATCTACTCCGCAGGGGGGAACTTCCCCCAGTTTTAACGCCCCGTAGTGATTCCAATTGTGGGTTCAAATTTGAGAGTCCCCAGTTTGAAAGTACTAGCGAAAATGCGTCATTTCCTTCCTCTCTTTCCACCGTTCCCAGAAGCACAAGTACCGTTGAGGTATTTATTCTTTGTCTTGCTCAAAAAGAATGGTAAAATATTCGAGGTAACTCAAGTTTGAAGTTACCGGACCTGCATAAAAGAGGTAGTCATGTAGATCTTACACAATGAGTGTCGGAAGGATCCAGATCAGCGAGAAGATGCGTTCCAGCAGTGCGAGAGTCGCCGGTGATCTTATTCATTGGCTGCCCTGTGAGAGACTGTTTTTGATGCAAACCTTGATGAAAACCTTCGCGGGGTACTCATAGTTTCCAGAAAGCGATTTTGTAGGCCGATCCAAGCATAATGCATCCGCTCGCCTCAATTTTGTGGCCAAGTCTTGAAATTCGGCGCCGGCGGGATCCCTGACGACCCACGAACCCCTGGAAACCTTAAACCGTCACGGCTGATCGTCGCTGAGTCGACGTGATACTGAGCATCCCGATATCAAGTATAGAATCTCTATTGATACTGTTGTTGGCTTTGGCAAGATAACATTATAATAGACACAGAGAGAACATTGGTGATATACTCGACTGCCAACTTGTTCAATGATCACGGTCTGCACTGGAATCCGACAAACGGCGGTCGTGTTCTACCTAGTACTAGGAGGTAGAAGAATTACATCCGAATTAGTTCAAGTTGGATTACTGAAAGTGAGTTTGATGTTCGAATCCAAAACTCTAGGTTGCTTCACAGGATGAGCCTCGGTCTTTTACTTGGTCTCATAGATGGGTAGTTTTGAGGGGTTTCAGCAGAAAGTCGCCGATCTAACGAACGATCTATATTTGCGACTATCTTACCATCCTAGAAAAACCTATTTAAATGCCCATGTTTATTCCTAGTCTCCTCCAAGTTCTCAACACCAAGTCAAACTCGAATCAAACCTTTATCATCAACAAGAGCAACTCTGCTTTTTTATCATTCGCCCCATCAATTCAATTCACCACCAATCAAAATGGTAGCCACAAAGTACATTTTCGCCGGCTTTGCCTCCATTGGACTTGCGATTGCCGGCGGTGCCGCCGACATCGAGTCCAGCATTGGAAAAATCGAGGATTCCTGCAGCTCTCTCAGCCAAACTCTGAAGGGTTTCACCAGTGACGGAAATGTGATGGGTACCGCCCTGAAGCTCCAGGGAGAAGCCAAAGATCTTCTCAGCATCATCAACGACGGCAAAGACACAGCCAGCAATGCCGAAAACCTCAGCTCCGCGGACTCCGACAAGCTCGAAGACTCGGTCAACTCACTTTCCAAGTCCGTCTTTACCCTCCTTGACGGCTTTGTCGAGAAGAAACCTGTCTTCCAGAAGGCTGTTCTCGGCGGCTCGGCCGATGGCCTCGTCGAAAAAGATCTTCAAGATCTGAAGGGTGCTACTGATGGTCTTGGAAAGGCTCTTGAGAATATTGTTACCGGTCAGCTTAAGAAGGACGCCCCTCAGATTCTTAGTGACCTTGACAAGCACTTCGATGATGCTATCAAGGCTTTCTCGGACTAAGTTATTCCCAAGCGACGATACATTCTGGAAAGTATCTCTGGACGGGATCGATATCACTAGTATAAATATGATTGAAATGGCTCGGCGGTTATGATGTGATCTATGTCTTCCAAGGTTCTATTGTGTTTTGGACGTGCCAGGAGAATATCCATGGATGTATCTCGATGCCCACATGGAGAGAAGGTGATTGGATACCTGTGACTCGGATAAGTATTTAGCACTACTATTTGAATGACATGATATCTATTCACTGTTACAGCTTAAACTCGACGGACCTTCTTCATAGGCCTACCACTGGCTACTATCTATCCATGTTTGAGGAAGCTGGTGGGGATTTATAGGCTTTAAATTTGTCATTCGTGGATTCTGTAAAGCAGCAACAACCAACCTTGAAAGGTAAACTTGAAAAAGTGTTCGAGACTCTTAATGACTAACATGGTCACAAAAAGTAACATAAATATTGTTTTCTGTTTCAATCCTCTATTTCACCTGTGCCCTCTTGGAACATCCATGCGTAGATGTCTTCGGCGGCTGAATGGATCATACTAGTACCATTCGGTGTTATTTTCCGAGCACCATGTAGCCTTCGTCGCTACGTGACCCCAGAGTCATCTCTGCCGTTGCATAATTTTATTCGAAATATAATTATCCATGGATTATGCGACTTGAATAATACTCTTATTGGCACTAGCAGTGGTTCTGCTGTCATAATCGACTCAAGCCCCAAATACCTTCAACTCAATCAACCTCGCTTGCAGCCCCTTCTTGGGCGTGAAGTATAGCCTAATACTCTGAGAGCTAACAGCATCCCAAGAAGCCTTGATGATACCGTTCGCAATAACTTTGCCGAATTTGCCATTCGAAACATTTGCCCATTTCCCAGACTGGCTAGTCTGGACGCGATAATTACTCGGGGCGTCAAATTTTTGCGTGTCGTTCGCAAAGAACGCAATTTCCGCACTCTGCAACTTGGTTGAACTCTCAAAGTCAATCTGATACCAAACCTCGCTCCCGTTACCCGTCGGGGTGTTCCACCCATTTGCGATATCAGTCTCAGGGAAGAAATAAACGCGCCCGTCTATAGCACCGTGAATTCCAGCCGTGTCTGTATCGTTCGTCACGGAAACCGTGCCTCGTGGATAATTTGTGCTTGAGCCTTGCTGGACAGATAAGGCAATCGGACGGTTGACTGATGGCGGGCTTTTGCGGGAAACATTGACTGTCAAACGGGAAAGGCTGTTCGAGCTTGCTGCCCTTTTACCGTCGACTTCGACGATTAAACCCTTTTGACCGTATCTGGCCCCCGTCGCGTCCCACTGCACCGCGATTTCGTGCCCGTGGTAAAGGATGTTCTCTGCCCGGAAATATGAGATAGAACTTCCATCTGCGGCTGGGTTGATCTCGAGAGTGTCATCGGCGCTCGGACGAACACCTACGAGTCCAGATAAAATGAGATCAATAAACCCAGAGTGGAAATAATGGGGAGAACGAGCGAGCCCGACGATTGGGAGACCAGTAGCTGCATCGTAGTCCTCTTCGAGATCTAGAATACCTCCTCGGTTCGGATTGTAGTGTAGCTGAGCGTACTGCTTGAGTATTTTGGTATAATCGACTTTGCTAATAACATTCGCTGCCACGGCTTTGGGGTAGTGGTCAAGCAGGTTGGCGAGAGCTGCAAGGACCTGGGTCGTCTGGTATGGCCAGGCAGGACCGTTCCACTGGCATTCACGCTTGTCGCCTTCGTAGCGATATTGCCGCATGTAGTACTCATAACTGGGCTCATTGGTGCGAAGACCATGTGGCCCGGCAAGCTTAGAAGAGTCTATAAGGTGCTTCCATGCTTGGGCAAAATCAGGGGTGTCGTCCGGGAGGTCGTGGGTCCAGGGCACGAAACCAACTAATTCCCTGCCTCTGATAAAGTCCCAGTACTTGACATCATCGTTGTCCACCTTGTATCGATCGATAAAATGTTCATATGTACTGTTCCAGAGTGAGTTCTGCACAGTATCCTTGATGACTGCTGCTTTTTCCTTATACTGCTGCGCAATGTCTTTGTTCCCAGCGAGAGAAGCAATATTGGAGATAGCCAGCGCATTGGCATATTGATAGCTGTTAATGCTTGGACGGAACGCATTGCCGCCCGTGAATCCATCAGCGCCTCCCGAGGCATCAATGCTTGCAATCGTATACTCTGTCGCATCTGTCAAGGGCTGGATCCAGTACAGGTTCTTTGATACATCATATCCACCAGTTGACATGCTTGTGGTATTCCAGCCTGTATAGACACTTTGCATGGAATCAAGAAGCCCAGTAATGGTGTCAGAGACGCCATCAACAAGATATCCTTGCCAAGCACCATCGGCCATACTCTCGGAAAATTGATAAGGGTTCTTATTCGGTCCGAAGAGGAAGTTTCTGTAATCATCCTTGAAACGCCGGTCCCGGCACCAGCGTCCTTCACGAAGGTGCATATTCGCCGCATCTATAAGTAGCGCGGATGGCTGCGTCTGCCAACTCACGTCTTCGAGAAACTCAGTTGAGATGTAGCCATCAGCGCCAAGGTCGCGCTGGTGGGCGCGGAAGATTTTCCATCGGTAATAGTAAACATCCTGGATATCAGAAGCACTGGATTCAAAGATTGGAATGCGATCTGAGTACCAAGATGCGTCATTGCCAAAATACTCCTGAAGTATTTTAGCTGTATTCAAGCCAAGGGCTGGTGCAGCAAGGCAAGCAAATGTAAATAGTTCGCCGAAATGCATTTTTGGCTGTCATGAGATGTAGAGCCAATTGAAGTGATAAATATCCGGCCACAAAGCCAGTAATATTTTTTTTGGCACAGATACATCCATGCTGAATGCTTACTGCTCATTTATAGTTGTGGCTCGGAGAAATATGCGGTGATCGACTAATTGCCCCTGACGAGTTGGTTAATTCTCCTGCGGGGTGTACTCTCTTCATGCCACGGAACCCCACCCACCCTTTCCGCTGCAGGACATTTCGATTGGGTATCGCGGGTGGCTTTTTAGATGATTGTTTTCAGTTATTGAGTCAAAACTTGGAAATTCACACTGGCTCCTTTAAGAGAGAGTTCAGGCGGGGCACAGTTTCTAGACATTGTCTAAGACCCATAGTTATTCAAATATGCAACTACCTACCACACACAATCTTTGCCCTATGTCCATTACTACTCATTTCCCAGGCCAACCTTGGAACTTTTCGCTTCCGAGTCAAGAATTGATTTGATATATGTCTACTAGGTACCATTGTGAGTAAACTGCGACAAATTTGGGGGTATGGTCAGGACACGCTACCGTCAAACCTTAATTTTCGGGTGAAAGTTTGGGGCACCCTCCTGGCCCGCGGGGTTGCCGCAGTCTAACTCTGGACTTCAAGGTTAATGTCACGACAAAGATAAAACTACTAGAAGTAAGACCTAAGGTAGAGATGAAAATATATCATAAATTAAAAACACACCCATCTTAACGGCCTTCGTCGAACACATACTAAGCAAGGTAGAATCCTCAAGACACACATCAACATTCCTAGTAACAACTTGAATGTTCGCGACTCGGAGCCCTGGAGTACTTGTACCTAAGTAGTATAACGAAGAGAGCCAGTAGTTCTAACGAGACAAGAGAAATAAAACCATAGATAACTCTACAATACTAGATTCAATATATCCTTCAGTCCAAGGTTTCCCCCTTGGATTGACCCGCACCTCGGACTTAGCCAAGTGTCTAACGTCTTCACCTGAAATGATTTGAGCTTATTTATTGGTCAATGGTGAGGGTAAGTAGCTGTAGTAGTAGATTATGTGATTGTTGCGACATGAAGGTTTCAAAAAATGGGGAAGAAGGGAGCATCTCTGGCGGTGAAATGGGAACTAGTAAGTTGCTGGAGGGAATGATAACTAAATAGCCCAGAATTGGGGCTAAACATCATGTCTCCTTTGATTAAAGTCCTTTGGGTGTGCGCAAACTAGAAAACCTGCTCAGGGGAGTGTATTTGGCACTGTTGTAGATGAATGTGCCGTACAGTAGTATTATGTATGGGATTGTAATTTCAGAGGTGTTTCCCAAAAGTTACTTTCTGCCATCAAAGCTCCGGCATATTTTTCGCATCCCTTGAGTTTTTCGATTTTTGCCATACCCCAAGGAGCTCTCACCGTCCGTAATATTACATTGTAATATTACCTGTATTGTACGTGTTAGCTTTCAGAATCGAATTACCTTCAAATCTGGATACCAAAAAGTCGAAATTTGCGAGCAGCGTAGAGTTGAATTTCCCAATCCCATTTAAGTATCGTACGGAAATTGAAAAAATCGCCTAGACTTTTGAATGCGCTAGATCAGGCATTTCTTGAAAATAACGCTCACGCCGGCACAGTGCCAGAGTAGATCCATACGTCACCTGATAAATCACCAAAGCGGTCGAACTATCGCCTTAGTCATGTGACATGGTGGGGAAGTTTTCTGCCGGTTTATTCGACCTGAGCGGTGTATAATTAAAGAGGGGAGGCGGCGGTACCACAAAACTTTTTTTGGATCTTTTTCGTGCATTACGAACCCCCGCCATTCTTAATACGACCGATATCTAAAAATGGCTCTCAACCTTGAGACCGAGTCGCCTCACAACACCTTCGATGTACGTATCATTCCCGAGGTGGAATGGCGACTGGACCGCAGCTTGCGATCGATCACCCGACCCCGCGTGCAGGCGCAATTGACTCATGAAGCAAAATTAACGGATCTGCTAACGATTGTCGACTTTCTAGACTATCCTGGTTCTCGACTTTGGGGTATGTATCTGGCAGACCTCTTGCTATATCCCGACGCCTCTAGGAAATGCTGACACTTCAAGTCTCAAACGAGCCATCTGATCCTCCGACGCCTTCGTTCCCTCGGTGTCTTCGCTGAGCTGCTTCCTTGCACCACTAAGATCGCGGATCTGTCATGGAAGCCTAAGGGAATTGTGTTCTCTGGAGGTATATAATAATCTCTTATATGGTTCATACCAAGGTCTAATGAAGTTACTAGGTCCTGCTTCCGTCTACGACAATGGCTCGCCCCGTAAGGCTTGAATTCCCCCCTCGGTTGTCCTGTTACCTATACTCATATGTATGAAGATGTCGATCCCGCTGTTTTTGACCTGAACGTTCCTATTCTGTGAGTTCCTGCTTCTCAAGCTTCTGGACCTGAGCCTAGACTAACACGTGAGGCGTAGTGGTATTTGGTATGATTTTCTTCAACATCGACAATCGGCATAGCACTAATACCACTCAGCTACGGATGCCAGGAGATCGCATGGCGCATTGACTCCAAGAATGTCGCCCGTGGAGAGGCACGAGGTTTGTTACCTTCATCACCACTCTTTGAATGCTTCTGATTCTTTTATTAGAGTACGGCCATGCCGATGTGAACATCACCAAGGTTAACGACAACGTCGATCGCCTCTTCGCTGGCCTGGGCGATTCCATTCCCGTTTTTATGTCCCACTACGACAAGCTAATTAGCCTGCCCACGGTCAGTAAGCTAAATTCGTGTTTCTGGCATAGCTATTGACGTTATTAGGACTTTGTGGTCATTGGTGCTACCACCAACTCGGAGTATGCTAGCATCGCTCACAAGGATAAGCCCATCTTTGGTTAGTCTTTGCTCTTTTTGAATGTAGGCTGCTATCAACAGAATATGCTAACACGAGATTATAAATAGGCGTTCAATTCCACCCAGAGCTTGAACACGTTCGTTACCCCTACCCTATGTCGCCCAAGAACTCTCTCTGATATCCCGATTTAGACTCCCCGCGGAACCGATATCCTGCGTAACTTCAGTGTTGATATCTGTGGCGCTCAGGCGAACTGGAAGATGGGTGACTTTGCTGAGCTCGAGATCACTCGTATCCGGCAGCTTGTTGGTGACCGATCTCTTGTGATCGGCGCGGTCAGCGGTGGTGTTGACAGCACAGTCGCAGCGGCGTTGCTCAAGGCAGCCATTGGCTCCAGATTCAAGGCTGTCCTCGTCGACACAGGCTGCATGCGTCTTAATGAGTGCGAGCAGGTTAAGCAAACCCTCGGAGAGCACCTTGGCATTGACCTCACTGTTGTCGACGCTGGTGAGCTGTTCATGAGCCGTCTTGCAGGTGTTGCTGATCCCGAGAAGAAGCGCAAGATTATTGGATCTACGTTTATCGATCTGTTCGAGAAGGAGGCTATCAGAATCGAGAAGGAGGCAGAGAGCACCCCCAACTCTGGCAAGGTCGAATGGTTCTTGCAGGGTACTCTTTACCCTGATGTGATCGAGTCTTTGAGCTTCCGTGGACCTTCCGCCACTATCAAGACTCACCACAACGTCGGTGGTCTGCCCGAGCGTATGATGAACGGCCAAGGCTTGCGCCTTATTGAGCCCCTCAGACTTCTGTTCAAGGATGAAGTCAGGGCTATTGGCCGTCAGCTCGGTATTCACGAGTCTCTGGTGAACCGCCACCCCTTCCCCGGTCCTGGAATCGCTATTCGCATTCTTGGCGACGTCACTCAGGAACGTGTCGACATCGCCCGTAAGGCCGACCATATTTTCATCACTAAGATCAAAGAGGCAGGCCTTTACGACCAGGTACGTCAGCTTACATATAGCTTAGACGGATATAAGCTAATCCTTGTAGATTTCTCAAGCCTTTGCTGGTCTTGATACTAACCGCAGTGTTGGTGTTTTCGGTGATCAGCGAGTTTGGGGCTACATCATCATTCTCCGCGCTGTTCAAACCAAGGATTTCATGAGCGCTGATATCTTTGACTTCAGCACTGAGTTCCTGAAGGTCAGTCAAGAGTCATATCTTCGTTACAATACCATGCTTGCTAACTTGTTTACCCACTCTAGGATGTTGCGCGCACTATCTGCAACCAGGTTGAGGGTGTCGCCCGTGTCACCTATGATTTGTAAGTTCTTTCAAAGCTTTCCCCTCCATTTCAAGGCTAGTATTGGAGCCGTCAGCTGACACAGTATATAGAACCTCCAAGCCCCCTGGCACTATTGAGCTTGAATAGGCGACATGAGAGAAGGATTCAAAACAGAAGATACATCACTGGCCGACAGGGGCTGGAAGAAAAGATGGGAATTGACATTTTACGGCGTTTAAGGACTCTACCACTAGAAAGGTACATAGGGTGAGAAGAGTGATATAGAAATCATTACATTATGATGTGTTTCGTGGTCCCTGGTGAGGTCTACTTCTAGCAGCATGAAGAGTAAAGGCTACTATCTATCCTCCATTTGATATCTAATAGTAAATCCTATGTTAGCACATGCCTTGGATATCAAGCCTTGAGACAATATTCCGTGAGAATGCGACTAGTTGTTCGCCTTCTACCCCTGAATCTCCATATGCCTTGTCCGTTAAGAGTAGCTTGGTAGCCTGCTCGAACTGCTGACCCATCCGGTGCGCAAGATCGCCGGTGAGTTGGTATTCCAACAGCCGACGGTGGTTTCTCTTCGGACTGTACTCTGACTTCCGAAACTTGAAAATTGGGCGCCAGAATCCGATTTCGGTTAAAATGATACCTGAGACTATAGGCATCATATTCGCGCCGGTATCCAATCCGCGGATTATCGGTCAGGTCGGGGTGCTGGTATGCCACTTCCTCGTCCTGGGCACAAAGTGGTAGTGAGACTGCACTAGGATCGTCTAATCGAGAATATCCGAATCCAGAGAGATATGGATATTGAAGCCAGTCCATGCTCTTTCCGGATTTGACAAACAAAATGTGTGAGCTGCGCAAGTTCCGGTGCAGCCAACATGTGGAATGAAGTTGTAATATGCTGCTGGCGAGAATACGTGATAGCAGAAAACGGTCATTCAGGCTTGGGAAGACCATCTCAGCGCCATTTGGAGGATGGATCAGGTCATACAGGGAGACAATATCCGGCAGATTGTCAGCCTCCAAGGTCGGAAGATTGTAGACCAGCCCAAAACGCTGCTTGGGCTCATCATGGCAGTAGCCTATGCAGTCCATCACCTGAAACCCTTCGGGCTTTGGGCTCCGACCGAGGAGGACTGATAATTCTGCTGTTCGCTGGTCTAGAATTCCAAGCACTTCTTGGGCAGGCAGACTTCCATCATCGTATTCTCTCCATTCCACCAGGACCATTTCGTCCTCGAAGTGAGCAATACTTCTCAGAGTTCCAGACCGGATCCAAACGAGTTGATCGACAGGGATTCGAGTGCCTCTTCTGGAGCCGTCAATTGACGAAGAGGCTTCCAAGTCAATTAAATGCATGCGCTGATCAGCAGTGCGAGAAAGTCCTTCATATGATGCTCTTGAGGCGTCTCTAATGATAGTGAGCCTCTTGAGATCGTCGCTGGCTGAGGACAATAAGCATATCTCATTGAAACTACTCAAAGAAGCCAATTTAGTTGCTCCTTCTAGCAATGCATATAAACCGTCATTCAGCTCGCGCAGGTCGAAAACTAATTTTTCGAAGTTTTTCCGGTCAAACATCCAACGTAGCCCAGATTTGAGTGACAGCCCTGGCGATCGAAGTTTTTCGTCAATCCGACGACGAGTCTCTAGATAAACCGAGGAGCTTTGAATGTACTCAATTCCTTTGGTGTACCTAACGATGTCATTGGATGGTTCTGGACTCGCGCCGTATCTTTTCTTCATCACCGATGCATCTTGTGTGATACTGTTGATTTCCGTCAAAACAGTAAGAATGGTATCAAGATCTTGCACGGGGATGCGACATGTTTCTTCGGCAAGCCCGACCGTTCTTCCCCAGATCATAAGCCTCTTCTCCTCAATCTGCAGTCGGCAGAGAAGAATTGCTGAATCTTGCCCGCCATTCTTCACATCGGAGACGAGTTGGTACCCTTGTAGGCAAGAGCCAAACAAGGAGACAACACTCAGAACAAGGCTTGCTACTTCCATTTTGTGATTTTTTGAGGTTGATCGTCCATGTTGCTGACACGAAAGACGTCAAGCGCCCGGCTCGATCGATGTCAGCCACTAATGACTATTGCACCCAATCACACTGCGCATTGCTCGCTTGAGATACGACCCTGCGATCGTCGGCTCGCTTGTTATTCCTCTGTCGTGAGATGCCTGCAGCTTCTATTTTAAGTGCTTTCTTCCCAAGACTGTCATGGCACCCCGATCGTATCTTGGAGTTCTTGATTTTCCAACTCCCTCACTTGTATCATCAAAATGGACTCTTTGCAGTCTTCATTCGCTCCAGATTCGAGCTCACCACGGCTGTCAGCATCATGGATTCGCGAGAGTACAGCTCTAGTGAAAGATAGTGCTGGCCCATCATCTTCAGACATAGCCATATCCCAGCTGGCAGTCATGGGGCTATGGATGGGTCGCAAATGTCGAGAAATCACAAACAATACCGATGCTATATTCCGACTGGATGCACAAATGGACACTGGCGGCTTTATGGGGCAAGGTTACTCAGCATCCATTATTGACGCGAGCAATACTATGATGATCAACAATGTCCCCAGAAGCGGATCCTTTATCGTACGAAAACACGTGCGATCATGGGGCCTTGAGGGACGCGCTCGCGCGATGGACTTTCTGCGTGAAGTTCACGTATTGACGCACGAGCCGATTCGCAAGCACCCGAATATTGTATCGCTCATTTCTTTTGAGTGGATGTTTTGGCCTGGAGAGGAGCCGAGTCTTTCGCCTCAACTGTGCCTTGAGCGATCGGAGCTAGGTGATTTGGCTAGCTTTCAACGTGCGCATAGTTTGCCTTATCAATGGAAAAGAAAGATATTCCTTGACATTGCTCATGGTCTTGCTGCATTACACGACTCGGGCGTCGTCCATGGAGACATCAAATCCGAGAACGTGTTGATTTTTGAGCACGAGGGTGTATACCAAGCGAAGCTCTGCGACTTCGGTTTTGCGGTCTTCTTGGCCGACATCAAAAAGGAAAAGGCATGTTTGATGGGGGGAACAAGTCCGTGGACAGCACCTGAATTCAGAAGAGAGCTTCCCTACCCACAATATTTCCTGAAATTGACCGATGTATACTCGCTAGGACTACTCATATGGAGAGTTCTTATGGACGGCGAGAATCCATTCGAGCATGCCTTGCTAAAAGACATTGGTAATTTCGAGGAGGCAAAAGTCGGCAAGGTGCCACTTTTTCACTATGCACAATTTTCTATCCTTTTGCGTCCCGGGTACGCACCTTTTGTCGCGGAGATATGGTCTCTTCTAGCGTGCACAATCCAGAGAGAACCTTCAAAGCGGAGGCTTCGCACTGCAATTCAGATAATGAGCGGCAAGGGACGTCAGCCTTCGCAAATATTAGGACAGCTGTCCAGCGATCCCCTCAGATTTGCCATGGACAACTTTAACATAAGGAACATATGTGTCCCTATCCGCTTGCGCATGATGAAGCATCTGAAGAAGAGTGCCATGGAGCTGAGTGGTCGATCTGAGCATAGCCTGAGACTTCCCAGTTCTGACCAATATCCCCTTGTTCTCGGAGTAATTGATATCGCTATAGGTGACGGTGGCCTTGGGCTGGACGATGACCCTAATGAATCGCTGAAATGGATCACCATTCTCGCCGAGAACCAATATATGCCAATGCAAGCAATAATAATTCGGATGTACGACTTTTTCGACAAGCCTTTGCCATTGGAAGTAAAACAGAAGGCAAACGAGTATCTCGCCCACGGTGTTGTCAATGGATCTGTCACGGCAGCTTTGGACTACGCAAAATATTGGCCAAATCTGGAATTCCAAACTCGGAGCGAGCCAGAGAGTCTCTTCCTCGCCAACAGGTCTTTCTACGGAAACGGCACTGGCCTTCATCTCAGCGAGAAAGCTTTTGACATCGGAGATATTCCTAGCCTGTATCAAAACATCAGATCCTTAGGAGAGGAATCTCCTATATTGCGGCATTTGTATGGCTTGAACAGTGGTAACACTCTCCTTCATGCCTGTGCAATGCTCGGGCTACCAGAGGCGGCAGATATCCTCATCTCGGAGTTTCGTGTTGATACGAACGCACGTAACGACAACGGAGATACGCCCCTGCTTGCTGCCTGTCGGAATGGTAAATTTCCAATGGCCTTCAAATTGGTGGCAAAGGGCGCACGCGCTGATATAGCCAACATGAACGACGAGACACCTCTTCATTGGGTCCTTAATATACCAGACGAAGCTTTCAGCTTCAACGGTCAAACTATGAATAAACTCAGCATAATGATTGACAGCTTGCTCTACGCCGGAGGTGACCTCGAGGCTCGGGCTGGAGGTTGGGTCTCACGAGCTGACAGCTTCTCCACGCTGTTTTGGGCAGGCGGAACCCCTCTCCATCGCACTGTTTCAAGAAGGAATATCTCTGCATCGAAAGCTTTAATCTTGAAAGGTGCAGATCCGACAAGTCTCGATAAAGATGGCCGAACATCCCCTCTCGACATCGCCATGCTGCATCACAATGCGCCCATGCTCCGGCTGCTATTGAGTAATTGCAGCTTCAATCTGAACACACATTACGGTAGTGGACACACAATCTATAGCAAAGCGTTGTCCGCTAGTTCAGTCCTTGAGATGATCATAATTCACGGTAAAGAGTATCCAAATGCAGTGAATGATACATTGGATCTCTTGATTTCCCGCGGATTCGACATCACTTGTGCAAAGACAGATACAAGTGGCGGTTATACCTACGAGCTTGATGCCTTATTCGTTGCGGTATTCTATGAAAGACTTGTCTGGGTGCAGTACTTCCTGTCGTCCAAGCAGTGCATGGAAGTCCTCGACATCAACAGGCGACAGGGAGAACACAGCATGACAGCCCTCCATCAGTCAATCCACGATCACCGAAAGTCCATATTCATCTCCCTACTGGAAGCAGGAGCTGATCCGAGGCTGAAATGCTCCACATGGTCTATCAAGAAAACAAAAATAGACATGCAAACAACCAGCTTGCACCTCGCAGCTCAACAGGGTGACCCTGATCTCTTCTTCACGAACCGCCTGCTGGAATATGACCTCGATATCGACGCCGTTGACTTCTACGGGATTACACCGTTCGCGTGTGCTGTCACAGAAGGTAACCTGCATATTGCGAATGCTTTGCTAAAACGCGGTGCGGACATAAACAAGAAGACAGGTGTACAGGGAGGCAAGCTCAAGCATAAACAGACTGTCCTTGCGAGGATACTCACGAGAGACTGTGCCCTTATCGCAAATCGGCTGAAGTATCTAGTCTCTGGTCCTGATGACACTGAAATCGCACTCGCGCGCCATGGCCCTCCCGCAGAATTCATGGTGGAAGAATCAAGAAGTGCGCTCCATGAATTCTTGAGCGTCCACCAAGGCAGAGAAGATGCACCGTTTCGGACATGTCTCGAAATTCTTCTGAAAGCGTTCCCACTGCTCTCTCAATTAGATTACCGCGATGAGAATCACAGGACGCCATTAGATATTGCTGTTTCCCATGCCAATTCAACTGCTGTGTCGGCACTATTGACTGCAGGAGCTACAGGGGACGTATTGGGTGGAAAAGGTGGAAGTTTGACAGATCGTGTTAAAATCTGACTGTGCGAAGATGAGAAGCAACAGATAACTGATAAGCATGAAACTAGGGTACCTATTGGAATACATACTAGCTCTTCACGTAAACTAGTTATAATAGCTAATAGATAACAGGCTACACAATAGTGATGGCTAGTGCCGGTGCCAGTGTCAGCACTCCCCACTTTCTTAGTCTCCACCCGAAATCCCCATCTAAGGCAATGTTCATTCCACGCCATGCCCATCTCCATGGGTTTGATGGCGGATAACTACGGCAAGCAGATGAGTTCTCCGATCCATAGTTTGGAGAAGTGAAAACTGAAGAACATCGCCCCATTGAGCGAATTCTTCGCCATCCCCACTCCAAGACCTCCAGTGAATCCTGTTTCCTATCAGCATTCTCATTATCAGGCTATCGGTTTTGTCTTTTTACGGTATAATATCCTACGGGACGATACGATGCACTTACTCCGTCCAACCGGAGACGCAGATCAATATGGATCTTCGCGCAATGGTACATACGATTCCTGACATTTAAAAACAGGGCGCTCGCAACTTGAAGGAAAGCATTGATTTTTGTTCAATGCGAAACTAGCGGTGCAGATCGGCTCCACACGTGTTATTTTGATGATCATTTTGGATAGTAAATAATCATCCCAGCAAATACACGAAGCTACTGCGATCATGATTGAACTTTAAAACCCCGATTCTCCCATAAAAATACTCATTGTCTATGGTTTATGGCAGGATTTGTTCAGCTACATCAACGATCTTTAGCATTCATAAGGGGGGAGAGGGATACTGGCTCTTTTTCACACTAGCTGAGCTGTATGGCACACCGAATTGTCAGCTGTTGATTCTATCAACAGCCTTAGTTAGACTACATCTAAAACCCGTGAACTGGTACTGCATCAATATCACAAATAGAAATATCATTGATTCGTAGCAATTACAATTAGGAAAGTCTGCGCTGAACCTTGGAATGTCATTTCAAGAGCTCTGTTTTTTTTTTCTTTTTTCAAGGATCGGGAATTATATTAAGACCAGTTAAATGCATAGTAGTACAAAATGTAAGCAACAACCAATTACATGCCAAAGATAATGCTAGAAAACATCAAACTGAATACAAAAACTCCCATCTTAGAACTGAACTGAGTTGTCGAGACGGAGGGTGCTCCATTGGGGATAGAAGTCGAGCTCGAGGTGGATGTAGAGGAAGAGGTAGAAGTAGATGTCGAGGTCGAAGATTTGTTCGGAAGTTTACCGGTAGCAGTAGCCGTTGGGTAGGAAGTGGCGGTAGCGGTAGCATTTGTAGAGCCAAAGCACCAAACATCTTTCCATTCAACACCGGCATCGTAGAGACAATCGGTCAGCTTCTGGACCGATTGATCAACCGCAGGGGCGTAGAGAGCGCAGTCATTGTTGTAGGCCAGTACGCCTGCGGGCTTGGCACAGAATTCGATCAGAGATTTGTATTTCGAGGAGTTTGGTACTCCGCAGGCTGCGTCCTTGACGGGCAATTCGTATTGCGCGGTTGTGCCGCATGTGGTGCTTGCAGCGGAGCCAGTAGCAGTTGTCGTCGGCATTTTGTAAAGAGCCTTTATTTTCTGCTGCAGGAAATTGACTCGAGGGGCAGATCAGTTATTATTCTTCGGAATTCGAAACTGTGTTATAAAGAAAGAAAAAATAGGCAATGAATAAGAGGAGAGCTGGGTATGCCAGTGTACATATGTGACTCTGGAAGTGTGGGGCTGCGTGGGGGGGGGGCCGACTATTTTAAATCGGCGTGTCTCTTAAAATGCTTTGCCTGGCTCGGATTTAGAGAATGAAACCCATCAGATTTATTTGTGTCACAATGACTGACATGCTTTTACCTCGGGCTGACTACTGTGATCTTACGGCAATTAAAAATTAGGGGCCATTTAGCGCATCGTTTCAAGTTTCCACTCATTGATATTATACTCGCCCGTTGCGTGTCATCTATATACGTGTCCGATCAATCAACCTTAAAAAAGTGTAGTATAATTGTAATTAACAGAAACGGGTGGAATAATCATACCTAAAATAGAGGCAAGCAAACAATTTTGAAAGAAAATAGTTCGAGGAAAATGTCGTTAAAGACAAGGCTGGGTCAAACGTGAATCAGATTTACTTGGCATCCCTAATTGTTGACATGTTAGATTTCCTCGCAGGGATGTCTCTTAGGGGATGTCTCGTAGCGCTAAGGAAAATTGCCAATCCGGCTACTTAAGAAAAACAGGTTAGAAACCGGCTTGGTATGCAGTTAGAAAAAGGGGAGCTGGCGGGTGGTAGCATTCGCCGAGAGTCCTTGGCAGGCACCGACTATTTTTAACCGACCGACCCACTTCGCCCTGGAGGCCTCTCTGAAGTTGACTTCTCCTTCAGCTATTGGACATCGTACTAACGCGTAACAAAACTAGTAGACCCCTAGGTCAAGATGTATTTTCTCTCGGCAATTGTACTTCGGGACGGTTCTAGATACGAGCTAGTAGTCGGTGAAATTGCGCGACAGCTGTATCATTTATGTACTAGTAGTTGATAATGCTAATAAAAGCCGAGTTCTTTGAGAAAGGTCCACGCGCTTACTCTAAGAGCTGGTGTGTGATTTGCAAGATGAGACTTCCTCTAGTCCCGCGAGCAAGTATGGAAGTATACATCGAACTGGATCAAGGTGACTTAGTAAGGACAAACTGCGAAACAGTTTCCGGAAAGGTTGTTGTTGAATCGAATTCACATTTGAATATTTCGTCAATCACCGTTACTCTGGCTGGTATCTCTGTTTCCAGATCGAGAATTTCAGAACGAAGCGAGACTCATAAAGTGATTGTCATTTCCCTAATCTCAGAGGCGTGCATTGAGACTAACATAGTTCAGCTTTTCGAAAAAAGCGAAAAGTTATTTCCCGAAAAGTCTTTACCAGAGCATTCATTGTGTGGTTTGCTTTTGGGTGACGGAAAACACACGTTTCCTTTTTTGATAAGAGTATATACCTTGAAAGGAGCTACTTTATTTTGAATAGGGATCTGATGGTTATCTTAGTTTGCCCCGGTATCCGAGTGTTATGGAGTGACACCAATCCAGCCTTACGGAAGGCGAAACGGTGGAGCTCACCTTCTGCGTCGACTGCCTCCATCATGTGGGGAGCCGGGATCCATGGCAGAAGTCAAATATTTTATAGAAGTTGTGACAATCGGGGATAAGATACTAAAGCCATATGACAAAGTAGTTGAGTGTTCCCACATGATGCTTAGAAAATTACTGATATGCAGAGTTTCTGACAAAAAATATAGACGCATGAAGTACGCTTTTGCCCGCTTTCGAAACTGACACCTACGAAATCGCCTTTATGTCGACAAGCTTCTATTAAAATTTCAGTGGGGGATCTTGGCCTACTGGATGAGTTCTCGTGTCAAATCAATACCAAGCTTCTGCACGGGCCGTGTCTTGCTTCTCAAACTTCGATTCCGCTGGAGATCGAAATCAATAAATTGCGTGGAGACTGGTCGAAGCTTAAACTGAATGACTTCCAGACGATGCTTATCGAAACGACACATTTTCGCGTAGGTGGCTCTACTGAGTCTCTTCAGCGCTACTGGATCATCCAGACCGTTACGAACATGAATGAAAGTCTTTTTGGGGAGGGACTCCCGCTTGGAGATGCCACCTATCTCCCAAGTTCTATTTGGTCCGCTCACCCGGTGCCATCTTCGATCACGCCCACCTTCGAGATATGTAATATCAAACGAACGTATCAACTTGAGGTTCGGCTTGGCTTTCTAGTTGGATCTCACAAGGTAGAGCGGAAATGACCCATTAGTTGGTATCTCAGCCTTTCTGATACATGATGATAGGTCCAAAAGTTCATCCAGGAGTTTCAATTTCCCGTCTACGTCTTAGTGAATAATGACGGCTATCGGGAAAAATGCATCAGACTCTAGGCCTTCAAATCTTGAAGTTTTTAGATGGTTCAAAAAATTGGTCCGGATTCATGTATCCCAAACGGCTGCGTGAAATAGTCGATTTCCCCATCCCAGCTATCCCTTAGTCAGGAAATGCTTTCGATTTCTTGGGTTGACAAAGACTAGTGTTTAATCTAGTCAATGATATCAGTTCGTGTACCTGGGAGCCATTGATCCTTATGTTGGTTTACATAGGAGTCGAACGAAGCTTCTGGTGCAGTCGGTTGTTTATTTTCAAAATCTGCATAGACTTCGCACTGTGAACACCGAGCAAAGTCTCTGATGACACCTGGCGCGAGATTGAACTCATTCCTGGTCTCGCCGTGGTGAATTTCTACGGCAGACCCATAATTGAGGCCATGAAGTGCGATATTCACTTCCATGGCTCTTGCTTGTCGCACTCAAGAGGAACCAGACAGGATAAATCGCCCCCGGGTGACAATAGTGCTCACCATCACCCGGCACCATTCATCATCTGGTGGCTAACTCCAGCGCTTAATGCGCCTAATAGTAAAGCGCACAGGCAGGCGCTCCAAGATCAAGAACTTCCAAGGCTGAATTTATATAGATTTTTCAAATTCAACAATGGTGGTGTGGATCGGAGCATCGGGTTCGAATGGCCATCTAGTAAATTGCATCAAGATTTCACTCTGTGACTCTTGGAGGTCAGCCGAAACTTTTCGAATTCGTTTGCTCTCCGAAATATCGTTTTGTTCCACAACAATCCCGGCATTTTCTTCTTCGAGCTCGATTATTCGTTGCGCACATAGGCCGGAGTATCGATCTTTCCAAGCTCCTTGATAGAGGGGGAGTGGAGCATCATATTCACGGCCCTTCGTCGGATTAGAGGGTGGCGGCATCGGGAAGCGACAAGAAATAGAGGTGGGGTGAGTCCAAGGTCAAAGCTGAAAATCAGACTAAAGTTCTGCGGTTCATCTTGCCACGATCTACTGATATTCTCGGCGAGTTCGACAGCGGTTTGAAAGTGACCGAGATAGTTGTCAAATATCATTTCACTCTGGGAGAAGTATGTCTCAGCTATGATTATTGAAATGTGGTAGTAAAGATTCAAGAGCTTGATTGTGCAGTCTTGCAATACTGAAGACTCTCCGGAGAATTGAGAGGAGTCAAGAGCACTCTTCCACTGGCGTAAAACAGTGCTAGGGGCTCGTCTTGGAGCTTGATATATCGTGGGTATACCACGCTCTGAAGATGAGAAGACATGATTCATCACTCGGTCAAAGTCCAAACGGGCAGAATTTCGGGAGCTGTATGTCGATGGAATTGTCGGAAGCGGTAGGCAAAGGGGAACGCCGAGATCTTTCAACGCATGCCGAGAGTCCATGCATAGAGAGAATTGCACGCGCAACCGCTGCAGGATCGGGGTGATCTTATTATTGACGAAGTCGAGGGTTGTTCGAGAGTACTCTTGTAGTTTCCCGTATGTCGCAGTGTTGCACCTCCACCAATACAGTAGTTTAAAACCTGCCCTAAGGTGGAGGAGACAAGCAGCATCGCCAGTTCGGAATTGCTCGAAACAAATGAAAAGAATACAGAGGGTAAGGACAATGTCCGGTCGATGGGACATGTTGGGCGATTCTGTTTGCACGGACTTGATTGCAGATGTATAGTGTTTCAATGCCAACATTTGTGCTGAGATCTCAGCGTTTTTCCCTGATCGACGTATGGAGGTAGAAGCATTCCCGGGTTCCAAACTCTCATGAAGCGATGCCAATGCAGTAATGGCATGCTTAACTGGGGCCTCGCTGTGACCAATTTGCAGTAGCGTGGGAAGCCAGTCCTCCACATCGCGGTGGCCAAATATTCGATGGGCAGTTCGACTGCGGAAGAGGAGGAACGCTCGACGTTCGTCGTCAGTTAAAGAGTCGAATGACAGGGCCTGCTGCGGGGGATTTGAATAACCCTCGCAAATTCGTTTTGTTGCGATACAACGCAAGCATGATGGCTTGGTCTCGTCACATTTGACACGCCTACATCGTGGATGATTAGCCGGGTAGAGAACATTTTGTGAGTACAATGGCGTCTACTCACCGAGATCTAGAATTCATTGGTCAGCAGCTGATGGAAGTTTTTTTTTTTTTGAAAAATAAATCAACTTACTTGCACGTCAGACAGCCACTCCGCGTCTTGCGTTTTGACACAGCTGTTAAAGTGCCAGTCTTCATTTTGGCTTAGGTACCGAAAGCAGTGATTTTGGGATCACCGAAGCAGCATGCTAGACGCGGTTTGAAACTAGCAGCTTAGAAGTTCAATCGCAGCGAGATCCAGCTCAGACCGCGATGTTTCCAGAAGGATCATCGGACTTCCGAGGTAGAGGATCAATGCATGGTATGCGTGAGTGGGAAGTTCCTACGAAGTCAGGCGGCTGGGAGGAATGTCGCCGTGCTGCCTGATTCACCAGGTGTCGATTAAACCAGTCTGGGTGGAATTTCTTAGAAACATTGCCCGCAAAACTTAGGACGAATTTATTGCATGACCTTTGAGGTTTGAAGAATATGGAAATCGAGCGAATATTCGAGTCCCTTCAAATTGTAGATATATCATGTTTCCAACGGTGATTCTTACTCTACTCCAGGGCTGCTTTTGCTTTCCATCTCGAGACTCGGAACCATTACCTAGTAGTTATTATCCTTCCAAGGCTATTGTATAACATATTATCTTAATTGATTATGATGTGTCTAAGTTCTAGTAGGTAGCTGCAGATTTTGAGATCGCCGTGTCAAATTTTAACACACCACTTCCATTTCCAATCCAACAACGCCCATCGCGACAGCGTTATGCTTATCATTCCAACAAGCAATACTGCGGAATAAAACCCAATCAAAACTTGAGGAGTGGTCGATTGAAGCAATTTTCCGCCGACGGGGACCGTTAACAAAACTCCAAACGATGCGACACTATAGATTGTGCCATAAAACCGACCGTAGTCTTCGGTTCGACAAAGCTGCCCTGCACAGACAGGGGCCAAAGATAGCCATCCGCCAGAACCGAACCCAAATATAGCTACGACGGCATATAGCGTAGCTTCGTTTTGCGAGCCAAATGGGAGCCATACTGCCGCCATTACAATCAAGGTAGCACATACCATCGATATAAGGGTGTTAAATCTTCCGAGCTGATCGGCGGCAAAGCCCGGGATAACCCTTCCGAAAAGACTCATGCCATTTAAGAGAGTCAATGAATAGAATTGCGCATCCTCTGACATGCCCGCATAGCGAACGTATGTTGGTAGCAATGCAGCGCAGCCAAATATAATGAATTCGAAGGAGAAAACGGCAACTGCGAGAAAGCATAAACGAAGTGATACAAACGCTTTCAAATCAATCGTTGATTTTGTCGTGCTTTTGGTTGGGAGACGCTCCTTAACAAGAAATACGCCGATCATATAACACCCTAGAGCTATAAAGGCCATAATTCGAATTGACCATAGCCAGCCGTACTGCTGAAGTAGGAAACGGAGCATCAAAGGTATAAGAGCTCCGCCGGTTGATGATCCTGCCATGCAGATGCCAGATGCCAGACCGCGGCGTCGATAAAACCAGTGACTGAGTACCGCGATGGAGATTGTCGTGATGATAGCGGATGAGATACCGCCGAGGACCCCGAGGCATAACATAAAGTGCCAGTACTCAGTGCACTCTGCTAACAAAATATAGCAGAGAAAGTTCGCTAGACTTCCACCGACGATCAAAAACGTTGGCCCATACCGGTCAAACAAAGGGCCGACTTGAACCCCAAGGAAAAGTGTCAGGAAAACAAGTACTGCAGTTATCCAGCCGACATCGCTGACGCTATATTCGGAAAGTTGATGTGTATTGATGTAGTCTTGAACAGATCCAACTAAAAGCCGGTTAGCGTGATGGTTCACGGCGCGCAGCGAAGAGAAGGCGGTTTCATACTCGCGGTCTGGAAGCCAAATGACGGAAACATCATCAAAAACGAGCCCAAGAGGCATGTCCATGCTTGTCTGCTATTCTCCGGAAATGTGTCTTGATCATCCTCGTCTTCGGACAAAGGTGGATCCTGTCGAGTCTCGGCTGACTTGTCGCTGATCTGCTGCTGATTTAACGGCGCACGAGGTTCGGGTACTGTTGATCGTCGCATATTTGCTTGGAGTTTTATGCCAGAAACTTCAAGTCATTAGCATGGCATGGCAGGATAATTTAAGTTAGGTGTCATCGTACTTACCAATCTCTAATTTTCGTGACGTCGACTTCCACTTGTGGTAAAACAAAATGCGAAGTTTCGTCAAGCAGGGCCACGGAATCACCTGGTCACTTTCGTGCTCAAAGATAGGTTAAGCTGCTGGGAATAGAATGGTTGAATTGAATACCGTCTTTTTGAAACGAGAGAAAGAAAAAAAGAAGATGAAGAAAAAGAAGAAAAGCTCAAGATCCAAAGAGAATATACCATATGTGTGGAGTATTCACTTTCCTCCGATTGGCCGGGTCGCGTTTTTGACTCACAAGCCAATCAGCGTTCGATTATTTTCTGGAGCTCATGAACTCGTCGATAACCAACGATGAATTAAATTTGATTAGGCCCGAGGTGCAGTTCTGCATTACAACTCTAGCACGGAGCTAAATATCTACTAGACACAATTCCCTTTACATGATGGGGCAAGTGAGTCACTTTTTGTCGTTTTCGGAGACTACAAATTGAACCCTACGGGGAAAGAGGTTGAACACGTAAAATGCATCAATTGCTATCGACTGTACATGAAAGGAAGATAATAATAACCTAGACGCGACAGGAAGGGGATCAAACGGAGTAAAGGAAATATGGAGACAACCACCTCCACTGGCCAAGAAAGAATCATTACCAGCCCGTAGGAGGGGTTAACGGAGATCTAGAGGTAGAAGATATCGACCTATTCCTGCTTCTTTTTAGAAAAGCACGAGGGAATCGGGTTGAGGGAGGGTAAGGAAGGCTTTTCGTTTTCTTTCTTTTTACATGCCGGGGGAGATCAGCTTGCCCTCGGCACGGCTGTCGGGGTGCCAGCCACCAGCGAAGGGAGCACTGCCGCCGAGCTCCTTCTGGTGCTCGCGAATGCGAGCCTCCAGCTCGGGACGGAAATGGCGGATGAGACCTTGGATGGGCCAGGCGAAGGCCTCGCCAAGAGCGCAAATAGTGTGACCCTCGACTTGCTTGGTGAGCTCCTGGAGCATGTCGATCTCACGCTCACGGGCGTTACCAGTCTCCATACGGGACATAATCTGCTGAGTCCACTTGCTGCCCTCACGGCAAGGAGTGCACTGACCACAAGATTCGTGGCGGTAGAAGGAAGAGAGACGGGAGATAGCGCGGACGATGTCAGTGGACTTGTCCATGACGATGACAGCAGCAGTACCCAGACCACTCTGGGAGTCCTTCAGGGCGTCGAAATCCATAAGCTGGTCGTCGGCGACGGACTTGGGGATAACGGGGGTCGAGGAACCGCCAGGAATGACGGCGTACAGGTTGTCCCAGCCACCGCGGACACCTCCACAGTGCTTGTCGATCAGCTCGCGCAGCGAGATGGACATCTCCTCCTCGACAGTGACGGGGTTGTTGACGTGACCAGAAATACAGAAGAGCTTGGTACCGGCGTTACGCTCACGACCGAATGAAGAGAACCAGCTAGGTCCACGGCGGATAATAGTGGGAACAACAGCCACGGTCTCGACGTTGGTGACGGTACTGGGGCAACCGAACAGACCGACGGCAGCGGGGAAAGGAGGCTTAAGACGGGGCTTGCCAGCCTTGCCCTCAATAGACTCGATGAGGGAGGTCTCCTCACCACAGACATAGGCGCCCATTCCGCGGTGGATGTAAACGTCGAAATCGTAACCGGTGCCGCAGGCGTTCTTGCCGATGTAGCCGGCGGCGTAGGCCTCGTTGATGGCCTTTTGCAGAACAGCCGCCTCGTGGTAGAACTCGCCACGAATGTAAATGTAAGCCGCGTTGGCGTTCATAGCACGTCCAACGACCAAGCAACCCTCAATCAGCTTCTGGGGATCCTTGCGCATAATCTCACGATCCTTGCAGGTACCGGGCTCGCCCTCATCAGCGTTGATGACTAGGTAGCGGGGGCGAGGGTCCTTGTCCCAGTCCTTAAAGTTCATGAACGACTATAATCGAGAAGACGAAGCCTCAGTCAGCCAATTGCCCGCACATTGCGTGAAGTTCAATAACAGGTCGGCCTCTCGGCCTATCCCACTTACGTATTTCAGACCCGAGGGGAAACCAGCACCACCGCGGCCACGCAGGCCAGAGGCCTTGATCTCAGAGATGAGCTGTAGAATTGTGTTAGAACAGTCAATTGATATTCAGGTTTCACCGTGTCCACCCGATCCTTGACCCGAGGTGGACGGGAAACGTCATGACACTCACCCAGTCGTGGCCCTTAAGGACGATATCCTTGGTGCGGTGCCAATCACCATACTTCATTGCCGACTTCAGGTCCGCGCCGTGGTGTCCGTAGAGGTTGGTGAAGATCCGATCCTGGTCTCGGAGGCCGCCATGGTGCTTGACTGGGGGTGCCTCCTGCACGGTTGCGAAGGAGCGGGCGGCCGCCCCATGGGCGCGGAGGGAGCGGGTGGTGAGTTGGGAGAGGGAGGAGGACGAGGGAGCCGCCGCTCGGGATATCATGATGACGGATTGCGATGTGTGATGGCGGGTCTCAAGCGGTCATGGAGAGGAGAGGAAGGGGAGAGCTGCACGGCAATTCCTGCGCTTGCTGAACGATCCGCCTTTACGAGGCGCTTGATTGGACAGTTGAGGCACGTGATGAGCTGACTCAGTGTCCCTTCCGGGGTTTCCTAATTCGGACGACAAGTATCGCTTTTGAGATGAGCACCCAGAACGATAAAAAGTGAGGTTTAGTAAGAAGGAAAGTATCAGAGCTGAGGAAAGATACTAAAAGATTACCTAGGTATGAATCTGTTTATCCTTTGGGATGTGCTGGCATTTGCAGTTGCGCAACTGCCTGCGCGTGTCAAGTGACCTATCCTTCATCCGCGCTACTTGCCAGTTCTATTATCTGGGCAGAACTTCTTCGTACTTAAAAAATTTCCAATTGTGTTCAGGATATCTTGTAGATAACTACTAGTAGCTTGAAGCTCATCGGTACCTACTGGGGTGGCCAAGAGGCCAATTGTTTAAGCTTTCAACTTGAATGCTTCAAGTTCTTTCTTATTTATATACTACTCCTGCGGTACATACAGCACCGCCTGTTTTGGCATCGCTGGGCTGTTCGTCAACACCTGCAGCGGATCCAAAGGAATCAATACCATCTCCCCATTCACCACTCTCCAGGCCCATTGCAGCCACTTCGAGTTTAGCCACCCGCTCTCCGAGTCCAGCCAAGTGACCCCATCAGATTCAGCCCACGACTGCGCCCCCTGGTTCTGGACGTATGCCCCCAATTGTTCGAGGACTCCACTACATTCATCCTCAGGATGGCTTTGAAGGGGATACTCTTCTAGCAAGAAGTCCACCCACCGAATCAAACGTGATGACAGTTGGGACTGCGCTTGAGGCGAGCGACGAGTAGCAACCAATAAGTTCACCACCAACGCAAACAGGGCTTGCGGGTCCGTTTGAAGGGCAGGGACGCGCTGGCTACTAGCCTCACCCAAAATGTGGGCGAAACATTGCTGACTCGGCCCTTGCATCTCAGCCGGAAGTAAACTGTAGATCTCGGCCAGTCGGAACAACTCGCCATTTTTGGGAAGAAGAGACTGTCGCTCCAGCACACGCACACGAATCCGGGACATGATCTCATGAGAGAAATGGTCCGCCGGAATCTTCTGCATATGCTCATTGAGAAGAAACTTGATATCCTCCCAGGCCTCGCCTCTTTGATGCTCCCGTGCGCGGGAAATCGTCCACGCCGCAATAATCAAGGCAGTTTTGTCCAGCGTGATTTGCCCGTTGCGGTATATCTGCGCAAAGGTCTGCTTCAGGTTCGATGGCTGTTCGGGCAAGCCTTCGGCGGTTTCTTGAAGGTGGGCAATATGCGCAATGAGCTCGAAGCTAATTTGCGCTAGAACTGCCAGTGTGTTTCGTCCGCTACCGTAGCCGCCGGGAATAGAGATGGCGTCTTCTGTGATCTCCATTTTCCTGCGCTCGCGCTCGTTCGCCTGCATGACTGCTATCGCGTTGAAAAGAGCGGGCGAGAAAATCGAGTGTTCCATCGGTCCTTCACGTGCCAGTAATGGGTAAAAGATGTTGAAGATATAGTAATGATCCTCAACGGCCTTGGCTACTTCTGGGAACATTTCGATCTGGCGGGCCTTGGCCTGACCAAGTGGGCTCTCTTCTGGAAGACCAAGCTTGACAATACGGTAGTCCGTAGGGTTATTCTGGATACAGAACCCGTAGTTCATCAGCACTAGTATTTCATGTTAGATCCAATGATATCAATGCATTTGATTCAGGTATATAAATCTCACATTGCTCATTGTTGCGAGGTCCGTAGTTGTTGGAAATCTCCTCGCCAGGCGAAACATTTTCCTGCACAAGCAGGCCAACATCTGCATCCCCAGCCCGCCACTCTACCTTCGCCAAGGGCCGGTGGTTAGGAAGATCAATCAATGGCAACAAGACCGGGACCGAATCTTCTGGCAGGTCAGCCTCCTCCACAGCACCAGACAAGACCTTAGGCGAGAAAGCCCGCGATGTGATAATAGTCGATGCCCAAAGGTACAATTCCCTAAAAGACCATCAGCCCAGCTCTTAAACTTGGAGTAATATGACTGTCCAAAGGCCATCCCAACTCACCAAGTAAACATCTCCAGCCCCTCAAACCCCAACTCGTCAAGCTTAGCCATCCCCTCATCAAATTTCTTATCCCAGTGCGTATACCTAAAAACCGAAGCATCCGGAATCCCCGTCCCCTGAAGCCAATCAACATCATGTTCCCCAAAAAACAAAGGCGTCGTCAATTGGCCCGGCTGAGGCAAAGTCCGCAAATAAGGATGCCAGTATCCCTCCTCGCCGCGCAGGAATTGACCCATGAGGTAAAACGCCGTCGTTTCTTCCCGGCCGACAGCGTCGATGAATTCCCTCGGGAGGACGACGCCGTGGCTGGGGAATGAGCCTTTGGGACATGTGTAACCGATCGCGTTGAAGTAGGACATTGTCACGTTCAATGGCGTGTTGATTACACGCGTTTCTTTGCTGATGGCCTCGGGCAAGTCTGTCCTCACTTGGATGTGGACGCCCCGGGTGTCATCTTGGGCGACGAATACAGTATCTGCAATGTAGCCGCCGTGATTTGTGACCCATTGCACTAGTTCTTTGTGTGATTCTAGTGAGTGGCCATTCGATGAACTGATTGTAGGTTAGCTACTAACACTAGGGTTTTGTTTCGTTATGGCTATGGGTGGGGATATAAGAGTGCTTGAAACGATCTTGTTACTTGTGTACTCACTCCTTGGAGGCGGCCATCATTCAGGGTGTGACCTGTCAATCCCTCCTGATCAGGTTTATATGACTGTTTAGATTCGTGTCGAGGAAGGCGAGAGCGAAGAGTGATATCATCGAAAAAGTTTTGGCGGGATGGTGGGCGATCCCTGAGCCCGGCCCACTTTTTTTCCGCTGTGCGCCAACTTGAGCATCTAAACCACCCGGTCTAAAAGGAGTCGAAAACTCACCAGGTCGAATGTTAGGTCAACTCCAATTTGTATATCTACTATTTGGCCATTTTTCACAAATTCTGTTTACCATCTAGCAGACGCTTTCCAACTCTTTGCGTGCCACTTAAATCAATTCATCTTCTCTCACAACTATCGTACAAAGGCATTAAGTCAATTCAATTGGAGACCAAGAATCATGGGACTCTTTAGATTCTTCACTCGGCGCATGCGATGGCTCAGACTGAAACACCTCATAAAATGCAGATTTACCCCCAAAGATTTAACCAAAGATGGAAAAAAATATATACAAATCCCATATGGTATGGGTGTAGGCCTCCCAGCGAGAAGCGTCAACAGTAAAGTCATTGATTGAATGCGCCCAATCGGATTTTTCCCCCACCAGCGCGCACTCTCGTAAATACGCAGGCAGTGGGTTGAAAGAAGAACGGAAATTTGAGATTGACCAGTGCTGTTAGATCATCTAGCCCCGGGTCCCTCTTTAGTTGGAGGTTGAGGATTTCCGACCCGGGACAAGGATCTCTACAAGCCCGTCATCCTCGCCGTCGCTGCTATCATTCTGATCGTCATCAAAGTGGGATCCACTCACAACCCGCGATCGACGGAAGCTATCATACCGGGCTTGACTCGGGTGGTTGGAATATCCGAGAGACTCGTTGATGATAGCCTCATCTTCGTCATCTGAATCGATCATGCCAGTGGCAGTGGGTGCGACCATTTCACCCATCTCATCTTCGTCATCTTCCTCGACTTCCAGCGGGACGCGCACTCGCCGCCTCACGGATTCAGAATGGCCGTCTTCATCTTCATCAGAGGAGTTGTCAGAAAATGAGTCTGGGGGGACTAAAGCCCGAGTCATGGAATGTGGGAGAAAAGGTGTGATCCGCATTAGATCCAAAGTCTGAGTTAGGGAAAGCCGAGCCGCCTCCATCCGCGTCATCATCAATGCCAGCGATCACAAAGGGGTTTCCGGACCACTCAGAGTCTCGTGCCCTGGCATTTTCACCGTGGTCATCGCCATCCTCGTCGATATCATCATTCGACTGTTGCTTTTGGGCAGCAAGGCGAGCAGCCAATTGGCGTCTAGCTCGAGAGGGGCCGAGGCTCAGAGGGGCCGGGGGAGGAGGTAGAATTGGAATTGGTTGGCTAGTGGAGTGTTCGGAAGCCTAGACAATAGCATTGTTAGCGCGATGTTCTGTAGCTCATAGTTGGGCAGTAATGCAGTGGTGGCGCAAGGGTTCATGAAGCTAAGCACCATCTTATAAAAAGGCAGCACTGGCCAGCACGTTTGAGTTTAAGAGCAGACATAGAACAATGAGTCTCCAACATCAATGAGGCTTCCAGAGAAAATACAAAACATGATCTCAATAACATGGTACATGCAGTGGATGGATCCAATTGAAATGTGACAGATATCATAGACTAGGAAGGGAAGAGATGACTCAAGGATTGCAAGCGGAAAGATCGGTGTTTCTGGCGAAAAGGGCATCGAACCAATCTACTGGTCGGTATGTCATTTGCCACCTGATCGATCTGATTGCCTATCTTGCACCAGTCTTGCCCGAGTCATTGAATCGGCATCGTCTTAAAAGGTATTATCAAGGGTGGTTAAGGTGAATTTGGAGGTGGTATGTGCACGTTCGTCACGAGCCGTGTTCGTTAAGTGTTGATCGCAAAGTTACCCACATTCTCGGAATCGCCTTGATCGGCATGAATAGTGTTGTCGTCCTGGTCCTCCATTTCCTCATCTTCGTCGTCGCTTGAGCTGGCAAAGCCGCTCAGAAGTGATGTGCCGCCACCGGCTCCGAATGCTCCTCCAGAAACGCTCCCTGAGTTGATGTCAAAGCCTTGGAATGTCGGCCCGCCGATGCCGCCGTTTAGGCCTGCGTCGGACAGAGCGGAAGAGCTTGAGAATCCTCCTTGGTTAGAGGTGGCCGAGGTAAGTACGGTCTGACGGGATCCGACAGACATGTCCGGGCGCACACCACCAAGGATCGCGTTGTCTCGCTCCCTAGTCTCAGACAGAGTTTGCTCGACATAGTCAATCCACTCGGGGTTCAAGACTGACTCCATGACGGATCGTGAGAGCAGCTCGGGGGGGGTGGCGTTCACTGAACTTCACGACTTCTTCAGCGACGAGGGTAAGATGACCCATGTAGCCAAGTCGGATCTGCTTAGTTTTCTGCGCTTCATCACTGCGCTTTTGTCCCTCAACAATTGCGGTGGTAATTTGCCCTGTCTCAAAGACATTGATGGCCAGAGCCCGGTTATAACCACGCTCCATTGGCCCGTTGAAGACTTGTTGAACAACATCATAAACAACATTGTGGAGGAAGTTATTCCATGGGAAGCGGAAGAAAAAGCCCTGCGCATAAGTTAGTGCCAGCACGTTGATGGATTGCTCAAGTTCAATGACTCACGAGTATTGTTGGAACCACCTTATTCTCAACAAACATAATCTTCAGGTAGTCGCCAACAACGGGTTGTCCATCGGTATCGTACTGAATATATTGCTCGGCAGGGTCTTCGGCACTGCCATCATTGACCCTCTCGGATTCTTGTGCGGGTTCGGAGGCAGGGGGAACCTCTTCTTGTTCGGCAGGCTGTGAGACGGGCTCTGCCGACTGCTTCTTGGGGGAGAAAAGTGGCGGGGGAACGTCCTCGGGTTTGGGTGATATGGGGTCCTTTTGGTCGACTGGGGTAGAAACTTGTTCCTCGTTTTGAGTCTCAGTTGCGAGCTTGATATCGGAGACTTGATCCGCAAGGACACCACCGGGGCTTGCTGGTGTTTCAGTCTTGGTCTGGCCAGTCGAGTTAGACTCGCTGTCTAACTCGGAGGTCTGACCAGAGACTTCGGCCTGCTCTTTGTCTTCTGGCTTCTCACCGACCAAAACACCAGAAGCTCCAACATCCTCGAAACCTTCTTCTTCACCTGCATGCGGGCGAAGAGCTTCAGGCGACCCAGTGTCCATGGTAGAGCCATTGGTGAAATCCGCCGTTGTCTCGTTGTATTCCATACCAGAATGATCATTTCGACTGGGGTTGAAGAACCCTTCACGGATTAATTTTTCGCGCTCCACATTCCGCTCTCGAACATAATCGTCACTGCCAGACTCATTTAGAAGTCCCATGTTACTGCAGTGAAGAAGCTCTGCCATCAACTCGCAAGTCTTAAATCGATCAAAGCCGAGGGGCTCAATCTTTCCACCCCAGGCCGAGTTAAGGCTGCCGCGGTCGACACTCTTCAGTTGAGTACCGTCATGAACAGCGTGCTTAGAACTTTTGATGAGAGCCATGAAATGGGGGATATGGCGAGCAAATAGGCGGAGGAGACTCCCAAGGTAAATTGGGTCGTAAGGAGTAGGCATAGATTCAGGTCCACCTAGGTGCTCAGGGTCATAGTCGGAGTTATTCTTGCGAATAACCTCGATAACGATACCCACACCGACCGTCAACGGATTGCCACCTTTCAGCATAGCATCAATAAGCTGCTGCACACACTCGGCTGAAACTAATTGGCGGGTCAGGCTGTTCGGGCCAATGCAAGATTGGTCGTTGGGGGTTGCGTTTGCGGAAATGGTGATTATTGCCTTCAAAAAGTCACCGGCGGAGGTCTGAACGGAACCGGGGTATTCTGGGGTGAGGAAAGAAAGAAGAGTTGGGATCAACCCTTGGGATTTGAGCCAGTCCACAGTTCCTTGGCCACCCTCGGCCTTCTCGAGGCTGATGATTTTCAACAACAGATCCATCACCATTGGGTTATCGACATGCTGTAGAAGTGAAGGGACAATTCCATCCAATGACTTGAGAAAATCCAACATCTCCTCTGTCTTTTTATCCAGCAGTGTCTCATTCACCTTGGTGAAATAGCTAGCTTGTTGGGAGTCCAGGGGTGGAGGTCGTCGCAGGAACCCCCAGAAGTCGCGTAGATAGGCCGGGCTTTCCATGATTGATTCCAAGATGGAGTATGTCTCTGAGGAAAGGATCTCGCAGGCGATGTAGGCGTGCTTGATGCGATTCTTTTCGACCCTTTCCAGGTCCTCTGGACGCAGAACATCCTTGAGGGGATCGGACGCTTTCTCTTCCTCGTCTCCATTGTCTTCCTTGTCCGGTTGTTCGTTTACTGTGGCCTCTGCACCGTCATCCTTGGAGGGCTCTTTGGGAGACTCCTTTTCGTGGGTATCATCGTCATTTTCTTCGTCATCATTGACCAGGCTCGGCGCGGTCACGTAGTCCATAAGCCGCTTTAAAACATGGTCCTCGCGCAGGTATTCTATCAGTTTTGTATTATGCTGTTTCAGCTCCTGGATGATCTCCGGCTCATCCAGCAAGTCCTCGAGGGTCACCTCGGGCTTGTCAAGAAGGGTATCGATGGTGGAGATACTTGCATATCCCCCAAAACGCCAGAACATGATGGAGTATATAGCTAGGCAGAGCGATTCATGAGATGTCTTTTCGTGTCGTCAATCTCCGAGGTGTCGTAACGGAGCGGGCTATGGTACACTAGGAAGGAATCGGCAGGATGAAAGTGGTGGGGTGAGGAAGTTCACCGGGAGCGCGATACGCCGGGAATTCCACACGCACACAAAAAGCTCACGAAAGGGACCGTGAGGAGGGGGGGGGTGCACGGCGAGGTCGAATGTAGTATCGAAAAGAGAGGAGGATGAAAAGAGAAAAGTCGATATAGGCCGAAGCGAACCTAGCGCTGAAGCTGGAGTTAGCGATCGGATGTGAATGGTTGCATCAACCCCGGAGCGGATGGTGTGCACCACGGCGCAGGCGGATCTGGATCTGACGAGGCAGGATGCTGTGGGGCTAGCGGGAGAGATGAGGTGGGGGGGTGAAATTATAGGGGGTATCGAGGTAAGATTGAGATGAGGCTGGGAGAGAAAGAAGTTGAAGTAAGGCGCACAACGTACCTCCGAGATGCGAAGAGAGTGACGGAGAAAGAAATGGGGGGGTTGGTTGTTGGAGGTGGTGGTTGAGGTGGTGTGGGAGAATGCACCCGAGAAGGTTCAAAGGGAGCCAAATGGAAGTAGAGGAATGCAAGGGCTCACCGCGGGTCCATCAAGGAACAAGGGGAGAAAGGATGAAGCTGCGAAGAGAGGTGGTGAGAGGTAAGAGGTAAGAAAGATCGGTGCCAGTGCAGGGGCCGGGGAGTTGGCAAGTGCAGCGGGGGAGGAAATCGCAGCTGGAGCCCCCAGATAAGCATGACCTACACAATACTACCACTGAGTATCTATACAGCCCTGGAGAGTATCCTCCAGAGCTCCCTTCTTTACAATTCTCAAGTCGATATTTCTATCTTCCACCCTCCGCCATCCACCATCCACCATATACCCAATGTTCTCGACTCTATCTGGATATCCTTAACTCCGGCAGCGTTACGGAGTAGGCAGGCCACCATCCACCTTGGACCACTACTCCCAGGCATCTCAATCTTATGCTAATCCTTCAGGATCACGGGCCCAATACTCCGTACTCTTACCACCAGATCCGGTCATCTGGATTGACAATGTGGACGTTATCACTGATCAGCATATTCTACCTACCCCGAGCCCGAGCCCCCGAAATTGACACGCACGAGCTGCCAGTGCGTGGGGAGTGCCCGGGGACTTGGTTCTTGGTCACAGTCCCACACGTGTGCCCAATCCACTGCCCAAGTCGAGATAACACCCATGTGGCCATCTACAGTATTACTAGGACTAGTATAGCTGCAGAATCAGATAGCAACCTGGGGAGTCAACCTGAAAAATCTTACCTAGAGACTATGATGTACTCCCAAGATATCCCATCTCATCCTTTTTTAAGGCCGTTCTCGCCTTCTCCTCATCACGTGCTCTGTATCGAACAATGTTTCTGCCTCAGGCGGTAAGGCCCCACTGACGTCGGCCTCCGCATCGTTGTTGGTTGTCGGTTGTTACCTAACCGTGCGGTGGTAAGCATCAGATCAGACCTGCACCAAATAACAGCTGCCTCAGTACCTGTTAGAGGACTCGGCTGCCTACTTACTTTCCAGAATTCCCCCATACCGGCCTCCCTCCATCAAAATCGCATTGTCTCCCATCTTGCAGCTCCGACCCTCGTACCCCTCGTCCCCATCTCACCCCTCACAATGAACCGCCTATTTGGCTCCAAGAGCTCGGCTCCCAAGCCCACGCTCGACGGCGCAATCTCCAAGGTAAGCAATGTACCAGAGACTACTAGCACGACCTCAGTATCCACGAACGCACAATCTAACAAACCAACCCAGGTTGACGACCGCGTATCAAGCATCGACGTCAAACTCGCAGCCCTAAACTCCGAACTCTCCACCTACCAAGCCAAACTCTCCAAAATGCGCGACGGGCCCGGCAAAAACGCCCTCCGCCAGAAGGCCCTCAAGATCCTCCAACGGCGCAAACAATACGAGGCCCAGCGCGACCAGCTCTCCCAGCAATCCTGGAACATGGAGCAGGCCGGCATGATGCAGGATAATCTCAAGAACGTCATGACAACCGTCGACGCGATGAAGACCACAACGAAGGAGCTGAAGAAACAGTACGGCAAGGTCGACATCGATAAGATCGAGCAGATGCAGGACGAAATGGCTGATCTAATGGAGGTCGGGAATGAGATTCAGGAGAGTATCTCGCGGGCGTATGATTTGCCAGAGGAGGTAGATGAGGCGGATCTGGATGCGGAACTTGAGGCTTTGGGCGAGGAGTCGATGTTTGACTCGGCTATTGGCGAAGATGCTGTGCCGAGTTTCTTGCAGGATGAGGTTGCGCCGCCGCAATTCATTGATGAGCCGCCCGAACAGGCGAAGGTTAAAGAGGCTGCGGGCGGTCTTGGATAAATGGTTTCTTGCTTAAAACGCCTGCGCTATATGAGCCTGCGGAGTTGATGTCATGGAGTTTTCTGTTTCCTTGTCTTTTTCCCCGCCCCTTTTCACTTGGGTTACTCCATTTACGACCATATCATCTGATAAACTATTTGTATTCATGCGATGCTTACTACCCGTATCGATAGCGTGGAAATATTGACTAGATATGCATGGTAAACCTAAAGTGACACTGCCAAGGACTGTTTCAATCTCTTGGGATGCGATGATTTTGCTGAAGAGTCGTGAAAGCGATGCTAATAGATGGGGAATCAAGATGCTTTACCCATACCCACCAGCACTAAGAGAGCCACGTTCATCACCACAATAATGATCCAAACGACAACTGCAATCCCCGATGTGATAATGTGGTTCCTCATCGAGACTTGCTCGATCGACACCTCTCCATCGCCCTCGATCCGTTCGGTGGGTACAGTCATGTACCGGGTAAAGCAAGTAAACCAAATGAGAGGAGCAGAAACGAAAGGCAGAATGACACTCAGGACAACCTGGCTGGCAGTGAGAGTCTTGTCCAGACCATCTCTTCCAACAGCCGCGGCAATGATGATACTGGGGATGATGCTGATAGAACGGGTGATGAGTCTGCGGACCCATGGTTTAATACTCCACTTCAGCATTCCTTCACTGACCATCTGGCCTGCCATTGTGCACACAATACCGGCCGAGATACCAGATAGGAGGAGCGCCAGGGCGAAAACTAGACCGGCAGCTGGCGAGATAGAAGAGGAGAGAAGTGCGTGGATGCCGAATAGGTCGGCATCAGCGCCACCTGGGATATCGTAGAGAGAAGCACCAGCGACGATGAGAATGGCACTGTTGACAAACAGAGCGAATGTAAATAGCGACAGTGCCAACTCAATGATTGAGTACTTCAAGCATCCACGAATAGCGTGCAGGGTAGGGCGGTACTCCACCTCCCCATCACTGCTCCCTAGAGCAACGCTGGATTCCACATAGCCTGCTGTGACATCGAATTCCTTTAAGCGTGACTGTACCACACCACTGCCAAGGAAGAGGGAGTGGGGCATGACCGTGGCGCCAAGGATACCACAACTCTGATAAAGACTATAAGAATCACATATTAATCAAGTGGAAATTTTGATGGGAATGCTTGCATGTGTCGAGTTTTTGTTTGACTTACCCTTCAGATTGAACGATGGCCGAAGATGGGAGATAACCTCGAAACACCTCCCCGACTGATTGATCTTTGATCAGAGAGAGCTGAAGGCAAAAGCAGACCACAACTCCCAAGACCAGGGCCATGACGAAGAACTCGAAAAGACGTAGCCCCCACATAGACCCATCGGGCCGGTAGAAAAGGAGAAGAAATAGGACATCAACCAAGGTAATGGCACAGCCAGCCACGAGTGGGATCTTGAGAAGTAGATTCAACGCAATCGCGGATCCGACAACCTACATCACATGTCAGTCAAGTAGTTCACGTCAGCATACGAATCAGTGCAACATGCCTCTGCAATATCAGTGGCGATAATGGCTGCTTCCGCGAAGATGTACAGAATGATAGTCAGCCAGCGCGGGAGATGTTCACGACAGTTCTCTGCCAAGTTCAAGCCTGTCACAGTTCCCAGTTTAATGCACAGGGATTGTAAGAGGATGGCAAAGAGATTAGAGATGAGAACGATGAAGAGTAGTTTGTACTTGAACTCTGCACCGGCCGCAACGTCGGTGGCATAGTTTCCCGGATCGATGTAGGCGACGGCGATCAGGAAGCCGGGTCCGATAAAGCGACCGAACTTTGCTAGGGTGCGACCCCAGTGTAGAGCAGATTCTGAAAGATAGTCTTTGAAAGGACGGCGAGGTGATCGGCCGGTCATCGAGGGTGGTTGGCACCCCGAGGCCGCGATCCCCTCGCCGCCCGACGACTTCTCGGTGGCGAGATCAGGTTCGTTCAAACTTTGCGGGCGGGAGTCAATGGACATGGTGTCGTCGCCTATTGCACCACCAGCATTGCCCGGCCGCTTGCGATGGACGCGGGAGTTCGCAATTCCATTGAAGTCACTGCGGGTAGTGGTGTCCGGGCTGAAAGTCGGGGGGGTTCTGGTTCCAGCCCGGATGCTCCAGATCGTCGTCGGTGCGCGAGGGGCAATTCATTTCATAGGTGTGGAGTAGTGAGCAGTATGTTTGTTTGTTCAGATGTAGTTTTGCGACCTGTCTCAGGCAGAAAGCTCAGTCGTTCGAGAGTAACTTCAAGTTCAAGTTGTGGTCGGATGAAGATTCGGGAAGCGTTTATCGGAGGGAGCCATAGACAAGGACCTTCCGAGTCCGATACTGCCCGACTTTCGTGATGCTTGGCCGAGGAGAACTTGATTGGGGTACACACAGTTCAATATTGTATTCTGGGTGAACGTTCAGAGAAACAAAATAGACCAGATTAATTTAGATTGGGGAAATGTCTCAAAATTATACAGGAGTACCAAATTGATGATTGCTTTGATTGATCGACCAAATTGGGGAAAGAGAGGGGCATCGCAAACGGTCAAAAGAGTGGACTAGGAATGGCCCATGGACGTGGATTGTGGGTCTCCCCCAAGCTGAGACCACGCGATCGTAGATTCCATTTCAATCTGGGCAATGGAATTGATAGTATTATATACTGGGTAGTTGTACTCCGCACTAGCCCAACTATCTTGGCCTGAAGAAGGTGATAGTGCGGTTGTGCGACACTGAAATGCATAAACGAGGTGAATCCGGGTTGTTGACATGGGCCAGACCACGAGAACTGCAGGGAAAGTAAGTTCGGGCGTGGTGGGAAATAGTGGGAGAGTAAAAGTACGATAGTATCCAGGGTTGACACTGTTTGGGTGCTCATCAAGCGAAGGAAGTAGATGTAAATAAATACTAGTAGTACCTGCGTAGTCATACTAGTTAGTAGAGTGGTGGTGGTGGTGGTGGTGGTCACGGTACTAGCTAACTATGGAGTAGGTACTAGTTAGTATACTTCTTCTACTCAACCCGCCTACTTCCACTACACATCGATCTAGATCCCGGCCCAACCTTGGGGAACCTGAACCTTACAAACAATCAGCATCGGCCAAGTCATCACTGCATGTTTGGTTCTCTTTCCCCTCTCCACCATGACATGCTTGTCCAACTTGTCCAAACCCGATTGACCGCCACCACTGCCAAACGCTGGTTGCCCCCAGCAACCGCCCAGCCCGCACCATGTTTACCTTTCCCCCACTCTATGCACCCAAGACCAACCCCGAGGATCGACTCACACACTAGTTGACCCGGTCGAGAGTGAAGTGGAGATCTCATCACTGGATGTTGCCAACGGCAGCGACTGATCTCTGAGACTTGCTTCAAATTCCCGGGGCAGCCCGCTTTGTTTTCCCTCCCATCATCTGCCTTTTTTTTCTGTTCTACCATTCCACCCTGCATTGCATTTTGTTTTCTCGCATTTCATCGTTTATTGCTTCACTTATTCTTCTTATCCGTATCCTTTTCTTCACTCTACATACATCATCTCCGGTCGGGTGTCCGTTTGCGCGCTGTTCTCTGTTTTCAGCGTTGATCGATCCCGTACGTATCACCTGTCCCTACCCATTCCAATCTTGACTGTCAACTAACACCCCCCCAGTTGCTGGCCAAAGGTGATAAGCAATGGCGTCCACTACTTCCGGCCCCCAGATCTTCGATGATGCCAATCGTCCCCCGGCTCGATCTTCAGTCTTCCGGTCCCTCATGTCTAAACCTCACAAGCGAAATCAATCCGCCGATGATGCCATGGCTCCACCTTCACCAACCAAACAACCAACCTCTGTTCCATTCCCTTGGGCAAACAGTCCCTCATCAGGCCCTGGTCACCTCCCACTATCCGAGATCGTCCCCAACCGCGATGCCGGCGATAAGGGTGGTCCCGCTCAGAAGATAGGAAGCAAGGGGAGCAAGGGTGCTCTACATAAGAAAACCAAAAGCGCTGTCTCTCTTAAATCCCTACGAAGCTACATGGGGAAGGACAAGGCCGATGAAACCAACAGTGTTGCGTCTGACGAAATGCAGCCAAAGAAAACCAAGTCAACAAACAGCTTGTCGGCGATCCTGAAGCGATCCCAACGAGGACGCAAAGGTGACGGCTCCAAGCAGAGCCGCGAAAAGGAGAACCGCAGTCCTACCGATCTCATTGACAACTTGAATATGCCCTCCCCGATGCCATCTCCAGTTTGGCCCCAATCCGCCCCGATCTACAATGATTCGATGACTCGTGCACGGCAGAACTCCAACACCGATAGACACCGCACCCTAGCAGACGAGGTCTCACTCTACACGCCGAAGGGCTATAGCCCGGCTCAACAACGTAACTTCTATGATTACCACCAGCCATCCCTCACCAGAACTGGGGAGGCGAAACCCCGGCCCAAGTCCGACTGCCTACAGGGTAACAGAAAATTGAAGGATCTCATGGGAACCATCCAGCGCGAGCAATCGCGGGACAGTTATGCCATCGAGAAGGTTGACACAGCGTCCTCAAGGGGACCAAGACTCGAGAGGTCGAGAAAGATGTCCGCCCCGGAATCACCTGCAAGGCCCCAAGAGCAGCCAAGTCCCAAGAAGCTGTCTCGGGTCCAGGCAGCCATCTCTGCATTCAACGCAAAGGAAAAAGACGTCGACGTCCACAAACATCTAGATTCCAAAGACCTCGAAAGCGAGTTCGAGAAACTACTGGTTGGTACTCCGAGATCCCGCCGTCTTACAGTTCATTTACTTACACCCTCTCTAGGATGCGAGAAATATTCCCCATAACATGCGGGACAAGATGCGGTCTCTTGATACCAACATCAAGGCCGACTTCATTCAGAAAGATAGAACTGAGAATGGCACGCCGCACAGCGCGGGTACGGCCGATAGCCGTCGAGGTCGCGGCAACGAGACAAAGGATTCTCAAGACCGCAGGGGTTCTCGCTCTCGCTCCAGAAGCCGTGGCTTTGCCTTTGGCCGTGGCCCCTCGTCCCCTGGGAAGAAGGCTCGTCCTGAGAGTGGAAGTAACTTCCATCGTCCCCGATCAGTTGATCTTTCTCAACCCGTTGGCGTCTACACCACTCTCTCCGCAGCTGGGTCAACGGCTTCTCTCACCGATGCCGCGGCGGTAGACACTGCTGCGGACCCATCTGACTTTGTGCATTATCTGCGTGAAATCCAGAAGCCAGAGATGATTGAGGTGGGCAAGATCCACAAGCTTCGTCTTCTGCTCCGAAATGAGACCGTCTCGTGGGTCAATGGCTTCATCATGGAGGGGGGCATGGATGAGATTGTGCAGTTGGTATACCGCATCATGAAAATGGAGTGGCGGTAAGAATCTCTTTTTCAAGATGACATGTTAGACAATTACTGATATTTGATACAGTGAGGACCATGAGGATACCCTTCTTCATGAAGCATTGCTCTGCCTGAAGGCTCTCTGCACTACCTCGATTGCACTGGCGCATCTTACCAGAATTGAGGCCGAGCTTTTCCCCGCCCTTTTAAAAATGCTGTTCGGCGAGGATAAAAAGGGACCGAGCGAGTTCACAACTCGAGGCATCATAATCAACCTCTTGTTCACTCAACTCTCTGCCCTTGCCCCAGGCGAAAGCCCTGGAACGCGTGCCAAGCGCATCCTCTCCTACCTCCGTGATCCATCTCCAGAAGACGAAAGTCAACCCGTTGCCTTTATTGCCAACATATACCAGTCGCGGCCCTACCGAGTCTGGTGCAAAGAAGTCACAAACGTGACCAAGGAAGTCTTCTGGATCTTCCTACACCACTTGAATGTCATCCCCCTCCCCAAGGGAGGTTCCCAAATGGAAGACCCCTTCATCGAGAAGAAAACCTCAGCAGAGACGAACCCATACTATGAACGTCACTTCCCGACCGCTCGCCCCCCTGTCCCCGCCGCTCCATACGTTGGAGGCGTAGAATGGGATGCGACAAACTACCTTGCCGCACATCTCGACCTGCTGAATGGTATGATCGCTTCCCTGCCCACAGTTGAGGAGCGCAACCAGCTCCGCGGTGAACTACGAGCCTCTGGCTTCGAGAAGGTCATGGGTGGCAGCTTGCGCACCTGTAAAGAGAAGTTCTACTCAGCCGTGCACGAATGTCTTCGCACCTGGGTCGCCGCCGCAGCTGCAGATGGCTGGCCCTACATTGCGGTCCGTGAAGGTCCCCCTCGTGGCGGTGATCCTGGCTCCCCTACCAAGTCCCCCAAGAAAGCCCCCGGTAGTCCCAAAAAGGGTGCGCTGGAGGAAAAGCCTCCTAAGCTGGAGCTTGCGCTCGATTTTCCAATGAGCCGACCATCTGGTCCTGAAACTCCCTCCAGCGATTTGCGCAGCTGGCTTTGAGCATCGGATAGGATACAACATCCTACCGACAAGATCTTTTTTTTTCACTTCTTTCCTTGTGTTTTTCCTAACCATTTCATTTTGCTTTTCTCATGTTTCATGATCGGCGTTTTTGAGGGGTTTTTTTCACCTTTACAGTGCGGACGTTACGTGGTCAGCCTCTTGTTGACTCGTTTGTTTCGCTGTCGGAGTTCTCTTTTGCAAATCTCTTGTTTTTTACCTCTGGCGTTGGCATTACTGGTGTTGTTGGGAGTTGCATATTCATTTTGTCCGGAGACGTTTCTTTTGCTCCTGGAAAGACATGATGTAATGAAGTCAAGTTACGGTGCAGGTGGCGGGGAGAGGAGAGGTCAGAGTCCCGTGTCCATGTTATTTTCTTTTACTCTGTTCTTCGTTCCTCTTCGCGGTATAGCGACGCCTGCTGTTCGGACTGGATTTCCTCATGATATTTGATCGATGACAGAAATGAGAATTGAATGATCATTCACTGATACACCTGATGGTTTGTTTGGCGGTTTAGGATAGAAGTTCTGGTATATTGTAGTTATATTGTACAGCACAGCAAATAATCAATAATGTACAGAAAGCACGATGGTATGGCAGATCGGCCATCCTCTTCGTATTTCAAGTTATTTATCTTCCGTTGCAAGCTTCTCATGCGCCTTCTTGACAGGACCGGGAGGGGTGGGAGCGGAAAAAACGCCCTGCAACCCGGAGAAGAAGTTCTCTCGAAGCTAGAATTTTGCGAAAAGTCAGCTCATAGGCCAGACAGACTCCAAGATTATGACATATCAAAACTCACCCCATCGAAAGGCGTATCCTTGGTATCCCAGTTCATGAACAGCACTGCGTAAATAATGACGACTATAATCAAGACCATCAGCAGCCAATCTCGACTTCCCGAACATCTCGAGCCAAAGGCGGGATGGAAAATCTATTAGAATACTCACACCCAATCACACCCCACTGCACCAGAGTCACGGTCTTAATAAACTTAGGCCGCGCATACTTCAGCGCCGCGCGCCGGCGATACTTGCGCTCAAGGCGGAACTGGTGTTTCGGCGAGAGCTTGGACATATCCGGAGGCCATTGGCGCTTGGGCTTGTGAGGGCTGTAGTAGGCGTCGTCGTTGGAGGGGGAATGTTCTTGTTCGTGCTCGTGTGCGTGTTTGTCGGAGGAGAGGCGGAAGGGCGAGGAGGACTTTTGGGTGGTGAGTGTGAAGCGTGAGGCGGGTGTCGTGGAGAAGAGGCGGGTAGATGTGTTGAGGGGGGGGTTTTCTGTATCGAGGCATTGTTAGGATGCGCTGCGGCTTTGGTGATGGATGATTTGTTTCGAGATCGTACAGCTTGGAGCCATGTTGATGGCTGGAGGGTGGCGCGTGGGATCGAGCAGCTGAATCGCGCTGCTGAACCAGCAGCGCTGAATAATTGTCGGATCATCGGGTGTAAATGGTAAGCTGGGGTGGGCGAGGATTGAGGATGCCCAGGTCGCGGTGGTGAATTGGAGTTGCTGGAGTGCGGAGGTTGATCGGGCGAGAAATTGGATAATTTGACCGCCGTGCTCCGCTTGCTCCACTCATCCCATTAATAGCCCTTATGGAGCCTACCAAGGTTGCCATACTACTAGCAGTACGGATTTCCATGACCAGATATAATTCGTCGGGGTATCTCTTTATTCAACTATCTCTTTGTCTACCAGCAGATACTCTTTTTAACTCACATTCATGTTTTTTCCCCAAGAAATCGCAGCATGTTCATCTAACCTTGGGATGCTTGCTACTATTTGTAGTAACTACTAGCCCGATAGTACGTATCCAGGTACCTAGGACCATGTTGGCTAAACGTCACGCCCTGGGTCGACACTACTACCTAGTTAATAGTACTACGCAGATGCTATTGTTATATGCGCAAACAGACTAGAGGTGCAAAAGCGGAATATGATATCTGTGGAGGTAAATCCTCGGCAGGGCTCTAATGTCTCCACAATAGATAGCCCGAGTAGAGACCAAGGTTGTGTATAACGATCACATTCAGGATATCATAGATCGGGGATGCCGAGAGGGACCGGTCCTGTGCGGATTGATCGGGGTCAACAGGCCCGTATGACGTCCGGCGGTCAGAATGGTGAGCCGGGTAAACTTGACTTTCACGTTCATGTTCATCTGATAGGTAGGTAGGGAGTGTCATTTTCACATGTTCACATGTCGGCCCTCGAAGCATATGGGACCCGATCCCGTGACTTTAACCCGGAATAACAATGATGCGGGAGCCTCGGCTCAGCACGGCGTCCAGTATGCGGCGGATGTCCTTCGAACAAGGGAAATACCACCGGATCCACGTCTGCTTTAAAAGAGAGAGACACCTCCCCAGATTTCGTGGACCACTTTTCATCCTACCCCGTGGTGTTTCCCCCTTTCTCATTCATTTTCCCCATACACCCCTCAGACCTCTTCCCATATTGACGTCATGTCTTCCGGTATGTACTTCTCTGTCAGCTGTCAGCCAAAAGATACAACACAGCATCTACATATGTTTAACGAGCACTTGGGCTCGACTGTTGAGAGAGATCCACAAGCTAACTATTTTTTTCAGCTCAGCAACGCTTGAACCAAGTCTCCTCCCACTTCAGTGGCAAGAAAGGAGCCGCCGGCGTCACCGAGAAACACCCCGATGACATTGTCGTGACATGTGCTCTGCGCACTGCCCTCACTAAGGGCGGAAAGGGTGGCTTCAAGGACACTGCCGCCGCTGACCTGCTGGCCGGTGTCTTCAAGGCTGTGATCAACAAGAGTGGTATCGACCCCAAGGTCGTCGAGGATATTGCTGTTGGCTCTGTCCTGCCCCCCGGTGGTGGTGCGACCGAGTTCCGTGCCGCAGCTCTCGTTGCTGGTTTCCCCGAGACCGCCGCCGTCAAGAGTCTGAACCGTCAATGCTCCAGTGGTCTTCAGGCTATCGTTGATATTGCCAATGCTCTCAAGTCTGGCATGATCGATGTTGGTATCGGTGCCGGTGTTGAGAGCATGACCTCCCAGTACGGGTGAGTAAACCTATTCTATAACAACCTGTTCTTGTGAATATCTAGCTAACTATCATTTCAAAACAGCCCCGGTGCCGTCACTGAGTTCTCCGAGCTCCTCGAGTCTCACCCCGAGTCCGCCAACTGCAAGGTCCCCATGGGCGTCCTGTCCGAAGACATGGCCAAGGACCGCGGAGTCACTCGTGCCGCCCAGGACTCTTTCGCTGCTTCTTCCTACCAGAAGGCCCTCAAGGCCCAGAAGGCTGGTCTCTTCAACGAGGAGATCGCCCCCCCTCGATGTCAAGTGGACCGACCCCAAGACTGGCGAGGAGAAGACCATCACTGTTAAGGCTGATGACGGAATCCGTGAGGGTATCACCGCCGAGTCCCTGGGCAAGATCCGCCCTGCTTTCGCTAAGGACGGCTCCATCCACGCCGGTAACGCCTCTCAGATCTCCGACGGTGCTGCCGCCGTCCTGCTCATGAAGCGCTCCACCGCCGAGCGCCTCGGCCAGAAGATCATCGGCAAGTACGTTTCTGCCAGCGTTGTCGGTGTCAAGCCCCTTCTCATGGGTGTCGGCCCCTGGGCTTCTATCCCTCTTGCCCTCGAGAAGGCCGGTATCACCAAGGATGATGTCGACATCTACGAGATCAACGAGGCTTTCGCCTCCCAGTGCGTGTGGTGTGTCAACGAGCTTGGCCTGCCCCAGGAGAAGATCAACCCCAAGGGTGGTGCCATTGCCTTCGGTCACCCTCTTGGCTGCACCGGCTCCCGCCAGGTCAGCACCCTTCTGACTGAGCTCAAGCGCACAAACAAGAAGATCGGTGTCACCTCCATGTGTGTTGGTACCGGTATGGGCATGGCCGCCGTCTGGGTTGCCGAGTAAAATAAGGCGCATCTTCTTTTCTTGTATTCTGCACAGCGACTTTTTCTTCTCTTCCTTCTACCTGCACGAATTCTTCTATGTATTGAATACCTCTAAGGATACCACGAGAGATTGATTGAAATTTATGTATATTTTCATACTTCAAAGAACTTGCTTCCGAAATGGACGGGAGGATACTTTGCTTCATGTTTCAAGACTACCTGTACAATCGTAACCCACCTTATATTACTAGCTTCAAGACAAGGTATTATGCGCGGAAATCCTTGAAGGCCTGCGTAACAGTCACGCCATTCGCTACAGCTTCGATAGCCTTTTCATCCATGGATATCAACTTTGGCATCAGCTCCAACACTGGTTCAAGCAAATCACGAGGTATAACGACCACTCCTTCGAATGGATCACAGAAGACAATGTCACCCTAGAAATAATAGCGCATTAGCTACCCAGTTTGAGACCGACAACTTGAATTACACCTACTGGGGATACAGTGACCCCTCCAATAGAAATAGGTATGTCGCGCGCCACAGCCTTAGCTTCAGCACCAGTCCCCACAGTCGATGTAGACCGAGCCCAGATCTATACGAAAAGAGACAATTAGCCACATGGCCTCGATCTTCGTTCACACCGCCAAAAAGGATCCAAGACAAACCGGCAACCCTGTCGCTTGTAGCTCTCTCAAATCCCGAATCCTGCCCTCAACAACAGCGCCCTTGAGACCCAACGCCTTCATCCTCGTCGCCATGATACCTCCCGTCACAGCACAGTATTGGTCGCCAGGTTGCTCGATCATGATGATCGAGCCCGCATTTGCCGGGTCAGCCGCGGCAAAGTCGCCCGCATAGTCGACCCAATGCTTACCCGGCGGGAAGCCGTGTTTTTCGGGATTTTCCGTTGCGATAGTCGGTGGTGTAGCCCCCTTCGAAAGGAATTTGAAGGTTGTTGCTGGCGCAGCAATCTTCTTTGTTGTTTCGTTTCTGCCGAGTATCGGGGAAAAGGGAGCTGTTGGTTCGATCGTTAGTGAGGTGTCTTGTATCCGGTAGTGATGATCGATGATCTAGCGCCCTAGAGTATTATTTCCCCGTGCTTTCAATCTCAGCGCAAGTAAAGCAGAGAGAGGGGTATGAGGAAGAAAGGGGCCTATAAATCAAGTTCAAGGGAATTTTACTCAGATCAGCCAAAAAGCCTGCTCGTGCCGTGCCGCCCTCGGGCACCTTTTGTAGTTTAAGGAGGGCATCTGATATCTAGTCAATATAGAGGTCAGTTTAAGCACGGTAAACGATGAAGCTGTAGTATATCATGCGAATACTACTGGCAGCTCATATATCTTGATTAAGCGGGGCATACATCGCAGGCTGTGTACTTCTCCACTAAAGTCACAAGTTGCTCATTGAGGCTGGACATGGCGGGGTGCGGGGTGCGGGGAGACGAAGACGCAAAGGATAAGATCTAGCTGTAGGTAGATGGGAGTATGACAGTGCTATATGCCACCAGAAGAGGATGTAAAGTGAAATTGGAGCAGCTGGCTTAATTGTATTGCCGACCAAGTCGCGCACATGTCCGCTAGTCCGGGTATCGGAATCAACTTCAACGGCCCACCCTATGGCACCCGAGGATATCCTGTTGTAAGGTCCGGTTCTCCACTTCTAAGCGGAGGCTGTTCCGGGAGCATCATATCGATTTTGATACATCTATATTCGGGCGGCCCGTATCTTGTATTCCAAACTTCAAGTTCAAAAGTAACTCTGTGCAAGAGTTGAAAAGGTAGAATGATGCCAAATCCTAGTGTGTACGCCCGATAATCCCATAATGACAACTTGAACCAGCTGCGAGAGTTATACACATCAATCCATAGATCCTTCTCGCTATTCGGCCATCTCTATCTTTGTCGTCCCATCTTCGTACCATAGCCTCATAGCCATCTGACTGATACTATCCCCATCCCATCCTTGCTCCATCAAATCAACTAGTTCCGGTTGCGACTTGAACTGTAAAACTTCGATCGCAGAATGACGTAGTCGATAGAGAAGCCAATGATTGACAAAGTTAGATTTATTTAATGGAAGTGGGCGTGCCGTTTCAAAAAATGGCGAGCGATCATCCAACTCGGACGCACGCAGTGGATCTGGAGGCGATTGATCGTTGGGCTGATCAGGGAGGTATTCCTTCAACAAATCCCGCCATTCATCATCTGTGACAGTGTTTTCATGAGGCATTTTGCGCCCAGGATGATTCTCGAGTCGAAGGTGCGTTGGATTTAATTCCTCCTCAATGCCATTTCTTTCGTCTTCATATTGTTCAAGGAATAGTTGCGCGTTGTTGTCGAGAGGTAGACCATTCTGCCCGCGAAACTTTTGTTGATCAATGATTCTCATATATTCCATCTCGCCATGGGTAAGCTCGTCGAGTCTTGTGCGAATTATCGTGGCATCTTCGACAAGCGATACGTATTCAGCCGCTTTGGGAGAAAGGTCGCGAGTACCCTCGGTAGGTACAATATGGTGGACTGGCGAGTCAGGGTCGACATCTATACTAGTATCGCGTTGCTCTTGAGCCAGGAATGTAGCCTCGTTGCGCAAGATACTAACAATGTCTGCCGTGTACTTATTGAGATGTTGTTCTTTCTGCTCTAATGCATCTTCCACCTGTTGGTATTCGGTTTCCAACCCTAGATAAGAAGCTGTAGCTGCCTGCAGGTCCTCGATAGCCTCATTGATTCTCAAAGCCCCTGCATGCAGCTCTTCAGGCTTAATAGAAGCAAGGCAGTCCCGGAGGGCTAGTCGAGTATGATCCTCTTGTTCCCGTTTGTGTCGAAGTGCATTGCGGAAATTCCTCGCATGGGATCGCTGGACGGAGATATCCTCCTGGAGGGCGGCAAATTTATCTAAAACTGTCGCAAGATGAAATTCGCTGTCTTGTATACGCACTAGCAAGTTATCGGAGAGATCGGATTGCTGGGATAAGGTTGGAGATTGGAAAGGCTGTGCTTCATGGATGCTCTGAATTCTCCGAGTCAGATCTGGATCACTTTTCATGACCTCTTCTGTAGGGTATCCGTATGGCGGGGCGGTTGATGTGGTTTTGGGAGGAGGGTCCTCGGAAATCCAAGGGGAATTTGGTTGCAAAGTGTCGGTTGCTGTTGATACCGGGGACATCCATCCTGGGTAGTCCTCTTCTGGTTGCAGGATAGGTGATAACCTAGCAGCAGCGTAGATCTCGCCCCTAGTATCTTCCCATGGGTCTCCAGCAAATGATACCTACATAGTAATGATAACACGAACATGAGTCAAAGAACAGCATATTATATATAGTATCTTCGCTGAGAATGATAGTAGAGATGAAGCTTACCAAAGCAGAATGGTCCCGTGAAGTGCCAGGCCAGGATGTCATGACGAGTAGTTCAACATCAACCGATCACATCTCGATGACAAAATCGTCGGGATCAACTGCAAATCTAGCAGGTTGACAGGCCTAAGCTATGGGATGGAGCAAGGAAGTATCCAAATTCATGTAGTGAAAGATACAAGAAGCACAGGTCGCAGCTAGTGTCCGTGTGGTCGGGCGCAGGCAGGCGAGCCTCGCAGGGCGTCGAGCAGCCCAATCTGCGTTGTTTTGTCACCTGAAACCTTGGTCATTAAGTGCTAGCGCTTCCGACGTACTCCGTCGATCTATCAGATTTCTGTATATTTGATCTTTGGGGATACCTTCTTGAATCGAGCTGGTGGCTAGTATTACTAATACCTACCTAGGTAGATACCTAGGTACCTCCAGGGCTGGAAGTATAAAAGTCACCATAGGCATGCGGCCCGGGAGATGCCTTATCTTACACCTAGGGCCGGTGATGCCCTGAACAAGTATTATATTCTCACGACGATAGAAATTCTTCGACATAGAATTAATTAAGTGACAGCCTTAGTTTAGAAATATGCATTCACTTTGAGAAAGTCTTTTCAAAATAGAGGTCATATTCAAGTTGTAGCTCGTTCATCAGATATTAAGGCAACAAGGCACTGAAATCAAGATTGACCGCCCGCAAAATATCTCACCGCCCGCCGAAATTTCCCAGACAGATGCAGCATCTTTTTTTTTCGTCCTCGATTGAATCACCGCATAGCAACCATGAAGCGCAAACTGGATGCAAACGACGTTCCCTCGCCCGAGCCCGCGGGTGTCGAAGACCAGGAACCTGACTTTGAGGCTTTGGGCCTGGATCCCCGACTGCGTCAAGCCTTGATTAAGGAAAAGTTCACCAAGCCAACCCTCGTACAAGCCAAGGCAATTCCTCTGGCCCTTGAGGGCAAAGATATTCTGGGTAAGTCGCCCACTTGACAACTATGAGTCTTTATGTATATATATCGCATATACTGACAGATTTAGCCCGTGCGAAGACTGGCTCTGGAAAGACTGCCGCCTACATTCTCCCGGTTTTGCAATCCATTCTTCAACAAAAATCGGTAAGTCTTAACAGGTCTACCACCGAAGCCCCCAATGATGGGCCTGCCTGTGAATTTCACTAATACGACAATCGTTTAGGCTGATCCCTCGTTGAAAGCCACCACCGGTCTCATCCTCGTCCCCACCCGCGAGCTTGCAGAGCAAGTCCAGAAAGTCGTCACCTCTTTCACTGCGTTCTGTGGAAAGGATGTTCGCTCCATCAACCTAACGCAGAAATTTTCCGACGATGTGCAACGTACCATGCTCGCCGATTTCCCCGATCTGGTTATCTCAACACCGACTCGCGTTCTGGCCAATGTTAACAACTCCGCCCTGTCGCTCGAGAAACTCTCTTACCTAGTTATTGACGAGGCTGATTTGGTCCTGTCCTACGGTTACGATGAGGATATCAACCTTCTGGCCAAGGCTATTCCACGTGGTGTGCAGACATTCCTGATGAGTGCCACTCTCACCTCCGAGGTTGACACTTTGAAGAGTCTGTTCTGCCGTAGCCCGGTGATCCTGAAGCTGGAAGATAAGGAAGAGAAGGGCGCTGGTGTCAGCCAGTTTGTTGTCAAGTGCGCAGAGGACGAGAAGTTCCTTCTCACATATGTTATTTTCAAGCTCCAACTTGTCAAGGGCAAGGTTATCATCTTCGTCGGCGATGTTGACCGCTGTTACCGCGTGAAGCTTTTCCTCGAACAATTCGGTATCAAGAGCTGTGTTCTCAACTCAGAGCTTCCCATCAACTCTCGTCTGCACGTTGTGGAGGAATTCAACAAGGGTGTTTACGACATTATTATCGCAGCCGATGACCAGGAAATCATGGGTGTGGCCAAGCCAGCCAAGAAGTCACCGGAGGCAATCGAAGACGGAGCAGCAGAAGATAAGGAGGAGAAAGACAAGGAGGAAATCGGTTCGAGCGAAGACGAGGAAGAGCCCGAAGAAGAAAAGAGCAAGCAGAAGTCGAAGCGCCGCAAGATGACCAACAAGGAAAAGGACTACAGTGTTGCGCGCGGTATCGATTTCCAGAACGTCGCCTGCGTTCTCAACTTCGACCTTCCCACCACCTCAAAATCATACACCCACCGCATCGGTCGTACCGGCCGCGCTGGCAAGGCCGGCATGGCCCTTTCATTCGTCGTGCCCGCTGAGCAGTACGGCAAGCACAAGCCCACATCGGTATCCTCATCCAAGAAGGACGAGATCGTCCTCGCCAAGATCGTTAAGCGCCAAGGCAAACTCGGCCACGAAGTCCGGCCCTACCACTTCGAGATGCAGCAAGTTGATGCATTCCGCTACCGTATGACCGATGCTCTGCGCGCTGTCACCCGTCTGGCGGTCCAAGAGGCTCGTGGTCGTGAGATTCGACAGGAGCTGATCAAGAGTGAGAAGTTGAAGCGCCATTTCGAGGATAACCCCGATGAATTGCGACAGTTGCGACACGATGGAGAATTACGCGCAGCGCGTGTGCAGCCCCATCTGAAGCATGTGCCTGACTACCTGATGCCTACTAAGGGCCGGAAGGGTATCTCGAATGAAGATGTGGGCTATGTTGGATTCAAAAAGGCTGGCAGTGGGAACCGTATTCGCAAGGCGAGAGATCGTAATCGTGCCAGCGGAAAGGGCAAGGGAAGAAAGGCTGGTGGCAAGGTGGACCCCCTCAAGACATTTAATAAGGGCCGGAAATAGATTGGGTAGTTGGATGGCACGAAGTCGGCGCATGATAGTATGATTGATACCATTGTACAGTTATTTGAAGCCAAAAAAGGAATTATATTTGCATATTTTTTATAACTACTTCCTCCCCGTTCACTCTATGTATGCTTTTATGTACCCGATCAATACGAATGGGCCTTCTTTCTACATCTCATGCCAAAGAATTCGTAGGCTTCTACGCACGACGGAGATTTACCTCCTCCGTTGTAATATGGCCCTCGATCCACTTGCCTTTGGCCTTGACCCTGAGGTCTTGAATCTCCCGAAGTACCTTCTTGCCCAGAGAAACAGCATCTTCCCAAGCCTTCCGTCGTTTCTTAAAGCGTGCGATGATGCGTTCATGCTCCAAATTCCACAGCTCGGCCGGGGAAGCAGGCGCTTGCTCAGAAGCATGAAGAGTCGAGGCGAGCGAAAGCTCACGCCGACTCTCAGAACTCTCAAACCGCGCCAAAAGCTGAGTTTCCGATCTAGATATCTCGTTCATCCACTGGCCAGTCTTGGGGTACTCAAATCCTGGACCCAAGTTGATCCACTCCACATCTCGCCAGGAACCAGTCCACTCAGGCCCGTTCGAGCCAGGTCGATAAGGTCGGCCGTCCGGGTCAGTGCCTGTCCAGGTGATAGCGGCAAGCCAATCGCTGCAGCCTTCAAGATCAAGCCATTTCAGGCAGTAGATGGATCGAGACAGTTGGCGGAGAATAGCCGCCGACTCGGCCCAGTTGTTCTCCATCGAGGCATACATATCTGTGCCGCTGTAGGAGAATCTCAAGGAGTGGTTGGTCGGATGAACCAAGGTAGCATTTATAGCATTGGGGGTACGAGTCGGAACAGGCCAGTAGGCAAGTGACAAGTGCGTGATAGTTGGAAGATGCGACATGAGATGCAACAAAGTGTTCCAATTTGCGGCGCTTGGATTCGGATGTGCGAGCGAAAGATAGTGGAGGTTTTTAAATCGCATTCCTTGGCCAATAGTCTTCGGAATGATGGAAATCGGCGGCAGATGTGTAGACGCATCGTCGGTAGGTTCCTCTGAGTCTAGGTCTTGTTCCTCTTGTTCCCACGATGCTGGGACAGCTTCTTGGACATCGGGCTTCGAGTCAATGGCCATGGGCTTCGTCGAGAGTAGCAGCTCATGCGAAAGTTCTTTCAATGTAATCCAGCGGCCTAAGGCACGGGTCAAATCTAGTCTGATGATCGTTGCATCACCCGCAGTTGGAGTCGCCCCAAGTCCAATTTCAGGATTATCGGCATTAGCCAGAAAGAGCGGCCTGAGCCCCTTCGTGCGGGCTCTTAATTCTGGACCATGGGAATGCATTGCTAGATAGCTCAGCAGAAGCTGCTTCATGTGGCTAGGAAGTTGAGCAAGAAAGTATCCATCATAGTCCAGATGCCAACACCAATTGCGAGCCATGGACATCATGAGGGTATGCACGAGGGAACGGTCACCAGGAAAGGTGATTCCGGGCAATCTATCGAGACGATGGGTAACATCTTCACGACTGATATCCACTGCGTCATCCTGGGCCGAAGAGCTCGAATCTTCGGTATTTCCCGATAGCCAGCTTGCAGGTGGCGGGGGACCAGGGATAGGGCGGACTGGTCGGCTCCCAAATACCGTTCGACGAGGACGGGGCGGTGGGGTCTCTGGAAGGTGTAGGAGGTTCCGAAGCGAGGGGTGGACTGATCGGGGAGACACAAAAGATGGTGCCCTGGTCGGGCCGTCGTGGGAGACTTGGGTACGCCGCAGGTGACTGATCAAGTCATTGACGGAGGGATCGGTCGTGGAACCTGCAGCTTGGCGGGACTGATCATTCTGGCGGATGCTGGACGGGCCAAGAGAATGGTGAGGGGTACTTGGTGCTTTGTAGACGAACGATCTCTTCTGCTTTTTGGGCATGAGAGTCGTATTTGCGGGGAGTTGTGGAGGAGAAGTGGCAGACTGCCGTTCCCTTCAATTTGGTCATCGTTTCTCGCCCCCACGTTAAGTGTATCTACTAGCAGTGCAACGAGTAGTTAATTTCTGACAGGGTGATGGTTTTTTCAAACACAGGACCTGCAAATGCAGTCTTCTATCAAAGCTTAGTCTATACAAAATATGTTTACATCGTGATTTTACAAGTTGGATCAAATATCCCGAACCCAGGAGTCATCCTTCATATGACCTTCTCGGTTGGGGCCCTCTTCCAGCCATGTCTCGACCAGACCCTCTTTCGGATCCTCGTCCGGGAGACCTCTTGATCGGCGGACTTCAAGAACGAGGTTTCGGATCTTGAAGGTGACTTCTTTGCGTAGCGCGACAGCTTCTTTGTCGTTCAGCAACGCATCACTCAATACGCCAGCAGGAAGATCTCGGGATTGCGGATCAGCCTTCTCAACCCTCGTCTTCAATTTCTGCCACCGGGATCTCACTTCACCAAAGATTTCGTCAGTATCCACCTTGGAACCGAAAGTGACGCTCACGTCCTTGCCGGGGCGAGGAAGGAATCGTGGGAACTCGCGGCTCTCGTGCATGATATCATCAACGCCCTGAATCCACATCGGAACAACGTCGGGACATTCCTTCGTTTCAAGAATCAGACGAGCAACGCCCCACTTGAAGTAACGCATCGTCTTGCGGGGTGCTTGGTGAATCTTTCCCTCGGGGAAGATGTGAACCCACGAGTGGGAGTTGCATGAGTATGCAGATGGTGCCAAGTGAGCGTCTTCGCCATTGGTGGTATATGCTATAGATAGATCCGAGAAAGGGTCAATGCAGACATTCTGGAGGCTGAACTGTTGGCGTTCGGGGGTGGCACGGTGATGATCGACGGAAAAGGGACCCTTGGACAACAATCGGATGGCTTCTGTCATCGCAGGTTGACCCAAGCCACCGAAAGGAGAATGGGCCAAGCGGTGTGTTGGTAGTACTTGTCCCATGGTAAAGAAGAATGACAGCGGTCTATGGCAAAGTAGAACATTTCTTGTTAGCATTTATCTTGAATCGACACGCATAACACGGACTTGCAACTGACCTAGTTTGGAAACAGATATCATGGCTACCGAATGACCACCGCTTATTCCAAAATCGCATAGGCAGTAATCCCCAGATCAAAGGGTCATCCATACTAACTCGTCACAATAGGATGTCAGTCATTCTGTCATGATCCGGCGATATATAATTTCACGAAGGCAGGCAGTTCGAAGGTACATACACGCTGATATGGTTTGAAACTGAGAAGAATTGATCAGCGAATGATTCCTTTTTTATTTACGCTGGCGCAAATGCTGGCGGAGAACCTTACCTGTTATCAAACCCTTTGACCTTTGCGCCGGATCCTTCCTGGAGTCAAGCAGGGCAGTGAACTCCTCATGTCCATGAACTTCCGCATGGCATAGTCCCGAGAGGAATGCGCGGCATAACCCGGCGACTCCAAACATCGTCGTGTTTGACCAGATCCGCCAGGGGAGGGACGGGGCCTCGGCCGTTGAACCGGCGTCCATTGTGTTGGCTTGAGATGGTGTTGACTTCATAGAAGATCCATGTACGAGATACTTTCTCGGGCACGCAGCGAAATGCCTTGGGTATCGAGACCCTTCGTCAAGGTCGGGTGTGCGCAGAAGGAAAAGCGCGATTGGATGTTTCGGCGAACACATTTATCTCATCGGAATCACATGATCCACTCCGGGGTAAAAGTTCAAGTTGTGTGATAATCGAGCGGTATATCATTATTCTGGTCATGGCAGGGATTCGGTCTTTTCTAAGTCATCTTTCTTAATTTATTCCTAATAATTACTATCATTTTTCGGTCATTAGTGGCTTCTGAATGCGCGACAAAGTTTGCCGTCCATCCGGCGATTGTTTTATAGAGTAGCGCACGGACCAGTCGCAGTTCCGACTTCGAGATCGATTTTGCTGCGGATTAAACTCACCAACCTCAACGTCCAACAGCCATGTTTAAACCTACAAATGCCCTTTTCGGAGGTCTTCTCTGGTAAGAGCTCCGGTGTATTCCGACTATGCGCATTTATGAGAATGACCCTGGTCAACTAATACACTCTTTTATGAATCTACAGGAAGACCCCGTGGCGCCTATCCTCCCCCCAGAAAGCCCGGCAACGCAAGCGTCTGCGCGCTGTGGACAGCGTCGTCGATACCCTCAGTGCCGCCCTCGCTCGCAACGGACAGAGCGCAAAGGCTGTTGAGCGGTGGTATGCCGAGATGCCTCGCGAGGAAGAGATGCTTCCCAAGGACAAGTACACTCTCTTCGATAAGAAGGAGAAGAGCTACCGCAAGAGCATTCACAGTATGCCAAACCCACTTCTTCTGGATCTACCCTTGCTTTTCGTCTTGAGAAATTATACTGATGGATATTTCTTTCCTTGCAGAGCTGCCCAAGTGGACTCGTGTCAGCCAACGCGTGAACCCCCCTGGTTTCTAAGTTCGATTTTTGCAATACCCCGAACACGAAAGCACTCCTTCTATTCGCCGACAAAAAAAAGCATCGGCATCTGTATTATACGCATCAACCCCGACCTGGCAGTGTCATTCGCGTGTCCTGCTTGGGTAGTAAGGAAGGACCGGAGTTTTTGGCATCTGAGAAAATCGTCGTGGCTATTCCAAGAGGAAGCCAGACTTACAATATTTTATTTTCAGCGATTAGAATTCGTCAATTCAACTATCTTTCGAACAATGAGTTGCATCGGATACATTCCTGGCTGAGGAAGCTTGCAGTAGGGATAATATGTTCAAAACCAGACTCGGCAGGTAAGAATATGACAAGGGTGAGAAGGGGTTTGAGATATGATAGACTCTTGAGAGATTGCGAGAAACGAGTGAACAATAGCCAGTTGCTATAGACGCCAGCCAGACGAGACCATCAGGTTCTCACACAGCCACTCCCGGAGTTGGAATGCGTTGAGCATCCTTGAAAATGAATTTAAGAGATGCCGACCGACAACCTCTATGAGCTCGAATAGCAACCCCTTTCATCCAGCGACGGTTGACACGTCCCTCCTCGATGGTTTTGCGAAGACGGTAGCCCCAGCCGATATGCTGCCAGTCCTCGAAAGTTTCTTGCCAACCAGTTCCACCTTCATACCACCCGTTCTTTTGCTTGGTGGAAACCTCAAATCCCTGAGGAGGTCTAGGGAATAACCAGCTTCCAGGGTCGACATGTCCATCGGGCGGCTCTTCAATGGAGTTCTCATATAGTTCCACGGTGCGCACAGCATCGGGGAGCCCATATGTCCTTCTCCGCCGGTTGACTGCGGCGCGCCATGAATCGATACGAGGTGTATGGGCACGCTTCTGAATAGGGACCGGGTACTTCGGCTTTGGATCATATGTCGGCTCCGGGTAAGGGACATTGAAGCGTGGGTCTCCCCACTCTCGTCTGGAGTCAATGGGCACTCTTGATACCGGATCGATGACTAGCCAGGTCTCTCTGTTTAACCAGTGATTTGCTAGCTGGGCAAAGTGATACGGCTTCTGGCCGGGAGTCGTCTCGTTGAATATCCACACCAACTTGCGATTCAATTTATCCATCAATCTGATCTCCCAATCGTAAAGCTCATCGCTAGCCTGTCGATCCAACCGATTCAAGAAAGCATTGTCGACGTGAGGGGACAATCTACCTCTGAAAGGTAACATTTGTCTGACTTGAACTCCTCTCGTATGTCCTATAGTCTCAGAAATCGGGCTTGAAAGCGCTTCCTGCGCTGACATGTGACCCGATTGTCGGCGAAATCTGGCTGGTAAGGTGTGAAAACTGGTCATTGCGTCAGGAAGTGCGCTTGATATTAGTCGAGGACATTGGTCCAGTGCGACATGGTCGGTTGAATATACCGGTTCTCTGTTATTCCTGCTTTCTCGGTCTACTAGGATCGAGTCTAAAGCAGTCTGCTCTGATTGGAAAGTAGACAGAATGTCAGTAAACGGCGTTCCCGGGGGCCCAGATGAGTCTCTTAATTCACATGGCACTAGCCTATTTGCCTTGACCTGCATTTTAGCAGACCACACGCGGAATTTGCGCAATTGAATATGTCGGCGAGGCGTCTTTGGTATAAGTTCTGCTATCGGATGTCTGGGTATTCGGGCATCCATGTGAGCCCTGTAATTATTCAATTGCAGATTTCCCCGCGTTCCAAGGCGATTATCCGAATACACAACATCTTTGCTCAAATCGGGGACAGACCAGGACCTCACTCTCAATAGAGGAATCGTATTTTGTGACTGCAGCCCCGAAGGGCAAGTATTGTTGATCGGCGTTGGGGATATCGTTTGCATTGTTGCGTCAAGCACCTCGCTTTGTTGGCTGTTGTTGTCATCATAGCTTCCATACCCATGCTCAAGCTGAGTAAAACACTCCTGGTATATTGAGACCTCGCTGGCTTCCGATATTTGTATACTCGATTCCTGCGATAACCGATTCAGGCTGATTGTCGAGCTCACCATCGAGAGTACTGTCATTGGATCGGTCTGAGACTCAACGGTGTCGATCAAAGCGCCATGGCATTCGGTAGGGGATCCTGGGTTCCAAATTCGATCGGCTGGACGAGGCTCATACCTTTGAAGAAATTGAGGCATCCAGCTCGGGGTTTTCCTTGGCTGGAGGCGCTTCTGTCTCATTTCTTGACCTGGATCCCACCATATCCAGCTATAGTCCATTCTGCGCGACTCCCATGACAGCCAGTCGAGAATCCAACTGAATATTTTCGTGAATATTCTTTTGTTTCTCTCATGTAACTCGAGCGGTATCCAGCCATACCAGGTCCTGGCATAACGAATGGTTGTCAACTTGCCCTCTCTTAACACTCTGTATCTGTTTAGCGATCGGGCATACTTGCCAATTTTCCAGAAGAGAACCGCAAAGACGAATATAGCGACTGTCCCGGCAAATAGTTCGCCGAGAACAGCAGGGTTGACTTGGGCATTTACACTGATTGGTGGAGTGTATGGACCTTTTGGGGGCCGTGGGGGCGACGGGGTAAAGGAGTGACTCTGGCGTATTTTCAGTGGTGCCATGCTTGCCGTGGACCCATAAGAAGGAGATGAGTAGTGATTAGACTGGAATATCAATATGAGACATGAGTGACGATGGTTCTCAAAGACGAGAGGCGGGTGAGGAAGATGGTGTGGTTTGAAGTCAGGGACGCAATGTTTACCTGCGGCTCCGACGGGCAGGTGGCAGTCGCAGTTGAAGTTGCTCGGCATTACGAATAACTACTAGTACTTACATAGCGAGTACTACTACTTTCGACCCATGGGAGAAATCTACTGGCAACTTTCGAACTAACTCTGTAAAACTTTCCGTTCAGCAAAGTCGAGAAGCCGGAGTCGGAGTCCGACAGTGAGAGTCCGATGCCCAGCCCCGTTCATCTTTGCCCCTAAGGTTCAAGTTCTTCGCCATGTCAGGAAATAAGCGGGAACATATATGTCTGTACCAACACTCCTATTGGTTACTTGTAGATCTTCAAGTAGCGAAGCATATTCCTTCGACGACGCCGAGTTTGGTTACGAGTGCGATCAGGCAAGTTCTGACGAATGAGCGATTGGCCCCATCGAATCTCCGAGCAACTTAGTTACCACTTCGGTACCTAGCTCTACGCAATGGACACTCCCTTTCTATGGATAGCTTCAGATAATAATGATTCTTATAAGTATTTAGGCTTTCCTGCTTCTGCTAGCATCTACCTAGGTAGAGTCCACTCGCTTGCATTTAACCCAACGGAAACCATATACGCCATCCCCCATATCTTCTGCCTTGTGACCTCTGAGCTCTTGGTATGCCGTCACTCAAAATCGCCATTATCGGTGCTGGTCCTGTGGGCCTATCTCTCGCCCGACTCCTTGCTAGCAATCCCGCTATTGAGATTATTATTTTTGAATCAGATAAATCTCCCGAAGCTCGTGTTCCAGGCGGACCTCTTGACCTTCACCCTGCTACTGGTATTTCAGCACTGAAAGAGGCAGGCTTATATGGGGAATTTCTCAAATACGCTCGCTTCGATGGCGAGGCGCTGATAATTTGTGACAAAAAGCTCACCAAATACGTCAACTTACCAGGCGGGGACGCACATTCCTCTCGCGGTCGACCCGAAATCGATCGAACAGCGCTTCGTAATATTCTTCTCAGTTCCGTCCCACCACACCTTATTAGATGGGGCTGTCGCCTGCGCTTTATAGATGAAAACCGCAGACTTATTTTTGATCATGGCATAGAGTCCGGGTACGACTTGGTTGTCGGAGCAGAGGGGGCTTGGAGCAAAATTCGCAAACTCATTTCCGACCAAATGCCAAATTATGCTGGCTTAATTGGCTATCATTGGAAGATCCCTGATGCCAAGAATCTAGCACCCGGATGCTATAAGCTCGTCAACAGAGGATCGGTATTTTCCTATTCCGATGGGCGTGCGATTATGGGCCAGCAGCTTGGGGATGGCAGCTTGAATGTGTATACATATACACCATGGTCGGTAGATTGGAAAGAAGATGCGCCATTCGACCTTCACGATACCGAAGCAATCAGGAATGCATTACTAGAAGAGTTTCACGAGTGGGATCCTGAATTGCTGAGTCTTATTCGTCATGGGCAAGACCCTAACCTTCGTCCTCTCTATATGCTTCCTGTGGGCTGGTCCTGGGAAAATTGCCCTGGGGTGACTTTAGTCGGGGATGCTGCTCATGTCATGACACCCTTTGCAGGCGAGGGAGTCAATCTGGGCATGCAGGATGCTTTGATGCTCTCTCGAGCTATACTTAAGGCTTCCAAATCACCCACGCCTGAGACCAGTCTACCAGCTGAGATCAAGACTTTCGAGAAAGACCTGTTCATGCGAGCAGAGGAAACTGCAAACTTCACGAATGACATGTTGACATGGCTTTTTTTCACTGATGGATCTCCGAGTTCTATCATAGAGAAGCTGGTCCTGCGAATGACGACCTTCCACGAGGGGGGGGATTCTTTCGAGCCTGACTTATCCATTCTTCGCAATTTCTGTCTATGTCTATTTTGCGATATTTCGACTGTGGTACAGGTAGCTCCGTGGCTGCTGTATGGATGATCGTTTTGATTTCACATGTAATTGAACCTGCGAGTTCGTCAGTTCTATCGTCATAGCGTCTGCGATTCTGCGATTCTGCGATTGTCAGCTCACATCCTGTCGTGTTCAAGAATCCGCATGAGTTGAGACCTGGACGAGGGGGAACAGACGGAATGGCTAATCTTGAGTAACAAAGAAAAAATAAATCGGATTACAAAAAAAGTTAAAAGGCGACGTGACGTGGTGCGTACACCGGCATTCAATTTTCCTCGTGGAGTTTGAAACACAATGAGATCCAAACGACAGGTCATATCAGTCTCCGGTATTCCGTGCTCGTCGTTAGTAAATGGAAGTAATTGGACCATTTCACCGTATGGCGGTGACTTTCACATGCCAGAGTTAATCATCAAGCCCAAAGATCGAGATCCAGGATCTGGGGACCCATTTCTCCAGCAGGATCCCGCCCTCCTGGAAAGAGGGATGATCCATGTTCATCCGGCAGAACGGAAGCAGGGAAACCAAAAGCAATGAAGTTAAACCGGCAAGATCCGAAAGAGGTGATAAAATGCCGGTCTCTAAGGTAGCCAGGGGCCGGGTCCACCGAAGCTCGAGCCGTGGGGCCTGCCTAATCGGGAAGGCATGGGGTCCACCGCCACACCGCTCCAGCCACTCGCGCCACTCCCTTGCATTCAGCCACAGAGGTCACAGGGGCCACAGCATCAGCCGCAGTGGCGGTGCGACTATTGACGTCGGAGCGGGTCCGATCATTCTGTCGTTACCCCCTGTTCAAGTGTTCAAGAGCAAATAAAGTTCATGGTCGCTTGTCTTCTCTTTCATTACACTAGTCTATTGTGAATTGATGTCTCAGATTTTTGCTATGGACTACGTGGATCTTCATATTCCCGGAAATAACAATCTCAACCCTATGCGTCGGATGAGGAGTTGACGCTTCTCTTGTGTCATTTCCAGGGGATATCTTCAAGTTGGGCTCGCGTAGTCCCGTCCCGTTTGTTTCCCCAAAGTTTAAATCCCGGTGTTGCATGCCATGAACCATGGTTTGATCCCTTGAAACACGTCCACCTGATCTCGAACATGTCTCAAGGATGCAGACGGCCAGGAAAAGTTCGTGGACTCCGAACTCCTTCTAAATGGACAGTCGTCAATTGTCGAAATGACCCTCGGACATGATCACTAATTGCTTTTGCACCGACCCCTTTGTCAACCAAAGTCCCATTTGACCGAATTGGCCCATCACAGTGGATGCGGGAAACCCCAAACCATGACCCGGGAGGAACTATCGACTGGTCCGTGACTGATCAGCGGCATGATCATCGAGTCTAGCCTCGCTGGGAGCGGGACGTGCCAAGCATCATACAGGACCTGACCGAAGCTTTCTCCTCGTGGAACGCATCTCAGATTCTTGACCCGGAGTCGTATCCTAGCGCACACATGGTGTTGCGGATCCTGCCCTCCCCTAATGGTCCCCGATACGCAGAACAGACCCAAGTGGGGCCCGGCCTAGATGATTCCTGATGGGGCCAAAAAGTGAGGCTGATGAAGCTAAAAATTGTGGCTAGTGAACGATGGCAGTTCCATCACCCCATCAAACAAGGCAACAATATTGCTTGCAAACTTGAAGGGTGCATAACCAGGAAAAGGGGGAGAAAGAACATCAATCCGGCGCATTTTTGGGCTGGACCCATCAAGCTCCAGCACGGCTGCCGAACACCTTTCGGAGTGACCGATGGTCCTTAGGCCTGATTACGAAATGCGCATATAGTCCCCACGCGCCACAGTTCACCGTTTGTGGCTTGCATCTTCATGCTCAGAGGCCCGACTTCTGCAGGCTGTTCTCCCTTGATGAATTTCAGGCGTGTCCTCATCAACTCTAATGTGCACATTAGAGTTGTGGTGTTCAAGGCCGAAGAATCTACCACCTCCCAGAGAGCACCAAACATAGATATGTAGCTGCCTTAGTGGCACTCCCATAATTCGCCTTTTCCTCGAGGACATTCAAAGCTGAATCTCACCACCAAGAGCTTTCACCAACGCCACGATGTGATCCAAACACGTCGTGACAGCTGCAACAGGACGGTTATCGCAGGCGGGGCAGGTCGGAGTGGATCCGTGCACGGAACTATTGGAACACCACCCCTCCCTGCTCTGGTTTGCCCCTGCACACGAACGTCGATCGTGCATGGCTAGGCGCGTGTCAACTGTGCACCAAGGTTACCCCTAGTAGGATCGGTCAGAGGGTGCAAAGTGACCGAATCAAAGTCACGGCTGCCAGACGGTGGGGCTATGACCTGAAGTGCTCCAGAGTCGATCTACACGCTAGTATCAGATCTTCCTGCAGCGCATCTTCAATTTCTCAGATCTAGCACTTGCCGGTTCCTGCCCCCTGCCCCTCTCCTGGTTGACCATTTCCCTGTAAGAAAGAATTTGTCGATCCTTTCTTTCGATTTGTTGATTATTATTTTCTCCCAAAATTTATATTTCGATACATTATTTTTCTTTGTTGCTCCAATTTTCCCGGAACGTGCTGCTGCAAGGACGCATGCAGCCGCCGAAGAAACACCTCATCGGCCGGAGGATCTTCACCCATTCTTGCCCGGTTTTATTTTGATTTATTTCGGTTTTCCTCAATGTGAAGTCAAATTTCCATACCCGCACGGCATCATCGCTGCCTTGGCCTCGTCCCAGGAACCTGGACACCGACCATTCATGCGCTCATATCGTGTAAGTACTTTTGCGGGTGGCAACATCTACTAGCTCTTCGATGGTTGACCAAACGCCTTCTCTAGAATATGGGGCCTCGATGGGATATTGAATACTCGGTATTGGTGTCTCGGCTGCTGCGGGGAGGTATATGAAGGCCAGGCGATCTCCCGTGAACCATATTTTTTCTCTTCAACCATAATCATAATTTCTCTCATCCCCTTCCAAGGTTTCTACTCCTCACTACCATTCAACGTCTATTTCACATATCGTGCCTCTCGATCTGTCCTCGTCCACACTACGAAAGTTTAACTTCCGATCCACCTTCTCCAATTGTACTACTCCCCCGATCTGTTTTCCCTCTTCCTCCCCGATTGGTTCAATTCAGATCGCTTGAACTTTACCTTATATTCGCCATACGCCCAGGCTACTAAATATCCCGACACCCCCAAATTCTTCAATTCGAGGCTTTCGCAATCTAGAAGAAAAGACAAAAAAAGACAAAAAATATGGCTGCCCGCGAATTCAACCTGACTTTTGAAGTCGCTCCTCCTGCCGCTGTGCGCCCCGGACTCCCTTTCACCATCCCCGTCATCATAGCCGTTCGGCCAATCGGCATACCTGCGCGAAATGTACAGCACCTCGTCGTTAGCGCTAGCTTGCGTGATGAAAACAGCACTGTACCTGCTGTTGGATTGGGTGGCAGTTTAACGGCTAGTGTTCGCAGTCGCAGCGATAATGCGATGAGCGGCTATGCGAAACTCCCTTCTCTCACGATTTCACGACCAGGAAAGTATCGTGTTCGCGTGATGCTGAGTGCAGCCTCCGTCAATGGAGTTGTCACGAAGGAGTTTGTCGATTCGGGAGTCATTAATGTGCACGCTGCTGCTCCAGCGGCCCAAAGACCGAGTAAGTGGGGGTGATCAATTATCATTCAATTGAATGTTTCTTTTCTGTGTGCCCTGCCTATCTATCCCGTTCCCTATCTGGCTATTCCGCCAAAACGGCCAACTACCTTAGCCGTGGTATCGGTTCTGAGATCAGAAGTGGCGCGGCCCCATCTATTTCCTTTTCTGGACTCTTGCTGATGACTCGATTTTTCTCTCTCTTTAGCCCCCCTCCAAGCTGGAACTTTGCAGAGACTGACGGCTGAAAATTTGGATATCTCTGTGGCGGATATCGCGAAGTGGCAATCTGCATGAATCGTATTGCAGCCTCGGAAGAAATGGAACCATAGCTATTGGGTGTTGATGTGGAGTTTCCTGGAGTTTTCTATTTAATTTGATCGACTTTTCTCTTCATTTTCATTTTCTTTCAGTTTTGCTTGGTTGTGGTGATCTTGTTTTGCTTTTTTCCCATTCGATTCTTTCGATTCTTTCTTGTTTAGACTTTCTTTCATATATTGGAGGCTTCCTACCTTAGGAGAAGCGCCAAGTTTTTCCCACCCCCTCCATCTAGTGATTATGCAACGAGTAATGGACAGTCACTACCAAGATCAGTGTTTGAACTTAAATCCCTTTTTTTTTTTTACCTTGGCTCTCTTCTTTCTTTCCTTTTATTCTCTTTTGGGATCCCAGAATTCTGGGAGGCGGGAGCTGATTGTGATGACGTGACAAGAGGGTTCGCTCACTTCTCTCCCCTTATTTTTTTTTTCTATTTTACGAAAAGCGAATCAGAGATCAAAGACTGGAGATCGAATTCAATAAAAAGGAATTTTGTGATGACCCTGGCTCTGTTTGGAATTTATCGCAATCGCCGTATCTAATTGGTTACCAACCCAAATTAATCGGCCCGAATCGCAAGCCCATGTTTGCGTCGGTGAGATCAAATTTTCAAAGCACTTCTATAATTCCGAAGAGCCCCCAAATTCTGTGCCGACCCAAGCACATATTGCAGAAATGCGGGATAGTCCCAGCCTATGCTCCCAGCTGCGAGTCCCATCAAGCTGGTCTGATCGTCACGGCCAGGGCGCCCAGGCCCTGTGATATTCTACACGTTCGACCAAGAGTTAGCATTTCTCCTTGTTTTCGCGGTATCGGCCATTGCCTTGACGTGTGTGGCACATGGGCCTTGCCAAGCTTCTTCGTTTGTGGGTCATTTGCGGAAGCAATTCACTCCGCAAATTCAAATCAAGGTAAATGCCGCTGCCATCCACATCAAAAACAGCTTAAAATTCTCGGCAAAATAAACTGCCAACCCCAGTATGTGTGGTTGGATTGGGGCCATGTATTAATATGACCTGGTTATGACACACGGTAACTTACCGGCTTCATGTTTATATCAAATAAAGCGAAATTGGTCCCAGGCCCAAATCGTCGAATATCGATCCGAAGTGGCGCGGTTGTCTGCAACAATCCAGCCACACCCTCGCACTCCCTCATTATAGTGGAATACGCCGGGTCGCTCTCTATTTCCGCCGCTGTCACAGCGCGTGAGTTGACCGTCACGGCTACATTGCCGCTATAGGGAGCTATCCCGTTAACATGGTTAAATCGAGTGACGGGGGGTAATGCCCAGTGCTGGTCGCGTTGATCAGATGGAGGCATAATAGTGATGGTACCCTCCTCTTCTTTCAAGTACTCTTCCAAAAGTACACGGGGCGATTCATCAAACAGGTAAGCAATATGTTCGCGGAGATCGGCAGGGGTTCGACAGATCTTTACGCCGTGGCTCCCCCTGCCACGCACTGGTTTCGCGATGATAGGATAGTCGCTCTCCGTCATCGAGGCAAGCACTTCGTCCAATTTATTCTGGAGGACTACATCGTTCCCTTCCATAGACCGTGGATCATCCACTGTCCACGATCGGGGCAACGTGAAACCTCCATGCCGGCGTAGCTCGTCATTAGTAAATGACTTGTCGTCGAATCTATCTGCGCAGATCGGGGGTTGGCCGATGACTTTCAGACTGGATTCATAGGGCGTCAATCGAGTCGATGTCTGCAGTGGATGCTCTGCGAAGAGTACCGTATTGGCCCAGAGGTGTGTCGCGCCTTTCTGCACTGCCTCTAAAATCCCTTCTTCGGTGTCGGGATAGCACCATTGATTTTGATCCGCGGGGTCTGGGCATTCCACGGGTGTAAGGATATTAAGCCCTTCTCTTGAAAGCGTGTATGCGATATCCGAGCCCGAATCTTGATAACCTGAGTTCTTGTCAGCTGGGTGGTGAAACTTGAGTTGGATAGCCTCCTCTCCTATGCACGAACCACCTGGTTTGGGCGGCTTGCTAACGCCGTCATACATTGGCGGCGCAAGGGCCTGATATAGGATCGCAATGACGGGCTTTTGATGGGCCATTTGAGAGCATTGCCTAGATAGTTAATCTTGGCGTCGGCCTATGCAGTTCCTGGCAGGAAGTGCGAGCGGGGGGATGTGGGCGTGGGGGCTGCAAACTCGGAATAGTGGATGAAGGGGCAGGTTTTGGCTAAGAAGTCGGAATCCACCGTTCATTGTTCTTGTGTGGTAACAATGTTTCAATCGTCTACCATCCAGAATATAAGTATATTTGGCAAGTCCTGTCTTAAATGTTTAATGCGGGCATTTTTGATGGTCGGAGAACTGCCGATTCTCGGAGGCAAAGCGGAGCCATCCAGATGGGAATGAAACGGGAGTACTCCGCTCTGTCAATACGCAGCTACATCGGGGACGGAGAAGAGAAACAGTAGGAAATATCGAGTATGTAGCACAGCTGTGTCATTTGGTGCATGTAAAGGGAAAGACCGAAAACAAAAGCGATGCATTGAGCACCAGCCAGTTCATGCAAGTCAATCAACTATCTAAGGCTAGCTTGGCTAGCCTGGCTAGGTCACACATAAGGGTATAACATAAGTCGTAAAAGGGACATATCAGGGCAGGAAACTAGTCCGCTATGAAATCGTGTGTCCGAATTGAAGTTGCAAAGTGTTCAACACAATGACAATGCTTCAAAGGGGAAACATGTCATCATCGGAGCAAGACTAAGGCATGCCCGAGATACAAGCCTTCTCCGCACTCGGAGATGACATCAACTGTGGGGGAGAAACAAGGATGTTTTGACGGCGAATCAAATGTTCTCAATCACTTCCGTAGAAGAGGTCAATGGGTCGTCTCCGCGGATGGGAGCAACGCATGCTTGGGGGCCGAATATCGCACGGGGCAGGATTGCCGAATTTGGCGATCAGAAAGGAGAAAAGGTAGAAATCTCATGGTCCACCAATTCAACTCTCCTTGTTGCGAAGCTTGTCGAAGCTATCACGGACGGTCTCACGAACACTGAAACCACCGAACAGCCAATCATTCGAGTGCCGCCCATAGTGGTTGATAGTTCCACTGTATCGCTTGTGGTCGCCGCTATTCTTGCGAGTCGGGGTGGGGGCACGCTTTGGGTCAAAGTCTCCCTTAGGCGAACGAGGGGACGATTCGTCAGGCGACATCTGAACAGGGCTTGTAGAGCCATGGTCTTGATCAAAGTAGGTGTTGTGAGGAGCACTGCGGGGGATGTCGCGAGGCTGAGACATGCTGACGGATTTAGGTCGTGAATGACTCTGAGGAATTGCGATCGGGTGCAATGGTTTCGAGGCTGATCGGAATCGCCTGGTGATTGGATTGGAGGATGTGCTGGAGTGTTTCTTCTCGTTGGAATGTTGACTATCACGCGAGGATGTGGTGGTGGTAGAAGTTTGGGACAGGGATCGCTTGGGATATTGACCAGATTGGTATGACTGAGAGTGCATCACCTGGGGGAGGGAATAAAGAAGATGAGAGAGGAGAAGAGCGCAGAGGATGGAGTATAAGAGGTTAAATTCCAAAAGGTTATGAGAATGGGAAGTTGAAAGGAGGACACGGGCCCTCTGATATTTATGCTGCCTTTTGCCAACTCATCTTCCCTCGTACTCCTCACCTCTTACAACCACACACAACCACACACATCCACTCGCATTCGCTCCCACTCTCCTCTTGCGGGGAGCCAATTTCCCTGTGATCGTCTTGACTGCCATAGGGCAACCACTTAGATTGCAGCGGGGGATGTCGAAACCTGCCCTCGGGCCTGTCGAAAGGACGCCCCCAGCCGTCTCTCTCCAATCAGCACTGCAGTTCAGCCCGAAGTCTCCATTGATAGCGGACCGGTCCTGGAATTCACCAACCGGAGGCTGCAGCAGGCGAACCCACGTATCCACCGGTAAGGTTTAGTCGTGTCGGTGAGAATAGACCAAATCCCACCGTGTTGGACCACAACGAGCCAATCCGCGTTTGTGTCTGCCTTGGAGCCTCCTCGACTTCAAGCTGGGACCCCGCAGATTGACCGCTGCTCAGAGACACGTCGCCATTTCTGCCACTATCTCCTGCATGCTTCTGTCCAGCTGGTTTCCGTATTCACGCGACCCCATACATAGGGCTGCACTGCAGACCATTTTGGCCCCCCCTATTCACATCACAGCATAAGCACTACGAATGATGGACATACCGACTAGTTATCTTACTAGCTTTTCATGTGGTGAGATTTTGGGGCCTGGTCATAGGGCTGGCTTTACCCCTTCCCGCGGAGTTAGGCAACCAGCAATTCTCGTTTGTGAAGATCATCCACTTTCTTTCTTTCGTCATGTGGGTCGTGCAACAGAGAGGTCGACCAATCTATCACGATTTTCGGTCGCCCCGAGTACGACTCGCCAGCCCTACGAATTGGCAAAGATAAAGACCCATTCACTGTCCGCTACGGGGCGCTGCACTCACCAATGAATCATTATATGCCCGAGACATTGCCCTTCTAGCGCCCTTCGAGAACGCCGTCCTAACCGAAGGGAACTGCACGTGTGTGCGACTGACTCATTTAGCCCCCACGCGTTGCACAGAGCCAAGAAAGACACGGCTCAAGGCATTCTGAGACTCCGCTCGGTCGCTCCGAGCACTGTGCTGCTGTGTCTCGTTGTTAGCACCATTCGGGTGCATTGCTGGCTTGTTTCGAAACGCGTTTACATTGTGGCAACCCCGCTAGGGATGACATGACCACAAACATACCCTATGCCGCGCTCGCCTGATGTTATCGGACAAGCTTAACTTTCACTCCCCGCTAACCTTACTTCATTTTCCACATGTTTTGGCCCCAATGTGACATCATGGTATTGGCATTGATCAACTATTTTCTAACATAGTTCTCTTACATGGTCATAACACATCAATCCGCACCAACCAGCCAAATTTAAATCTTGCTGGTAGCAGATGCGGTCTTCGGTAGACCGAACTTTGAGATATCCTCCACTGTCTGACCATCCACGGCCAACTCCGCCAGCACTCGTCCAAAAGCCGGGGCAAACTTGAAAGCATGGGCCGCACCTAGCCCCACAATCACGTCCTTGTGGTTGTCCAGCGGACTGATAACGAATCGTCGATCGGGAGTGATAGTATACTGACAGGTGACCGTGCGCAACGGCTCACGGCCCTTGTCGGGCATGAGCCTTTGCAGGAATTCAGTCAACTCTCCCTGCAACCGTGGTGAAGGTACGTATGTACGCTCTTCGGGGGTCATCATATTCTGCGCAAAGTCGTGGGCAGCCTTGATGGTCGGCTCACCATAACAAGGGAAACCATAATAACATGGAGCGCCGCCCCAGATCCAGGTCGGAAAATGAGGGGATTCAAACTCGGCTGGCTCGCTGGGCTTGAAGTATGTCACTTGCTCCTGCATGATCTGCAGAGGGATGTGTACGCCGAGAGGGGCGAGCAGCTTGTTTGTCCAGGCGTCCGTGGTGAGAATCACCTTATTTGCGTGGAAAGTTCCTTGCGACGTTTGAATGACAACGCCCTTTCCGGATGACTTGGGTGTAACGCGCTCGACGCGAGTCCTCTCCTTCAGCACCGCACCCTTAGACCGGGCCACCCATTGCATTGTCGCGACTGTCTTCGACGCATGAACGATTCCCGTGTCTGGGTCATATACGGTATCAACCGAATCCGGCACATTGAATTGAGGCCATCTCTTATTCACCTCCTTGCTGTCAAGAAGCTCATGAGGGACATCGTTTGCGGTGAGGGCTTCTGTGTAGTTACTGGCTGGAATCGGAGCGTCCTTGGGGAGGAAAAAGAGACCACCGGTGGTGGTTAGGAGCTTCTGCCCGGAGAGCTTCTCGAGCTCAGCCCAGTCGTTGTAGGCAGCCTTGACAAGCTTCACGTATTCGGACTCAGAGTTGGATTTCCGAACGATACGCGATGTATCGTGGGATGCTCCGTGGACGTGTCCGAATTCGAATTGTTCCAGTCCAAGGACCTTGGCACCCTTGAGGGCGGCGTGGTACGAAGCTGAGCTTCCGAGGACACCAAGTCCAACAACGGCGACGTCGAAATGTTCCATTTTGTTTTGGCTTGTTCTGTAGAAAGTAATTAATGATATTAGAATTTGATAGGCTGCAACACGACAGCACAGGCTCATTTAAGAGCTAGCCATGGTGTCTTCATGAAGATACCGGGGACCTCCTCCGCTCACGTGGAACCAGCGATGAGGCGGGGGAGGCGGGCCTAGATGATACCAAAGCTCCCTGAAAAACGAAGCGAACGAGATCTTTATCCAAAAGCGACCCGATAGGGTTGGACAGCATCCACCTAAGCGGGACATACAATCCGGGGATCACCCCGTTCCCCCGCGTTTAGTGTATAGATATCGTTGCAGACTGCCGATGAGATAGCTACTCCGCGCACGTGAGCGGAGATCCCCCGGTCCAGGTCACCCACCAGAGTCAAATTGAAACTTGAATACGTTGGAACTTCTATTCACAGGTTCCTCTGAAATTCTTACTATCCAAGTCGGAAATTCTACGCTCTCGTACTATCGGGGCAGCGGGCGGAAACGACTTTCGCAGTTGAAGGGAGCACCATTACCTGGCTCTCAAAACGTATCGAAATATTCAACCTCTAGGGAAATGATGTAGCTCTCGTTAATTATACGGGCAGATCTGGATAAGCCCAATCAGCCGGTCTAGATATTCAGTGAATCGGCCTGTCGGGAGAAAGACAATGAATTCAAACGCATGCCCAAAATTTGTGACTGGTGCGGACTTTTGGGTTTAAGTACTCCGTATAACATCATGGTCTTAGATTATTCAAATTGATAATATTGGAACAATATTGGAAGAAGGACATTCAAAGTTTGACGCGACCGGTACTACTAAAAGAAGTATGCAGAGTACCGCGTCGGATATTCTCCGATTGTCGGGATTTTCCCGCCTTTTGAAGGTTGGGGGGGGGAGCGCAGTTAACACACGACAACACACGACACCCTTTAATTGCTAACAAACTAAAAGCTCCCAATTACACACATCGAGGCACAAACTGATTCAATATACTGTGAAATGGATTCCAACTATTCAGAGTACCCTTCGTTCAGCGACCTGCCTCTAAAGCGAGATGGCCCGCACGGCAATTCTTGGGGACTATGGGGTCCGAATGACCAGATAGGAACTTTGAATCATCTCAGTGAGGACGTTGTGGCAAGGGCTGCAAAGCAGGAAATCAAATCTGGGAAACGAGTCTGTCTAAAGTAAGTTACCTTATACCATTTCCTATCTGGAATTTCATCAGTGAAGCGCAGATCTATTGACACCAAGGCGCATCCAGTTGGACTTTGACTGGCTCTTCCTATCCAACTTTAGGTCGCAAAACTCTTGAGATCAAGCTAAATAACAAAGCGCCACTCAAGATTGCACATGATGATGAGGTATGCTTAAGCTTTTGAGATGGCCATCTTACAGGAAACGGAATTTCTTACGATGCAATGTCTAGTGGACCTTCAACTCTCAATGCAGCTCCCAGTGGGATGGATTTAGACACTACGCTTATCAAGCGGAAGAAGTGAGTGACACAGAATCATTGTACTTTAAATCTACTGATACTGACGTCCATGTCAAGCTCTATTATATGGGTCGGAAAGCTGCGGAGTTTGCCGAATCCCCGATCCCCAATGGCATCCAACGTAAGTCGCTTTAGCAGTCCGACGATTCCGACACAATGTTTTTTCTTAGACACGGTGCTAATTCTATACAGATATTGCAGAAAATGGAATTGCTGGGCGCGGTATTCTGATTGATTGGTACAAATGGTCCCAAGAGAATGGCCATTCTATCGATGCCATGACTGCCCACCCGGTATCATTCAATGAGCTACTCAAGGTACTAGAAATTCAAGGTATCTCCGAAAACGAAATTCTTCCCGGGGATATAATTCTTATCCGCTTCGGCTATATTAGTCAATATGAAGAAATGGGCGAAGAAAAGCGGGCTCGCCTGGATCAACTCTACCGGAAACAGAAACCCGAAAACATAGGAATCGAGCCTTCGAAGGAGTTATTGTCATTTCTCTGGAACAACAAAATTGCAGCTGTTGCAGGAGATACGCGATCCTTTGAGGTTTGGCCTTGTTCACAGACAAAATGGCATCTGCATGAGTGGTTGCTGGCTGGCTGGGGAATGCCAATTGGCGAATTGTTCGATCTGGAGAAGCTAAGCAAATATTGCGAAGAAGCCAACAGGTATACCTTCTTTTTTACAAGTTCTCCTATGAATGTAAGTTTTTTTCGGCTACTAAATTCACAGACGAAAATAAGAAACTGATCCCTCTCATGCGAAATAGGCCCCTGGAGCGGTTGCAAGCCCACCGAACGCATTTGCATTCTTCTGAGTATACTTTCTGCGGCCAATTCTTGGCTTTTGAACTTTTTTCACTTTCGATTTTGTACCTAGACTACAGTTAAAAACTCAATTTTGTCAATTACTAGTACTTTGATGTATTCGAGTCTTGGCCGCGATGGGATTTTGGACAAATGGTAGTATAAATCTCTCATTAAAAAGTCTCAGAATCGGAGCCAGCTGGGCTGTAAATTTTCACAGCTTTTCTTTCTTTTTCATGTGCTAATCAACCTCGGAATTTTCTCACATCATTCAAATTTGCATGAGGTATAATGAACATAGAAAATAACGAAGAGGAATTAAACGTTTACTCAGGGTTATAGACTTCACATGAGTTAATTACAGTGTGTATCTGTACAGAGGACTGTTCTCTCCCATAGCCACCAGCTGCTCCGGGCTATACAGTTCCCTAGCCTCATTTTCATCCATGCTGTTCTTGGTCTTGTTCAATCGCCGGAGATTATATTCAAGAGCACAGGCGGCAGCTATACCCATGCAGATGATACCAAGACACACTCCATACCCAATTGTATAGTGTGGCGCTTGATCTTCCAGGAATACGTTTGTCCCAATGAAGCCTACGATGGTCAAAATCTTTCTCTATATTTCGTTGTGTTAAAATCAAAACTTACTAGCAGTATTTGCTGCGGCCAAAAGCCACGCAATTCCAATCGAACGTTTCCATGATTGGGGCAGGTTATTCGTAGTCCAACTTGATATCCCAGGAAGCAAGGGGTATATACCGATCTGTGCAAGAACAACAGCAAAGTACATGGGTCCTTTGTACTCCTCGACATTGGCCGACAATATGAAAAGAAGCACGAAGGCAATTAGCATCAAAACCATTGGCATGACTATGAATGGAAATCGCCAAGCAAAGCGATCGGCGAGACGTCCAGAGAGCCAACTTGAAACAGCACCGCAAAAATATGGTGGAATAGTTAGTAGCTGAGCCTGTGATGCTTGGAAGCCTAGTTTATTGATGATTGTAGGCATGGTGTAAGAGAATGCCGCATTGGGGGCCGCATTGACCATGGCCATCAGGACAGCCAAAAGAATTTTCCAATCACCCATCGTTTTCAGAAGAAGAGACCAAGAAAATTTGTCTCCTTCTCCTGTAACAGAGCGATGACCAGCCTGTCGAAACCGCAGGTCTATGAAAAGTTTCTCCTCTTCACTGAGCCATCCTACCTTCTCCGGGGAGCATGGGAGAATCAATGGCAGTAGCAAGCCAAATATTGTCGGGACAATTCCTTCCAGTATAAAGATCCATCTCCACCCAGCCACACCACTCAGACCGTCCATGTTGGAAATTGCGTATGCGAGGAGACCGCTAAAAGCTCCAGAAATAGCTGAAGCAGTGTAGAGGAGGGCTAAACGTTGTTGAATCACATTGGGAGGATACCATTGTGTGACCAGATAAACTGCGCCGGGGAAGAATCCTGCCTGAGGTCGGTCTGTCAGCTCCAAAATGTCTAGACGGAAAGATTCTGGATTTTAGGTTACCTCAAAAACACCCAACAGAACTCGACACACTGTCAAACTCGCAAATCCTTGGACCGCACCCATGCAGGTCATGACAATACCCCAGGTGACGACCTGCGAGGCTAACCAATAACTCGGGTCGGTTTTCTTCAGCATCACATTGGAAGGAATTTCTATAATTCAACGGTCAGCGATAAATGTGAGCTTAAAGGATTTGAATCAGTGGAACCATACCGAAAATAATGTATGGGACGAAGAAAAGAGTACTCGCAATATTATATTGATGCCCTACCAACCCCAGGTCCGTATTCATCCCCTCAATCTTCGCATTACCCAGATTGTTTCGATCGACATGGGAGCACAGATAAAGAAATGCCAGAACAGGGAGCAGATGTGCGTCAACCTAGCGATGTGGTGAATACAAAGCTTTGAAATACATTAAGTAAATTATGAAGTACCTTTCGAATCACTTTTTTTCCTTTGATGCCGCCGTATTCACGAAGAACTGCAGCCTCTTCTTCTGAGAATCCTGTGTAGGCAAGAGATTCGAGGTGCTTGGCGTCGAAGTCCTCTTTTGAGTCTTCGGCTCTTTCTTGTGTCATTTCTGACTCCGATCGACTTTAGTCCGTGATGTGAAGCGTCAAGGTTACCTAACCGCTCTTGTGAAATCAGGTGGAATTGATTTGGTACGGAAAGTGAGAATATATTTGCTTGAATTCAGGGTTATGTGATTGAATCTCTCAATAAAAGGGGGCTTCGGTAGATTCTTAACATCTGGGGTAAGTTAGTGATCCATAAATAGTTACCCCGTGGGGTCAGTCCGACACGGGAAATTTCCGAAATAGATCTGAAATTCAATCCCTTCCACGAGAATACGTCGGGAAAATGCCGAAGGATTTCCTGTTCTTTTAAACAGCGGTGTAGCCTATAAGGACCCCTATTTATTTCGGCTACATCTTTCTAAAGACCAGAGTACGGCACTTCATAGCGGCAATCGACCCGGTGTTTACCAGACTTACCTGAGAGGGAGAAAGAATCACAATGATAATTTAGCGCTGATACCAAAAGCCGAAGGAAACCTTCAAAATCATTTTCGGCATTCGGATAACTCAAACAAATTTCGTATGGCTACTCGGAAATATATAAGTATCTCATGTATGTTGTTTTTGTACCTGCGGTCCGTTGTTGATTCTCGATATAGCCTTTCGTGCCAAGCAGCAATTGAAATAATTTACGACGCTCCATGATTGTGCAGATGGGCAAGATAATCTCGATATCGACTGGTTTTATGAGACAGATCTGGTGTTTTGTCGGGCTATCCACAAAAAAGCACTCGATACTGATTGACAGAACCTTGGAGCCCAGCAAATCTTCTGCTCTATCAGAATGAATCAATAATCTGCATAAATTATAGCATATCCGATATGCGCCCATTTTTACATATAGTTTTCTAGCCTTATTCCTAATTTACTATTTCGAAATTCATGCTCTTGCTCTTGTGGTCCCTTCAAAATGTTGCTCGAACCTGAACTTAACATGCATTCAAACTCCAATACGACGATTCGCTGGCCCGGTCTCCTCATTTCCCCCTTCCTCTTGTAGAGTCCACAGCGTGGCACTAGGTCTCCTCCATGCACGTGGTTGCTCTGAATGGCACCGTCTATGCCGTCTTTCTGTGTGAAATTTCATATCTTCACTCACAGATAGCACCGTTGGACGTCTACTTGTCATCGTGATCGGTCGCGCAGAGCTTCTCGGAGGCATCCAACCCGATATCATGAACTGATCTCGAGTATTTATGGTTGGCATGACAAACAGCGACCGAGTCTTATCGAGTGGGGGTCGTCGAATCAGACGACGAAGAAGACTGCGATGAACGTGCTTGCGGGCTTCGATCATAGATTCAGATACTTCCAGGTCCTCATTTCTGTCCTTGAGTAAAGGTCGAGACCAAATCCGGTGCGTTCGTGGCATCTGCGACGGTACGATACCTGCCATCTCGGCGTCGTCGTCGGCAAGCTCTTCCATGATGAGAGGAACCACTGCTGCTTGTTGAAAATACCACGGTGTATGACCAGGGGATCCAGTGCCAGGCTTGGAAACACGTAACTCGAGCCTGCGTGGCTCTCGCATGCATATTTCAGAGCCACAGTGGGGCCAGGAGTGGTGTCTTCTGTGATTTCGAAGAGACGGCATCTTTGGTGCTGACATAGAGCGATCCAGTTGAATTTAAATTTCGCGGTATTGAGGCTCTGTAAGTGACTCTCTCTCCATCATGGGTGTCGTGGGTGGATTGGCTGTGCAGCAGGATTAGAATGAGATGTGCAGAACCGAACAAGTGGTTTCAGCTGGCAGGTAGCAGCATTATAAATGGACGACAAACACTCCCCTAGGCCTTCAAGTTTAGACTCGCACATGCTGGGTCAGGGTGCGCCCCAGGCCCGGGTGACTTCAATATCATTCGCTGTTTGGAATGACCCTGGATTTTGGGCAATGTGGGGTAGTGAAAATGCAGGGTTACTAGTACCCTCAGGCTGGGGGCATTGCAGGTAACTTGAACCCCAGCCCTGTCAGTGCCCGTGTCGGACTCGGAGGGGTTGGGAAATTGTTGAAAGCCCTGGCTTGAAAGGCTCGGTAATGGGTCTCCAGGAACTTAGTAGCAGGCGAACTTGGAGATATATTCCAGAGGACCCTTTCAGGCTGGCACTGGCAAAAATGACGATACTTACACTAAATACTACTAGTAATTAGTACCATCACGAAACCTTGGAAGGTAGTGTACCTAATCGTCGGAATATTTGGTATTAAACTCCAATTTTCTCTGAAAAAGCTCATAGCTCCCAGCGCGGGATTCCAATTTCAAATCGTGACCATTGGCGATGACGAGGTCAAGCGGGCTCGGCTGAGCGCCCGGGTCATCACCGCGGGCGCGTCGCATGACCAGAGACCCTAGCAAGACAGGGCTTGGAATTCCTGTACATCATTGGAAAGGATGCAAATAGCCCTGGAAATAACCTTCCGTAAAATTTTCATGGACCAGGAATAGTTTGCAGATGGGTAGCTTTGATTGTTTTGGTAGTTACCCAACTCATTTTAAGCACATACTTTATTGTAAATCATATGACCGAAGCAGTTTTCTTCAGATTTAGTTGAATGCCCAGTAGTCTGTCGTAGTTAGTACTTGAACTTCAAAAAATAAATAATAGCATGAAGAAGTAGTGTGGTGTGGTAACTAACAAATTGTCGCAGGGTTGGGGGTTGGGAATTAGTATATTAGGGCATACTTTAGGCTGTCCATATAGCAAAGAAAGACACAGCTAATATCAACCACCCCCAAGTGGTCGAGCAGTAACTCGACTATCTCATCTTCCTTGGTCTAGTGGTCATGATTTCCGCTTGTCATTAACACCGATAAGCGCGGGAGACCGGGGTTCGATTCCCCGAGGGAGAGTTTCTTTTTGCTTCTTGTTTTTTTACAGGCCGAGGGCATCTTGGGCATCTTGTCTACGATAGCCTGGAAGAAATTTTTTTTTCACGCTTAGAGCCAGGGAAATGTGTGAAAAGATGCTTGGATTAATGGTTGACTGCATAAAAATTTATTGGTATAGATGGTCTTTCACAGCAGACATTCAACTCAATGATATGACCTCATTAAACAACCCTCTCAATATCCTCGATATGCTCTGTCGTAAGCTTTGCATCAATAGCCTTGGTGGTTGCAACGCGTAGTGCTTCTGCCTCCATTGCCTCTAATGGGCGCTTGGACTGCTTGGCTACCTTGTCATGTATCGGGATAATCGTGGGATGATGAGAAATCTCGATCAAAGTAGACATCAAGATCTTCTAGTGTCCGATACGCAGTTTCAGGGTATAAAAAGTAAACCACAAATATGAATACAAGGTTAAACACAGCAAATACTAGAGAACAGTCAGTTCTTATTAAAAGTTGTATTTCGATTCAACGACATACTGATGTAGAATCGATAGCCGATATTCTCGATCCCGGTCGGGGTGAATTGAGTACATATGAACCCAGCCAGCTAACAAGACGTTAGACATGGAAACAAAACCATTAGAAAGGAGTAAAATCCTTACCCAATTTGTTGCAGTCGCAGATGCAGCACCGACAGTTCTCATGGCGAGAGAGTTAATCTCTGCCTGATAAACCCATGGCACCATACCCCAAGTGCAACCGAATGCTGCGTAATAGAAGAACAAGAATGAGACAGCAACGATTCCCCACTGAAATAACCGTCAGCTTAAGATAAATTAGAAGAGATTTGTTCGCCCTTACCTGGAATGGGGCTTGGTCAAGCAGAGCGATGGAGATTGCAACCATCACATATGCTAAACACTGGAAGGATAGTCCGCCCAGCATGAGGACACGGCGTCCGCATCTTTCAATTAACCAAAAGCATAGCCCCGACGAGATCATATAAGATGTAGCATTGCAGCCAGTAAGAATCCTAGCCATCATTTCATTCATCCCGACATTCTTCATGAGAATAATGGTGAAATAATAATTAAGAGCGTTTATACCACCGAATTGCTATGAACGATTAAGCGCTAATTTTTCGAAAATTAAAGCGAGGACCACATACCTGCATAAATTGGCCACCACATCCAAGCAAAAGTCGCTTCAAGTGGCCGGATCGATCGCGTCGAGCCAAAACGTGAGTAAATGAGATCTCCGATTCACGCTCGATAAGAATGGCACCGGTGATCGAGTGGTATTCACTTTGCACAAGAGGGTCGTCGATAGTTAGTCCTTTTCCGAGGTAGCGTCGTATAGCTTCCAAGCCCTCTTGATTTCTATTCTGCATCAAGAGCCACCGCGGAGAGTCAGGAACTAGTGGAAGGAGTGCCACCAGGGCCGTGCATGGCACAAGCTGAAATAGTACATGAAATATTAGCGCTCGCGTAGGTGAAAACTGGAAAAAGTAATTCAAAGTACCTGTAGTGCTAAAGGAAGTCGCCATTGATATCCTCCTCGGAGAAAAGAACAGCCCAATGTCAACCATGTCGCAGCACAGTAAAAGACGACGTTATGGAGAACAACTATCACGGATAGCTTGCCACGGCGATCACTGCGACAAGACTCTGCCTGGAAAACGCCACATGTCGAACTGGTCACTCCTGCAAAAAAGCAAAGAAGAAGAAGAAGAGTTAGAACGCCGAAGAAAGATCAGGATCAATCTGATGGTACTAACCATTTCCTACACCGTTTATGACCCGACCCACAATAAGTTGAGGGAATGAATATGCGGAAAATTGCAGCACAGCGCCAAGGGCGCTGATCAGGGCGCCCAATCTTAATGTATTCTTTCTGCCTAGGCGATCACCGTAGCATGCTGCAAGTAAGCAGCCCACTAGATTTCCAAGCTTCAGAATGATTAGCATCCGTGCGTAGATTTGTAGTGTTGTGGTCATACCGAGAAGCAGCTTGCTGTTATTCCCTGGACTGACGAGACCTTGGTCTGAGGGAAGACATTGAGAAAATCGGGACTGATAAGAAGACCGGCGACAACACCCTGTTTGATGGCATTAGACAAGGTATTGAGATGGGAGACATGGCTTCAGAATAGGGAGAACAGGAACACCGACCTGATCCCACCCATACCACGATTGAGCAGCCGAGTTGGCGCCGGTTAACGCTATTTCAAGACTATAGCCGTCTAACATGTTCAAAAACTAGTCAGAAGCAAGTTTGACAGGATTTGCCGGAATCAATAGCTGGGAAATCAGGGCATTGTCACTACTTAAAGTATGTCGCTGAGATCGCCGAGCATCCTTTGAACCAGGCACAAAAAGGGTTAGTCGTATACTAGTCAACCCCGGATTTTCCCCGCATAAACACTTACCACACCCTGGACCACCCAAGACCTGACCGACTGGACAGCAATCTAAACTACCGGGCCGTCTCCCTGAAGGTCCACGGAAGGAGCATCTACTTACCCCGCGCCGGGGTGGAGACGGCCCGCGAGTTAGAGAGCCGAGATAAATTCCCATATGATTTCTTTTCTTAGGTGATAAAGCTCTAAACCCCTCAATTTTTGTCATGCGCTCTATTAGTTAGCACTTAGTTAGGTGTCTCTAGTCTTAGTCGCCCGTCCACGTGACGGGCGAGATATTTCCTTCCCTCCGGGAAAGAATACACCATCATCATCTTCTTCTCCACCGTCTTGCAGACAGTAAGATCATTACAACCAGAATTTTTAATACAATTAGATACGAGATTGTCTACTTGGGCGCATAATGGGTCTGGAATGCCCTCGATATATATTTGAAAACAGCTAGACAACGGGTGATTCGAAAATATGGCTGAAATTTTCATGATAAGGGGATTAAAAATTCGTAGCATTCATATAAAATAGATCTTTCATCTTTAAACTGCCATTCCCGGTGAAACATGGAGCCCGCTATCACACCAAGCCCGCAAATCGTCCTTGATATTTAATGTAGAATATCGCAAATCAAAGAATCGCGAGGGCAGTGATGACTCCGAAATCAAAGATCTATGCTCCGAAATTGCAGTACGGATAATGCTTTCGTATCTTAAAGCCAATGACCATCGCTTACCTGAGCAAAGTAGGGCATACGCCATGGACCTCACACCGCTCGGAACGTCAGCGTTGACTGTTTTCGCATAGACTTGTGGAAAGTTAGATTCTATCAAGGAATAAATGATTTAGGATCGAAATACCTATATAGTACCGTGCGACAGTGAACAAGCAGAACACTAAGTGTGGATTACTGACACTCAGCTCTTCGTCAGTCATCTGGTTGACTTTGAAAACCATGTTGTCACAGGCATAAATGCAGCGATTTGTTGCGTATTGCCACTAGAAATGTTAAGAGGATGGAATACAACTATCGACATGGAGCTCTCACCGGTTCTGCAGACGGGTCAATTTCTTTAGGAATTGTAGACATTCTCTGGAAGAGAAGAATGACGGCCCTTGAGAAGTTAGCGAAAATAACCCCAGAAACAAAGGGCTGAACATACGCATCAAGCACACAATTTGTTAGCACAATGTTTGGATCCATTTCGGCACGCTCTTCTTCGGCATATTCAGCATTAATCAGTCTATAAACGGCCGCAACAAACTCTTCACGCCACACTGTGAGGCGTTCATCAATCTTTTGAGCCTCAGTTTGCCACTGGATACGGTCCTGGGTGTTGCCGAGGTTCCAAGTTTTCTGAAGAAAGTGATGAATGAACCACAGCTCATTTGTGCCAAATATGATACAAAGCGAGAAGGCCGAAGAATACCGGAATTGACCAAATGACCACACGTTAATTATATGCTCGGGGAAGGCCCACAAGGAGTCGCTGCAAGGTAGGATCCCATTTGGTATTGGTGGTGATGAGCCTGTATCCCAGTCCACACCGACAGTTGACATACTGTCTAACATTTCAGACATCCAATATGCTCGGATCCGTTCTTCTCGATCAATAATTGTAGTAGAGAGCGGATGAAGGCGTGGAGGCACAGATGCAGATAAGCTGAGCTGTTCCACTTGTTTTTTAACCAATGTTCCGCAGCCAAGTTGAGACGAAATGCTGATTCAGTAAGCACTAAGCGACTTAGACAGGGCAGACTGACTGACCGTTTACATAGAGCAATCAAATTCCAAAATTGCTCAAATCGGCCCTCCCCATAATCAAGATTCGAGAGAATTAGTAAAGACTGCAGACACTGAAGAGAAACCTGCTTCAATGCTTGGCACCATATAGCATCGCGCAGGTTATCTGACCACTGCTTTAGCTCATCCATGCTAACCAGCGGTGACTCATGGTGTACTAGTGTTACTGCACAGATGGCTTTAACAACTAGATACTGATTCGAAGACTCTAGAGATTCCAAATGTTGCAATGAGGTGGTCAATGACGGCTGATGCAGAATCGGAAACCATGGATGGTATTTTTTGAACCAGATAGAGCAAAGCTCAGACAAGACGGGATATGACAATGGATCAAACTGAGCCGAACATCTAGAAATAGGCTCTGCCTCTAAGCTCGTATTTGGAGAGGCGAGAAGCGGCCTGTTAGGTGGATGGGAGACAGGAAGATCTTCATCTGGCGAGTAGACACCCCCGGATAGTGTTATATCAGGCTCGCTAGCGATAGGGGTGGACATCTCTTGACTATTCGCCGAGTCTCCTGAAGATTATTAGCCTTTATGTTGATATCCGGTATCGGGTTGGCATGATTAACCCTGAGAGATATTGTTTCCCTCGAGCATGTGTACTCGCTGCTCAAGTTCCACTGGTACAAAGTTAGCAGATCGCATACCAAGACAAAATATACCACGAGGAAGTACATACCTAAACGTCGGTCTAATTTCGCAATATAGCCAGCCCGAACACCGGGCCGTCGTCCCGCCGCATACTGACACTCAAACTCATTTCTGGTGCAAAAGCCACAGTTTGGCTTTTGCCGATCGCAAGCGACCTTGCGGCTTCGGCAAGTAGTGCAGCTGGATGTCCATTAGCCTAGGATCATCATTCAAAGAATGAGGTCGACTGACGCGGCATTCGGTTTGGCCGACATGTTGGTATCGAGGGGTTGTGAGTTCAATCTGGCCCCAAAGACTGTGCGCACTCAAGCTGGTGCGTAGTGGGAAATGCGGAGAGAATGCCGACCCTGCGAAGAGATGACGAGGAAAACAACGTCAGCAATATTCGGGCTATCTCCTTCACTTTGCGGACTCGGAGGTCATGAAACCCTTTGTTGCCGTTGGAAATAAACCGAAAATTTGAGGCAAGACCGAGTATATTCCTGAACTTCCCCCACAGTTTGGCGTTGATCTGGGGATTTCCCCACATGCGCCCCCGTCTTTGTTTGAAAGCCGGCTTGGAGATGGCCCGCTTTAGTTGAGCTGATTGGCCTCTCGTATTTTTGTGCTTGACCAACACGGGGAAGCAATGAGAACAACGTGCGACACGGAGTTTCCTTGTCCATCATGCGTGAAGGTGGGAAGGGGAGGGGCAGATGATGAAATGTATTCTCCAGCGTGTTGACATTAGAGTCTATTTAAACGCGACGTGGAGCGGCGGCAGGTAAGTCCTCCTCAGACTCAACAATTTCTACTTGAACTGATTGAAGACCGGTTCTGAGACCTCATTTCCTCTTCTACAGACCTTATTTGCGACTTCAACGGCCCATCCGTTAACATGACAGCTGCACAGTTCGACCACATTATTGAGCTTCCTAAGACAGCGCCTGTTGACTCCACCGTGGATCCGCATCAAGTAGCACAGGGTTGGCTCAGCAAACTCGAATCGATTTTTCAAGATGGAGATTTTTCGCAGATCAAGGACATTTTCAATGAAGATTCATGGTGGCGCGATATCGTCTCGCTCCAGTGGGACTTTCGTACTATTCATGGAAACGGAAGGATTGAACAGTTCCTAAGACAAAACCAGAACCTTGGACCAATTACCACCTTCAAGCTCGAAGATACCGGTCACTTTAAACCAAAGCTTGAGGTTGTCAAAGAGGACACTGGCTTTGCGTGGATTTCCTCTCTCTTCCATTTCGAGACACGCATTGGTCGGGGATCGGGGGTTTTACGATTGACCCAGGAAAAGCCCGGAGAATGGAAAGCATTCTCTGTCTATACATCCCTCCAGGAACTTAAGGGGTTTGAAGAGCCACTAGGACCAAAGCGCGCTTACGGGACGCTAGATTCCATGCCTGGTGGCGTGGAAAAAGGAACTTGGCTTGAGCGCCGACAACGCCAACTTGACTTTCTGGAGGATGAGCCTCAGGTGCTAGTGATTGGAGCCGGTAAGTTGCAGGTCAAAGGTTTCCGACCATGAAAGCTAATCCATACAAGGCCAGTCTGGTCTCAACATAGGAGCTCGATTACAATCCCTTGGTGTCTCGACTCTGATCGTCGAGAGGAACGATAGAGTCGGGGATAATTGGAGGAACCGGTATCGGGTACGATGAGTTTCCGCTGTAAATCTTCAGTCAGAAAGCATTTCTAATTCAGATGCAGACTCTTGTCACGCACGACCCTGCCGAGTTTACCCATACAGCCTACCTCCCTTTCCCGAAGAACTGGCCGCAGTTTACTCCGAAGGACAAGCTGGCAGATTGGTTTGAGAATTATGCATCGATAATGGAGCTTAATATTTGGACAAAAACCACGGTTGTCAATACGTGCTACGAGGACGTGAAGGGTGAATGGATTGTGGAAGTCGTGCGCGATGGCAAGCCACAGACAGTGCGACCTCATCATGTTGTATTCTGCACAGGCCATGCAGGCGAGCCCTTGATTCCTTCTTTTCCAGGCCAGGCAGAATTCAAGGGGACCGTTTACCACGGGAGCCAACATGAAGATGCATCGAAGTACGATGTCCAAGGCAAAAAAGTTGTGGTTGTTGGAACTGGAAACAGTGGCCATGATATTTCTGAGAACTTCTGCCAGAATGGAGCAGAGGTGACCATGTTGCAACGAAGTGGTACATATGTCTTGACCCTAGACAAGGGTGTTTTCATTCTTCATGAAGGAATGCATTGTGAAAATGGGTGAGTTTCTGAAACAACATTAACCACCTAGGCATTACTTGATTGATTCTAATCAAAAGAACAGACCACCCACCGAACAGAGCGATATAGTAGGCGAAAGTCTACCATTCCCAGTTCAGTTTGCTCTCAACAAAGATATGACACAGCGTATTGCAGATGAGGAAAGAGAAACCATCGAAGGCCTTCAGCGTGCGGGCTTCAAACTCGAATGGGGCATTGACGGATCAGGGATTGCGAGACTCTACTACACACGTGGAGGTGGATATTATGTTGATGTTGGCTGCAGCAAGCTAATCATTGATGGGAAAATAAAGGTTCACCAGAGCCCGGAGGGTATCTCCGGATTCACACCCGATGCTCTTGTGCTAAAGGATGGAACGCACCTCAACGCAGATGTTGTGGTACTCGCCACAGGATATGACAATATGAAAACAAGTGTGCAAAAGGTTATGGGAAACAAGGTCGCAGAACGATGCAATGATGTCTGGGACCTGGACGAGGAAGGAGAGCTGAATGCAGTGAGTGCTATCGATCTTACTTCAGATTCTACCTAGCCGGTTCATGGAAGCTAACATCGATAAATTTAGATTTGGCGGCCTAGCGGTCATCCAAACTTTTGGTTCATGGGCGGAAATCTCGCCTTGTGTCGCATCTACTCCAAGTACTTGGCATTGCAGATCAAAGCAGCGGAGGAAGGGTTAATGCCATCGTCCATTCCTAACTGAGTTTTGTACACTCATTTAGTCACTACTTAAGCTTTTAGATTGCCCACCACGTTCTCGTTAAAGTTGATTGATTATTTCCGCAAACACTTCCCTATACGGAATTCCAAGGTTTCAAAGTTGCGTAGTATTTGCTCTCGAACTTGAAGCATTTATGCCCACCTGGGCAGAATTCCACCGGCGCCCTGAACGATGACGGCCTTCAAAAGTTTAACTTAGTATCAAGGTTCCAAAGTTCATATCAAGTTTAAATACATTCTTAAAGCACGCTCAGATCTATTACAAGGCAGTAGAATCGGTTTCGGTAATGATGGATCTGAAATAAATACCATTTTGGCCCTGGCTGTAGGAAGTGGATGCTGATGTAAATCACTGTTTGGGGCACTCATAGATCACATCTTGGGGCCAAAAGCCAAAGTTGAATAGCTTCTATCTGCACTAGTATATGAGCATAAGCGAGAGGATCAATCCGAAAGATTTAATGATTCAGCTTCCATCCCTTTTCACTTTGGGGTATGGATTTAAGACGGTCTTCCCTTCAAGGCTGCCAGAAAGTCTTCTCGATCTGTTGTGAATGAGACCCAAATTGTTAGTATGGCCTCTGGTAGAATGTGAGATCATATAATGCTTACCGTGAGATGTCTGGAAAATAATTGAAACGGCTCCTTCTCGAGAACCGACATTCATAGTTTTGGGATTGCGTGTCACAATGTTCGCCATATCCAGAACTGTTCCTCGGCTGTAAGGCAGGCGTGGGAAGCTGAGTCGAGTACCTTCTCCGGATGAATTGGAAGAATCAGAGGGTAGAGACATGGTAAACCATTTGTCGGGAGTATTATCATCCCAGCGCGCAGCAAGTTGGAATGCATTGCCCCGACGCCAAATTTGGGCTTCAGCTCCGCCTTTGCCAGACCTCTTGGAGCCAAACAGCGATTTGCCTTTGGTTGAAAGTGATTGAATCCGGCGAGAGAAGACGAGCTCGTATAGAGGCGAGAGTGCACTGAGAAACGAGCGAGAGACAGGCTCATTATCAAAATGAATTACCAGCTTTTGAGATTTCTTCTCACAATGAGAGAATCCAACTGGTTCATCGGCACGATAAAGCTGATCAGCATGCGTAGAGATATAATCCGTATGGGAGATGGCAGGGAATCGGATACTGAGAGATGAATGCTCGTAGGCGTAATCGGCATTGCGATAGATGTAGTAAACATCAAGATATCGCCATGATGGATTATTCTGGAATAAGGCAACTGCTTTGTATTGTTTATGTTCAGTTCCAGCATCAACGACATCGTAGATGCGACCGGAACTACTAGGCTCTGACCACGAAAAGTCCGGTCGGAAGCTCAGATCCATCACTGCCTTTTCGAAATCCTCAGCGGTTTGCTGTGTTCCAAAACTGAGACTGAATCCGAGATTTGGAGCGCTTCGGTCGTAAATATACGAGTAAAGAGTATTGTAATTTCCATCTGTTTTGTCCGATCGTTCCTGACAGGCATCAGACCATTTGAGGAGAACTTGGCGAGACTTGTCCTCGTGTTTAATTTGGACACCACTTAATGGCATAAAAAACTCCAGACATCGTGGCATTGCTTGTGCAATGGATGGGGTAATTACTACTCTTCGAGTAGACCGCCAAGCTTCCCCAAAGGCTCTTTCCAGGATACGAATCTCGCAGGACCCTATGGTGACTGGCGGATTCAGGGGTTTCATAGTTGGAGGTTTCAGCTGTTCCAAAATTTCAACAGATCCCTTGAATATGACGCTTTCGGTAAAGTCCCGAGAATCGATTGGTTCTCTCAGCCAGACGGCATCAAAGTAAGTCTTCGGGATGTTGATGAAATTCCCTAGATCTGACTCAAACTGGAAGGATATTGAAACGCTCATGTTATCGAACTTGAACTGTAATGGATTTGAAATTCGAGTGTCTGGGAATCCAGCCCTTGTAGCATTTTCGAGTTGGATCATTGGCGGCAGATCGTCGGGCACGACTAGTGCATCGATCGAGTCAGAGATAAGTAAAATAATGCGAGGGAAAAGTCTTACAGTTCCTTTGAAGGTAAAGCGATCCACTTTGATTGCACAGAATGATCTTGGGCTCACTTTCACCCTCTTGGGTAGCTAACAAGAGCATGTAAGGGGCACCTTTAGAGCGCATTCGGAACTTTTTACCTCCAATACCAGCGTTGACAAATGTCCTGAAGAGAACGTTTTCTTCCTCAGCACCGGCATCTTCTTGATCAACGGATACCCATCGTGCATTATCAAGGCCAAATGAAAGATCCCCACCGCTATCAGGCGTTTCTTCTGGCTGCAGAGACTCCCAAATGGCGCAATTTTGCGTAAGGATATTTTCCGTGTTAGGTGTGTCGAGGGTGGTATACTGGGAAAGCTCGTAGGTGATACCCTGTCAATATGTCAGTATAAGGGAAGCCACCACGTATAGACTCCAATTTTAGAGAGAGAAAACCAAAGTACCTCTGAAAGCTCCGCAATTGATTTGCGATTCTCATCGGTCAGGAGAGCAGCGGAGCTCTCGTCTTTCAGAACAACGTCATAAAGAATATACGATGCTTTCAGCAGGTCGACGTAGGCCTGGTGAGAGCTCGAAGCCGAGTCTGTCGACGGGCTCAAACTGCCCCGTGCGCTAATATAGTTACTCCTGCTGCAGTTGGCGAGAGTTGCACGGGCTTTCAATAGCCACCAGGTAGAAACTCGTAGCCAATCTCGCGTAATAAGTCGTCTGACCCGGAGCTCTTCGTTGACGGAAACCTCGAATAAATAGATAACTTCTGGTATTGGCGTGTGTGCCGAATTCTGTGGCTCATACCTAATTGGTCGTGCAAGTTGTGCCTTGAGGCGAACCTGGCGTAACTGATGCATGGCGTTTGAAACGGCTTCTAGAACCCGAGGGTGGGAGTTTTCTTGGGAGCCCTCGCTGCTTCTCTCCAGCAAGCTCTGCTTATCTTGAATGTCCGAATTGTCTTCCCAAGATACCTTTTCGTGGGTTCGACCGTCAATCGTTCCGTCGGAGAGCTGCTCGCACCTGCTCCGAGAGAGGCTTATTCTGCCCATCATGCTCTGCGAAGGGGAACGGGTTGTATTGAAAGAGGTGGAAGAAGTAGGTGTAGTCCCTCCAAAAATCGACCCGTCAGATCCGGAAACTATAGACTCGGAGGAGATCGATGTATTTCTCGGTTTACCGCTGCCATGTCTTGCTTGACGAAGCGGAGCAACGTGGAGGCGATCAGAGTGGTATTTATCATCCTCGCTTGCGTCTTCGGACACACTTTCTCTGATGCCTCGGGGGGAGGTGAGAGTATCGGAGTCCTGCCTAAAAGATGCCTCCGTGGCATACATGGCGTGCTCATCGTCTTCCATTGCTTGCGCTATTGTTTGCTCTAACTGAGCGAGAGATGCACTAGTTTTTGTTAGTGGCGTCAAAGAGATAATTGGCGTGCTCAGATTCCCTTTGAACTTACTATCCAATGGAGCTCATGCAAAGACTCAAATTACACGTATGGACAATGACTTTAGACCGAATATCTTCAATCTGAGCCCTCTGGGTGGACCATTTAATCCTTTGCCAGAACGTATGGCCTTCTCCAATACCCAAGTCGCGGTATCGTCCAAGAATTGATTTGAGGCGTTGGAGTGTTTGGTAGCAAGCGCTAAGACATCTTTCTAGTGCTTGTTTTCGACCTGTATCCATCTCCTGGAAAAAGAATGCATTTGAGCTCACATCTTCACTGAGCGTTCGCAGGCTGCCTTGTAGCGACCCCAAATCGTTAATCAAGCTTCGAAATCCATCTGGTGCATCTTTAGACAAAGGGTAAAACTGATTGTAGAGCTCCCAAGTGGTCCTGGCCAGAGCAGGAATGTCGAGAACACCACAATTTGATGGCATGTCGCAAAGGCCCAAAGAATACTATGTCGCCGAGTCAAAGGAAAGCTCGTGAAGCACGGGAGCTCTGTTTCATCCTTCGAACGTAGGGGGGCTTAGCTTTGCGCCCGTGCCGCAGTTTGAAGCCTCCCAAGTAAGCCTCAGTTTGCCCCAGACAGGCGTTGGCAATGTATTTGTAGCGTGGCAAGCTGCCAGCCGTTGCTCGGGGGGGTTGGATAGAGCCAACTCGTTCGCAAAGAAAGAAAAGAGCAAGAGCGAGGATAGGGATTGAAAATTTGACAGAGAGAGAATAAACATAAGGGTGCCAGTGGAGAGAAAACTTGACCCCTGCAGGCCTACTAAAGGACCTCGCCATGCTGACATCTTGCAGGGAATCCTAGTCGGGCACGAGACGCTTGGAGCCAAGCCGCGATTTGGGGGCTACTTTGACAATTCGCCGCCGATCTTTCGTATATTTCGTCATCTCAAGAAATGTGCCACTGGCAGCTTATCCTTTTCTGGGGCTATATCTACCCCGGAGACTTTCTACCTGTGAGCTCACTTCTCCGAAATTTGGTAGTAGCACCTGCTACTAGGTATTGGCATTTGTTGACATACCAGGGCGGATAAGTCAAAAGATACTAAATAAAAAGCCCATAAAAGGGACCTTGAAGAGCGCGTCTCATATTTCAAGAAGGCAGATATGAGATATTCTGAGTATAATTTGATTCACATGTGGATTGTAGTCGATTACGTGGTCTGAGTAGTAGAAAGGGTAGTGTGAACTTGAAGCTTCACATTTCGCTTGGACCCCAGGATTTCCCCGGATTTCGTGGATGCGGGGGACTACGCATGATGCTGCCGGGGAATTGATATTTACATTCGATTATTTCCTATCCAAATATTAGTACAAAATATTAGGACTATCTTCATCACTCGTGACAGAAGTCATTTGATGACAGTTAATCAATCTAAATCACCTTTCCTTGCAGATCTTACGATGTCTGCTGTTGATATCTGTTGAAAGACAATTAGCGATTCTCTCAATTATGAGGTTTTTCTTTCCAAAATCACATATCTACTATGCATTTACAAATGAAAAGAAATAAGTTAATAGATACAACCCCTAATCCTTGGTCCCCTCCCTTTTCTCCACTTAGTTTCGTGGTTTCTTCAGCTACGCGCCCCACCAGCAATGACACCTGAGGCAGAATTAGTGATCGCCATCCCCCTAATTTAATTGAATCCACATCTCGATCGCATCGCAATTCTTTTTTTTTTTCTAGTTATCTCTTCTTTGCCCTCTTTTGCGACGCTTGCCCTTTCCACGCCCAATACCACCCCACCTCATCCTACCTTAATACCCCTGAGACCAGCGCGCTCCGCGCAATTCTACCCACCATGTCGACGAGCGAGAGCTTCACACTCGACACGCCAACGATGCTCTGCATCGCATTCGCGCTCTCCTTCATGCCAATCGCCTACATACTCGGCACAAGCCTAATCCCCTCCACCCAAACACGCAACCGCATCCTCTTCTTCTGGCACGCCTACGACGCCCTCACCCACATCTTCATCGAGGGCTCATTCCTGTACGAATGTTTCTTCAGCTACACGACCATCGCGGGCATCCACAACACACGAGAGCCCTTCTTCTTAAACCAACGCGACCGGCTCTACGGCGCAGCCTACGGCACCGGGCCCAGCAGCCGTCTCTGGCAGGAATACGCCAAGGCGGACCGTCGCTGGGCAGGCGCAGACATCACGGTCGTCTCGCTGGAATTGCTCACTGTTTTCCTCGGGGGTCCGGCCGCGATTTACGTCTGCTATCAGCTTTATCGGGCTTCGAGTGAGCGGGTTGGTGCGGCGGTGCGTGGGGCTGCGAGGGCGAAGCTTTGGTTTGTTGCGCTTGCGTTGGCTGTTGCGGAGCTTTATGGGGGCTTTATGACTTTTGCTCCGGAGTGGTTGACTGGTAGTGAGCAGTTAGCTACGGAGGATCCGGTTTACATGTGGTTTTATTTGGTCTTTTTTAATACGTTGTGGGTTTGGATTCCTCTTTGGGTGTTGTGGGAGGGTGGTAAGGAGCTTCGTGCTGCTTTTGTCGGACTGGAGATTCAGTCTGAGGAGCGGAAGGGTCAGTGAATATTTAGCTTGCTGGGATATCCGGCCCTGAAGCTTTTGTGATATGTTGAATTCAATGGTGACTCGAGTTGGACATATGGTGGTGTTTTGCATCAATGGCCTTCTTGCCAGTGAACTTCAGTACCTACATTTCAATTATATGATAACTATTCAAACCAAGAGAGAAAGATCATGGTTCTATGTGTCTTTGAGTAATACTAATAGTAAGATAATTCAGTCTTTTTGCGACAGGCATCTACTCATGTATAAGTTCCAAGGTTCAAGCATATTCTTGTTTCATCCCAGTGGTACTAAATAAGAATGAAATTTTGCTCAAAGTGCAGAGAGAAGATACAAGAAAAAGAAATTGCAATTATGTACTATACAAAGCAGAAGAAAATAATCAAATGGATCACAGGCTCAATCTGGTCCGGCCGAGGCGTGGTATCATTATAATCAACCCGGACACATCCACTAGCCTCCTTCATTCTTTCCCAGCATTATATGCGCGCTCCTTATCCCAGAACCAATGATAGAAGCTCTTCCATTCAGCCGTCTCGTCCTCAACATAGTCACCGACAAGCTCAGCCGTCTCATTAATCTCTTCGTGAAGAGGTGGAACCTTCAGCCCGGAAGAAGCATCCACCCCGTGCCCAGCACTAGCATCCTTTGCTGCAGACGCCGCGGCCGCGGCCGCAGCATTAGAACCGATATCAACATTGACATTGCCGGAATGGATGGTGAGAGCCTGCTCTGCACCCTCTTTCGTGCTCTCGACTAAATCACGAGCGCCTTCGCGCGCAACTTCTCCGAATTCCTCTGCTTGTTCTCGCGCGCGCTGAATAAGTTCGTCTGGGGATGGGTAGCGGCGGAATAGCATCAGAAGGAAGTAATATCCCTTGACAATAGATGCATAGACAGCATCTTTAGCTAACATGGTGAATCCATGAGAGAAAAAGCCCTTCAAGACCTCACCAGCAAGACCAGCATAAAGGGCCGAGATGCCTTCCGTTCGCGCGATCGTCCCAACAGTAGAAACAATCTTCGGCGTGACGGCGGAAAGAACCGAGCTCGAGCTCTTCACCCCGGCAGCCTTCCGCGACGAACTCAACGCCTGCGCCCTCGTTTTCGCAAGAGAGAATGGGTATGTAATCGACGACGCGGCGGACTTACTCAACGCGGCAAGTAGGAACGTCACCGCGGCAGAAGGGCGCTCGCGCTTCGCACGCGATAGAAGGGCGTATTTGAGGACTTCGTTCAGGAAGAATGTTATAGATGGGTTCAGAGTCAGGATCAACGTGGCTGAATATCCGGACCAAAAGCCACGAATGCCCTTCTCGGCCCTAATCTGCGCTGCGATGTCGCTGGTTGACATTTCTTGATTGTCCTCTTTACCCTTCCCCGCCTTGCGCGCGGCGATTTGCTTCCGCGTGACGATATTTGACAGCGGCGTGGTAAATAATTTCGCAAACGAACCGGCGACCACGCCGACGGCCAGTTCGTCGAGGATCGGAAGAACGATGTTCTTATTCTTTGCGGCCTTGGCCGCGCCTACGCGGGCTACTATCCGCTTTTGTCGGACCGTATTGTAGGCGAGGAAGAAGAGGAATGAATCCAGGACGGTCTTGAAGGTATCCTGCGCCAGACCTGGGTAAAATCCCGCAATTCCTTGTTCCAGATAGATTTTATATGCAGCATCGACGATACCCTTGTATTCTTCCTCGTCATCATCGTCGGAGGAACCTTCCTTTGATTTGTCTTTCTTTTGTTGTGTCTGTAGTCGCGCAACGATCACACTGAGGGGGTATACGATGACACTGGAGATTGCTGAGCCTACGGCACCTGCGACGGCATTTCCTAAGACTGGCAAGGCGGGGCCTCGGAGGGCTGCGGCCTTCCAGTCATCTTGCGGCTCCTGGGTTTCCCAGCGGTAGGAGGGGTGGAAAGCGTCCTGGCGATGGGCATCATTGTTAGAGTATGCGGTCGGAATGTGGTGTTATGAGACGTACCAGTTGTGACTCGTACTCGAGTTTGAATTCTGGCATTGTGCAGGTGTAGAAGGGCCCTTCCCCTTGTCGTTGTTTTATGGAAGAATCCGGGTGTCAGATGTCAGATGTTTTGGTCGTCCAGAGTCGGAAGATCGATGTTTTGGCGAGCTATACAGATGCCGGAATAGGTTGTCAATGCAATTTCTGATGATTCGCAATGGAGTTTAGATGACAGCGAAAGATGGACCGCCAGCGACCGGTAGATATTGTGAGAAGGGGTATTTGAACGTGATGGTGTCGCAGTACAAGGCCGAGGTTGCGGAGATCGATTACATCATGCCGATCATGTGGTCTGTGCAGGGTGGGTTGATGGAAATGAAGCACCATGTATACTAGGTAAATTCAGAAATTTACAATACCTACAGGGATAGCATGATAATCGCGTGATTCATACTACCAGACGACCCTACTGATGTGAATTTACCCCCCAGATAATTCATGGTAAGGACAATTTTCCGATCCCATTGAGTTGATAACACTAAGATAAAACCGATAATCTCATATAACCAAGAGACCATAACCACCAAAACCCCAGCTCTGTCGTGATCTAGTCGTACCAGACCCGGTCAGGCAAAATTTGAATTCCAAACAAAAAGAGCAAGTTCCATCACACCATAACGCATGAAAACCCAATATGGACCATTAAATAACAGCCTTTAATATGGGCGGACAAGAAGTCCAAAAGAGAAAAGCATTGCAAGGCAACTGCTTAACCACCGAAACCGTACAGGGTACGGCCCTGGCGCTTGAGGGCATACACAACGTCGAGAGAAGTGACGGTCTTGCGCTTGGCGTGCTCAGTGTAGGTGACAGCATCACGGATGACGGACTCAAGGAAGGACTTGAGGACACCGCGGGTCTCTTCGTAGATCATGGCAGAGATACGCTTGACACCGCCACGGCGGGCGAGACGGCGGATAGCGGGCTTGGTGATACCCTGGATGTTGTCACGCAAAATCTTGCGGTGACGCTTGGCGCCGCCCTTGCCGAGGCCCTTTCCACCTTTACCGCCTGTTGTGGATAATGGTTAGCTTTGGATAATGAATTGAGGGAGGTGTAGTGGGTGTCATCAGTTCGGCAGAGGTCGGTGAAGTCAAGGTAGTGGATGGAGTAGATGGAGTAGATGGAGTGGGCTAGCCTAATTTGGGTAGGTGAGATGCATGGTTGCCCTGAAGTTCAGGCACGAAGGCACTAAATGAAGGAACCACGCATCACGTGTTCTCCAGGGGCATCACCAACACGACCTCACGACAACAACACGAAGGGTTGACGATGCAAAAAGGGAATAGGGGGACCACTCACGTCCAGTCATGATGCTAGGGTAAAAGGATTGATGGATTTAGATGGAAATTTGATGGAAAATGGGTGGTTGTTGCGTATTGGTGTAGCCGGAGTGACTAACAAACGCGTGGTAAGTGGGCGTTGAGAGGATGGAAGAGAGAGAAGAAAAAAAGGGAAGCCAGTCAAAGAGCGGGGGGAGATCGGGCAATACTTAAATATGGGACTGACGACTACGCGTGATTTCGGGGGGTGGGTGGATTATCTAAGCAAGGAAATTCGCATTCTGCAATGCGGCGGTGATTGGCAGGACAAAAGGGCGTTATGAAGGGCAGGTTTCGAGCGCGTTTTTCCAAGCATGGGGGGGGTGCCCGCATTTCCTGCCTGGCCGTTTTGCACGGCTGCACAGTCATGTGCTGATAGTTCCCGCGATAAGGGTGGATTGTACGGAGTACAAGCCCCGGCCTAACCGTTTTGGGAATATTAGGTAAACTCGGGCTAATGGGAAGGTATCCACAATGGAGCACGGCATTGGTATTGAAGCCGGGCTCGGCGCGCCACTCGGGAGAATTTACATAGTATACATTGTAGTATACTAATTCCATTCCATTTTGGCATGAGAAGGCTAGTGGCTGGGATTTATCCCTACCCAACTGGAATTTACTCTACTCACTACTACTCGCTACTCATCTACGCAACCTAAGAAGGTCAAAAAACCATGGTTCAAATCACATTCATTCATACCCCCATGTCAAGACTACGTCGTTGTGAACACATCGTAGACATTCTGGACAGCGGATCATATCTCATGCGAACCCATCGCAACCTACCATCTGATCGGATCAGAAGCGATGGAACATCACACGCAAAGGAAACAACATATGAGAGGGGAAAAACACAAAACAACAAGAAAACCACCCCGTAACACCATGCAAGGAAAATAAATCAGAAACAGGCCAACGAACACAAATGCATCGAAAATGGAGGCGGGCGAGACTAAAAGGTGACTTTTGGAGAGAAAATGGAGATCTGCGAACGAGCAGAGAAGAATCGAAAAAAGGGGCCTCAAGGATGATCGTGTCGCTTTGCAACACAATAAGGACAATAACGGAAAGAAAAAACAAAGAATAAAACAAGTGCAAATTTCGTGTGCTCATCATGCGTAATCAAAACAAACACAGGTGTGTTCGAGAATATTCAAACACCCCGCAGATGATGTGGCTAATTTGGGGCCACATTGGGCAGCACTTACGTCGATAATTTCTCCCGACGCAAATTCTGACGGCCCAATGCCGTAGAAAGTGTTTAACGACCAAGTCCCCGCGGTTTATTATACATCGCAAGAACCGAAATCATTTCACAACTCGCCACAGCTTTGAGCAACCACTATCGGACATCAAGTGTATTTCGGAGCGAAAACCTCATCCATGCAAAGTTGGGGGAAAAAGTTCATCACGAAGCACCGACGAGGGGAAGGTATGAACAATCGGCAACAAGAGGGGAAGAATACGAATCAATCGGTCGATCCGTCTTCAGGTAAGAAATATCGAAGTCTCTTTAAAGAAACTGTTAACATCATGCAAGGGTGTGGGCGAGGAAGGATAGCACCGGACTCCGTGACGGTCAAGCGTTTAATATGACACTCACCCTCGGATGACTGGCGATGATTGAGGGTCCTTCATGAATCCATTCTGCAGGGAGTTGTAGGGGAAGCGAAAGGACATGGAGGAAGGGGATGCCCGCGGCGAAGATCGTGGACTAACAGCTGGCGACGATGAGGACACGGGACGAGACTCGCGAGGTGCCTCAACTGCGGCTGGCTCTAGTGGCGCGGGGGAGCGAGGTGAAAGAGGAGGCGAGGGAGACCCAGTAGAAAAATACTTGGAAGCTGCCTCGCCATTCACGTTGACTGAAAAGCTCTGGGGCTTTGGAGGCGAAGATTTGGGGGTACCATACTAGATGATCGGGTTAGTCGAGCCCCAGGGTGGACGGTGAACAAGTGACTTACAAAGCAGTACTTATCCACCAACTCTTTGTACACCGAGGACTCGAGGCATGGCTTGCTAGACATCAGTGAGGATGGTTTCGGGCCCTCCTTCTGAGCATGATTGCTCACGGCAGGCTTCTCCAGCTCCTTCACGACGGGACTTCTCGGAGCAGCGTCCGAAGTTAAACCCGATCGGGCTCGCGCGGTTAGCGTGGTTCGATCGGCTGGTGGCTTGGTCTTCATCGCGGCGGTCAATGACGCCCCAAAGTCATAGCGGTTGCCAAATGCTTGTTGGCTCGGCTTCTCGCGTCGTTTCGGGGGGCCAACGGTGTCGATGTCGTTTGATGAAGCCCGGCTCAAAGGGGGTGACTTGACAGAGTTGAAAGGGTTCGAGAAAGGAACCTTCTTGTTGGACTCATCAAACGAAGATGGCATAGAGTGGGGACGAGTGTGCAAGCCGGTGAAGGATCGACTGCGGGGTAGGGTAGGGCGTGCGCCACTGGATGTCCTGGAATTAGATGGGTGGCTGGAGACCATCGGCTTCTGAGTCTTGAGGAAGTCCACTCGGTAGTTCATGCCATTGTTGTTGTCCCAGTACTCTTGACCAGCGACATTGTATCGGATACAGGCAATCATGGTCTTACTCTCCAGGTTGGCTTGGTCGTCAAGCTTGATATCAAACGTGAACCGGTCATAGCCATCATTCCCGTAGGCGTGATGAATATCGTGACAAAATGTGGCACTCACTTCTGACACCGTTCTCCAAGAGTCGAAGGTAAAACGTGCAGCAACTTGCTTGTGGAAATCAAGATTGGCGACCGCGACCGATCCAATCAAAGTCGTCTTATCTACAGACAGGAACAGTCGCTCAAGGCGAACGGGGTTGGTGGAACGTGATGACGGATCCTTAGGAAAGTTGGAAAGTTGAAGCTCCCACTCCCATGATGAAGCACCCTTACTCGAGCTGCTACCAAAGGGAAACTCGTCCTCGGCGTCGTGGTCGTCAACAGGCGATGTCTCTGCACTCACAGCCAAAGGTCGGTCGAGCTGCAAGAAGTGGCGGATATGTTCTAGTTGAGAGTCGAAGTGCACGGCCTTTGCAAACACGGGGGTACCTGGCATGCTAGAAGGACGTCGTCGAGCCGTTGCAGGTCGAAGTGCTGGACGAACCAGTTCGCCAGACTTCTTTCGCACCATAGGTGGCTTTGGTGACATGTCTGCATCGCTATCATCAGGCGAACTTGTCAGTGCTTCCTCCCTCTTATAATCGACCGCTGTTTCGGTGCAAGATCGGGAATGGGCGATTTTGCGGGCCTCTTTGGAAAGCCGAATGAGGTTCGGTTTCAGTGGCTTGATGTCTGTTCTCGTTGATGGTTGGCTTGATGAGGATCGAGCCTCGGTGCCCAGCTGATCAGCAGGACCCATTCTCTTTGGTTGCCTTTCCGGTGAGCTTTCCCTTCGCTGTTCAATCGATCGTACTGCGGCCTCGAGCTCCTCGAGCTTCAATTCTCCACAAGGTGAAGATTCCTCGTCGGAGTTCTGTGCTGATTCGGGGGGTGAAATCACCGCCCCGGGTGGAATCGCAGCATTGCTTAACGGTGGCGGGGATTGACGGAGACTGGTATGGGGGTCAATAACAGGAGAGACACGGGAAGCTGGTTCCGATAAGGAGTGCACGGCCGATTTGTTGCAGATAGATGGGCTTCTGCGGTGCCGACGAACGTACGAGGTAGAGGAATAATTGCGGGAGTTCTGCACGCGTGCGGAGGCAGATCGGGCCAGACCAGGCCTCTCGGGGCGAGTGTCCTGAGAGGGATCACTGTACTCGATGTGCTGCGCGGAGAGCAACGACTTCAATGGCGCAGTGTATGGCATCCGGCCGACTTGTGTGTCTCAACACAAGAAGGGGGTGTGAAGAGGAATAGGTGAATGACGGAGTTCGAGAATTAGAAGTCGACTCGAAAGGTCCTGGATGGGAAGAAATGGGATCTGTCAGTTCAATGGACGGATACTTTTTTTTAATTTTAGAAAGTGTGGCGAGACGGGAGAAAAACGGACAAGACAAGGGAAAAAGGCATAACCATGCACATCAGACGAGATGGTGATGGGAGAGGAAAGACGAGTGGAAGCGGAAGTCGGGTTGGTGCAGGGAGGATGCAGATGGTGGCACCAGATGGCGAAAGGAAAGAGCCAGTGGGAGGAAGGGAGGAAGTATCACGACACACACAGTAACACCGAGAGAGTTGGTCGGGGAGACAATGGGGAGAGGAAGAAAGGGAAAGAAAAAAGTGAAGAGTGAAAGGAAGGCAGCAAGCTTATCAACCTTGAGAGCCTTACCGTTGAATAATATAGATAGAGAACTGTGGCGAGATGGCGTATCGGCGGGAACAGAGGTGGGCCGATAGCAACGTTGAAAACGGGGGAGAGTAAAAAAGTTTGAGGAGGCCTGAGAGGGGGAGGGGAATATAAAAAAGGAATATATAAAAAAATGCAAAATGTAAAATGCAGAAAAAGAAAAAGAAAAGACACAGAAAGCAGGAAGCAGAATGTACAAAAGCTCCGGTGCAGCCGCGGGGGCGAATGGGAGGATCGAGTAGGGCGATCACCTCACTTAGTACCTCAGATGTACCGAAGAAGTCGTGATGGCGGGAGGCAAAATTTACCAAGCCATTGCCGCTCTGACCGTTAGGATTGGAGAGAATCGGGCCAGGATCCTTGGATTATCAGTCCTTTAAGGAAGATTGGAAGGAATGGGAGGAGGGAGAGAGAGAAAAAAAGGTTCGGAGGAAGAGATAAGCCAGGCAATATACCTGAGAATGGATTAGGGGGGTACTACGACGGTTACCACTTGAAAAAAAGAAATCGAAAAAAAAAAAGTGGAACAAGATAAATAAAGGACCCCAAGCGCCTGGGAAAACCGGTGCGGCTTGCATTGACTCCGCTTTCGATGCTCGTCAGTGCGTCCCGTATAGTTCTGCGTTGGGGACACGCAGTGGGGCGGGGGCTTTTTCCACTTCATTTTCTTTTCATTTATTTTATTTGATTTTACATTTACATTTACATTTGCAATTGCAATTTATCTCATCAATTCATCAATTTACACATACACACATACATATACATACATTGAAGTTTACAGAATACCCCCTATCCTGGTAGTACTGGTCTACCATTCTTCGGACTACAACCCTCCTGCTCAGCCCACTTCTGGCGCTAAAACTTGGGGGAAGTCCACTCTTTCGCAATCTGTCTGTGTTCCCTGTTTCTGGACTGACGTATATCGACTGTACAACTTATGCCTGTACCCCCCTGATAATTCCGATTCCGATCACGGGGAAGTGACCAGGATATCATTTGAATAGGAAGATGTACTTCATCGGATGGTCCCAGGGTATAGGATGTGGAAAGGTAGATGGCAACTACTCGCGATACTTACCAAGGTATCTCTTATCAGGAGAGGCCCGAGTCCCTTGGGTCGGGTGGCTTTACAGTTGTTTTCAGTTCAAATTGATTTTGGTAGTTTGTACGCCTAGACTGGGCCAGTCCAGGGCAACACTTGACACTCCTCCCACTCCCACTCCCACTCCCCTCCCCCTCGCTCCCCCACAGCCCGTCTCGCCCATTCTTCATGCGCAGCCTGAGGATACACAGTGCGCACGTCGAAGCACCATCATATCTAGATTACTCGCTAGTCCCAAGTTAGATCCGACACGCAAATCGCCCCTCTCTGATCGCATCCCGCGTCAAGTTGAAACAGAAACAGGTTCGAGGGGGATGAGTGATGATGGGAATGATGGTCACGATGGGGCCATGAGCCTTGGAACATGGAACGGGAACCACTCAATATTGTAACCATGGACGAACTGCTTTGCTCGCAATCTCCTGCCTTGCATGTCGTGCCTTGAAGTTCACTTTTTGCCTTTTTTTAAATCTTTCTCACTGATGCGATCGATGCAAGGAGTCGCTAACCCGAACCCGAATTTCCCCTCCTCCTCCTGTAGTGAGACGCGCCGATGTGAACACGAAATAGTACTGTATGAATTCTAACCCATGTCAAAAATGAGGAGATTTTAGTAAGTGGAAATTCATAAATAATCATAATTAATCCTCATTGGGGCTGACCCCCCCTGCGATAGTGAAATTCCTCCGTGACATGCAGCGTGCAGTTGAATATCGCACGGTGGATCGACAAGTTGTACTCCACCGACTCCAGAGGGTGCCGCGAAAGCCGGAGACTGCGCGGTGCCGACCGAACCCGGGGGTCTGTGGCAGAAAACTGGGCCGATAAGCGGCTTTGACATAAGAGACTTGATGAACCATTGAGGATGATGAGATGGATCGACCGGTCCGATCGGCTGATAGAGTACCTAGGGAATGATCAAGGTTGAATATAATAGATCCTGGATATGGATATTGGAGATATTGTATTAAGAGATGATACTAGTAGTATTAAGAGTAGATATACATGTAGCTATACGGAATACCTAGGTACTATTGCCACGGAACGTGGATGACGTCAAAATGCAGTTGACAGGCCCGAGGGTCGCGCATTTCCTTGGTTTGCGCCTCCTTGGCGAAGGGTCTGGGCCTCGACTAGCCAATCCACTAGCGTCATTTCACCATATGCCATACTAGTCCAGAGTATACTGTACTAAAGCTAGTCATATCGTGGTCCTACTAGTCACTTCTCCGGGAAACATTTATCAGCCGCACGACTACTGGAATAGTAGCTACCTAGGAATAGCTATGCTCAAGTTCAATTCTTTCTTCTGTACCACTTGCGACCGGGACCATTGCTACTGCAGCCAGTGCCACCGTTGACCTTTTCGGTGGTTACACTGGAGTGCATTCTGGAATGACAGTGGTCAGTATAAAATACTACTAGTACCTTGGTAGTCATATTACTCCGTCGGGAGTACTATAGTACTCAGGTGCCTAGGTATATCAAATATCAAATATCAAATATAATCTATCCTAATATGTCAATCATACTAGTACAACTCGGTGAATTCAAATAATTATACCATACTAGGTACTTCGTAGCCCATACTACTTTATACGAACATCAAACTCACTACTGGTACCTTAATAGGTACCTACCTAGGTAATCGTGTTATTTCTAGATACTACTAGTAGTAGTACGGAGTAAGAACTAATCTATATTGAGTAGTTCCATGTACATAGTAGCGCCTTCCTACTAGTACTTCCGTTTCATCGTCCCGTCCCAAACATTGACACCGGCGTATGTCTCACAGAGATGGCGAATCTTACTATTTCAGACACCTGGGTATTCTTTAATTGTTCCTGTCAATTCAATTGCAACTCTACTACGGACGCCCGGGCCACCCAACCCCTTAATTCTTTGTTTTCCTAGCGGCGCAGAATTTTTCATTCCATTTGCCACCTGGTGGAAAAGTCGAGCTGGGCGGTGGCTCTACGATATTTAGATTTCCACCTTACCGCGCTAGACCCCAGAGAGGAAAAGCCGAGCTTTGTACTCCATACAGTGGTTCAAGTTGGCAGCCGAGTCGGCCCCATCCATTCCATCTCCACCCCAACAAAGGCCGAGACTGATCTAGCGTCGTTCATCTGACCAGCCAGCCGCGATCGTCCCTGGGCCTGCAGTCCAAGGCTCTCATGTTGATCTCTCCAGATTTTTCAGTCTTCAAACATGTCCATGCCCCTCCCCCACCCTGCTTCCCCCAGGGACCACAAATCCTATGTGCCCCTCCAGAGAGGGGTATCACGTCGAGAAGAGGGGACCCATGCATCTCCGGGCGTTCTTCCTCAATTCGCATTTAGCTTCCAAGAAATAGGGTTAGTTGGTCTTATCGCAATCGCAAAATAGTCTCGACCCCGTCCACCCTGGCACACCCGAGCTCCTGCAAGGTCGTAGAAGGTTCAACCATAGCGGCAGCAACTGATCCAGGCGATAACGCCTGTTGGCTGCCCTCCCCCCCCTAATTGTTCAGAAAAACCTGCAACAGCCTCCGTGCACTTTTCGTCCGATATCGATCTTGGGATGCACAAAATGCAACGTGCGATCTTTTCCTGAGTCGGTGGCCATCCTTCCATTCACCGAGATCGCGTTATGGACGTGAGCCCTGAGCATCGGTCCATGGCACCACCCGAATCACGCCTTCTCCCGTCGCAAATCTTCGTCGTGAAACCAAGACCCCCCTTCTAATCCCTGAGGGCCGAAGCGCCCGAGCGCTCTGACCATTCCTCTGTCAACGTCAACAGCGATTTCGTCTCTGGGATTGGTAGTCCAGCGTTCGGAGAGTTCAGCCCTAGATCTTAGTCTCTCGACACATCGGTGTGCTTACTCAATGTGTTCTCTGTAGCTTTGATTATAATTTTTGGTGGAGATCGACAGAGCTGCTTGAAACTCTCTTCCACAGTTTGTACTTCTCTAATTCCCCATGGCCCCTGGGACCCGTCGCGTAGATTCACACCGCTCGCGCGCCAGTTACTTCAATTGCTGGTCACGATCGCCTGTCCGATCCCCTTTGAGCTCTCTTTCACTCACCGAGACCATCCTCGCCGGGGCCTCTACACGGGCCCCGCTTCCTTAGACGCTCTGGTGGCTGCAATGGCTGAACCTACCGGGGGAGCTCTTCTTTCGGCAGACTTGCCCCCGAGCACAGTCCACCATTAGTCCTTTGATCTATGAACCATTGGCATGGTGAAATGAGCAGGTCAATTCCTCGATAGCCTCTATATTGCCTGAGACGCCGCCGAGTACACACCTCGATGTCTAGCCCGCCGCCACACGACTGCCACCAGGACTCAAATTGATGAATGAGAATCCCCCAATGGCTTGGGACGGGAAAGTAGATCGCGCGTCGTCTGGCTAGGCATGTATGTACCTATCTAGGTAGGTATACGGAGAACGAATATACTCATACCCCGCGGTGGATCATTCCCCAAACGTCAATCTTTGGGGAGCGCACACCATTCGCGTTGGAGGGGTGGTTTAACGAGTGATTCCACGGACGATCTGCTCTGGGGATGCTGACTGCAGTGCGGCGCTGAAGCCCCCTGATCATATTTGCGGGGAATACTGCCCTCACTGTGATAAGAAAGCACAGCCCACGAATAGAAGGCACTCGTGCAGGGAAGTACCGCTTCAGCCTTATCTGCCTTGCCTAGCTATTGTTTTGAGAAATTTCGATGTTATTCCAGCTCAATTGATCTTTCCAAGGTACTCCCTAGCACTCCCTAATCATTGATGTATATATTTGCTTTAGGGAATATCCATTGACCCACTCGTGGGTCAATTAATACAGACTACAGAATACTTAGGTACGGGGCACTCCATACCTAGTCTAGATTTATTTTCAGGGAGCTCGAAGAGATGTACATTCAACATTCTCCATATTATTGGCTAGTACTTACGTAGCTAGTGCCAGCCTACTCCGTGCACAAAAATTGCCTATCTAACAATTCCTCACTCTGTATATCGCAACACGCAAGCAAAACCTACTCGTAGGCGCCTTCCGGTCTTGCGAGGCAGCACATGACCATTGTTATTCCCTGCAGGAGAGGGACACGTTGTCGGACAAGGTAGTTACTTAGGTACTTGCTGGTGTGGTGACAGGGGACGTGCCATAACAGGCCCCTGGTCACATATTGAATGGGGTGATCGTCCCCGCATGTACATACAAAAGCGACGCGCTCAGACGATCATGGGCTGAAGCTCGCAGCTGGTCTGTGCGATCAAAGGTATACTAGTACTAGAAAGTACGGAGTACAGCTTGTACATTCAAGCCTTAGCTCACAACCCATGCGATAAATAGCAACGTATACAAATTTGGCCAACGCTTATGCATGGCATGAGACTGGCGCAGCCCACCTTGCCCCGCCAAGACGCCAGGATCCCAGTCGACGGTAGCCTAGATTTCTCCGTGCGGCAGTCCGTGCGTTGGATCCCGTTGATGCGACTCGATGGTTGGCGGTTAGCGGTGGGTCTGGTGGCTGCATGGAGCTTGGTGGTCTGCACTGCGTACATAAGATGATGCATTAGTGCGGCGAACTGACAATTCTGATGCACGTTGGAGGTCAGTGCATGGCGTCATCTGTTTTTTTTTTTTTGCGTTGTTGTTTTTTTCAAATCCCTTATACGGAGTACCCATCGGAGCACCGTTATCTCAGGGGCTATGGTAAGTACATATGGGGATTTAGCGCCTCTTTCTCGTGAACCCAGATGCGGAGGATCGCCTTCTGCAACTTGGAAGAATACTCCGAGAAACGGAGCCTAGTTTCCATTCGGGCTCGTGCTGTGCACCTTTATTTGCCGAAACGGCGCTAAAAATAAGATAGAGGCAAAACGAAAGAAAAAGAAAAAGAATACACTGTGTAGTACGTACTACACAAAAGGCCAATTTCGCGGTTTCAAGCTATGGCGTTTCTCCTTCTCGGCGGAAACTACCTCCCACACCCTGAGGCAGCCTGAGCTCTCTTAAGGTTCCACCTTATCCCTTCGTATACAGCGGGCCTGAGAGCGGAACCAAAGTAGCTCCCGTTGTCTAGTCTACTCTAGTTCACTCTAGTCGATCGCAAGAGAGAGGTCGCGCCAGATCATGAAATCTTTAAAAATTCGGCTCTCCAATAAGCAACCGAACATACCGCGAGAAACGACCGACGATCAGACCATCCTAGCAAAGGGCAAACGGGCCCAAGTACTGTAAGTTGTCCGTGCAAAATCAAACATCTCCCGAATATCGCTTCGTGGCACTATGCACCGGCCCTGCAGCTCGTCATGAGACAACATTGCGCGATGCCACCAAAATCCCAACCATTTGATACGCCTTTTCCCAACCCCAAGCCTCAAAATTTCACCGTGGCGGGAGAGGCGCACGCCGTCACCGCGCTACTGTCCGACTGGAATCCACTCAGGAAACGACACTGAGCGCTGGCCGGTGTACTCTACTCCTGATAACACACGAGGGCGAATCAAACTTAAACCACGCCATAATGTGCAACTGAGCCACGACGCACTAATGGGTAACCTGAGCCCCCCCCTAGCTGCCTTACTCCTGACCCTGGTCCCGAGAAGTCTCCGATGGACAAGTTTGCTATGACTAGTATGACATTATGTCTCGGTGGCTGCGTAGAGCCAGCTTTCTATCTAGTGCTGCGTGGGGGCTATTGTCGATTGACGGTTACAACGTGCCGATTTGCCGTAGACGAGTTTCGCGCAGACAATAGTACTCAGTGCTATAGGGTTGTGGCCACGGCCAGGACCAGGGAACAGGCCATTGGTGAGAGATATCCTATCTAACCCAACTTGAAGGAGAAGAGATCCAAGAGCTCACGGCCCCAATCTCCTACCCGCACAGGTACGCGGGGAAGGACAAGCCTCAGGTAACTGGGGTTGGGTTGGAATACTACCAGTAGGATATCATTATGAAAGCAAAATGCCCTAGTACCGTGACTCCAGTGCTCTAGACTTGTTCTATTATTATTGTTTGGCTAATGGGCCTGTCCCAGCTCCAACATAGGACTATCTGGCACCGGCAACCCCCACTTAAGCTGATGCCGAGAGTCCTTTCGGCGCATAGCAAGCACTAGTGAAATGACTTCTAAACAACCAATGCAGATAGGGGACCTCCAGGAGATTGTCCCCGCGGAGATATGGGGTGCATATGTGGCCGTGTGGCTCTACTGCGGGGTGCATCCGAGTCTTTTCTACCCTGTTGTATATGCAGTAGCTTGGGCTAGCCGCTGATGCTGTGACTACAAACGATTCTCACCTTCACGAAAAGTTCCCGAGGTCATGAAGAGAGGGAGAGAGAAAGCCAGACCCCGCGCTCTTGCCATTTCACAGCGTCAGCATTCGTGCCCCTCAAACGCTTATGCAGCAGCATTCCGCGTCACGAGCTAGCGGAATAATCTGGAACATCGCTAAGCGGTCGAAAGAGACATATTTTCCTCGCGAGAGATGCAGCACGTCTTCGATCAATGGCTCTCGCTTCCCCTCTTTTCAGAATCGAACGAACGCTGTACTCCCTTTTCTAGCCTCTTCCCCCGTACTCTTGTCAGCCACAACCGACCCAGGGCGTTCAGACCCCAGATTGTACGCCAGATGCATACTGTAGTAATCCCATCCCCCCCGCTCCCCTCTTCTCCGACACGCTGGGATACTGAATGTTGGGTTGGGAAATGTCTTCCACCCTCATCCATCCTGCCCATCCATCCACACGGCTGCCTACCGTTTCATACTTGCATCGTGCGCCGGGATCTCCACGTTGAATGACCTTCTGCAGATACTCACAAGAGCCCCCGGATGCACCGGTCACACAGCTAGCAGCTATCGAACGCACATGATGCCTAAGGAACAATCTATAGTTCCGAGAGCTCCGGCCACGGTAGACACCCAAGCAGAAGCAGCCATAGCCACCACAGGGTAAAGCTCGGGAGGGACCTCAAGCTCGAAAACCTTGGGAAGAATAAGACAAGAAAAAGGCAAAATATCGTAGTAGAGTCAAAACAATCCCCATCATGCACAACAAACAACTCTCTTCCCCTCCCCTCCCCTCCCCTCCCCTCCTCTCAACACATTACATTACCCTCGGGGGGATGGTGTCGCGGTGGCTCTGCGTCAAACTCACACCCACACCTAAACCCATCGTGTAGACAAAGTCAATTCTTCACCACCCATCGCTGTCTCAGACTCTTTGACGCTGCACTTTTCCCTCACCGCCGTGGGCTCAGATCTCTCTTCACAGCGTATTGCACTTGCACCGTGTCAAGCCACGCGCGCCACTGGCACTGCAGTGCACAATCGACACGCCTGGGCAATAAAAAGTTGCAACTAACTAACAAACTCTGCTGGGTACTTTGTTTCCCGCTGGCCCCCTCATCTCCTCTGCCCTTGTGGTGGCAAAGGAATCGGAAGAAGGAAGCCAATATATCTCCTCGCGCCAATCTGAGGCCGGGGCCCCCTTGGAGTCCAGACTGGGTACCCTCGTTGTCACTGGGAAGTATCCATTCACGGTGTACAGATGTGTCTAGGTTGGTTGGAGGCTATGGCGCGAGGGACGTGTTTTGCATAACCGCCACCACAGATCAGCGGTAGTTGCTTGGGGCAAATGTTGAGGTAGTGGTGTTCTATTCCACATTGTGGATTGATGGAATGTCCTGGATGATATCGGTGTTTCATATGGCAAACATCTATCTCGATGAGACGTTGTGATGCTTTTATGACATGGTCGGCGGTGCAATTGAAGATTTGTCTGTCGTATGTTTTATCTCAGCCTTGTTGACAACTAGACTTGAGGGATATGTAGCATTGCCACACTGTGCTAGGTAAAACAGCGAAAAGAATTTTGGCCTAGCTTGCAGTGTGCATCGATTGCAAGTATGAATCGATTACCTCATTTGATAGAGTATAGAAGAAGAGCCTAATGGATATATGCCACCCGAGGCTATATATATGTATTCTTCGCGTCTGCTACAACATGAATAGATTCTTGACCGCATCCCATGGCGTTGGAGTTTCCATGAGCGATAAGCTTCTGCAACGCAACATAAGAAGAGTTCTTTGTCACCGTCCTTTTTCTGCGTGATTGAGACCGAAAATCACTTGATAGAATCAATGTATTACTGTCTCAATATAGCTCTTCTTACGAGCTTATTCAAGAGGAAAACTGATTATCAAGAAATCGAGACGATCTCATGCCAATGTTGTGGTGAGGATATGATGCCTTGGACGACATCCGATGATCAAAAACACCAATACCGCAAATCGCTTGAAGAATAGATATATGTTATTTGCGATACTCGGAGTGAAAACTGCGGTGTTTGCAGGTTGAATATCTTGGGATAGTTGCGGGTTGAGTCGGCATATGTCCGTAGAGTCGCACACGTTTTGTGCTCAGGTAAGCGGCCTTGCGAACGCAGAACGAGTAAACAACAAGAGTTATCAGCGTGACTGCTTGAATGATGGTAGGAGTTGCGTCAATAATATGGTCAATTGGCAGATTGTGAACAACAGTCTCGTGGCCAAGATCAAGGTGAGACAACATCGTGGCACTTGGGTGCCCAACCCCGCGGATTTGCCAGAGAACTCGGTTCTTGAGAAATATCAAACAGTAGATATTCTCTTGGATCTGGAATCATGATCCGAATCGTTCACGTGCAGCATGAATTTGCACCGTGGCGTTGATTTGAAGCCCCGAGGTCCATAGAGATCGTGAAGGTTGGTGGTACAATGCAACAGCATTGCAGTGCCGACATGGCCACGAGCCGCAAATCAAAGAATTACCAAGCAGGCAGCTGAGTAAGATAAGTCAGAAGTTTGAAGAATTCCAAGTGATCAGTGAGCAGTGATGAGCAAGAAGAAGAGAGAATACCTAAGGCAGTAGAAAGTGACGTGGGAGATCAAATTGATGCGGAGGATAAGCTGTGGATCCCATCGCACTTGCCCCAGCACCATCCCACCTCCCGCGGTGAGCCTTGGTTGTGACCACCTTCGTTCCTTGGCTCTCTACATTTACAACATTCGCACTCATCACCAGATACGGCCCTGGTGGCTTCTTTCTGATGTCTAAAGTGCAAAGCCCTGGCTTGGCCGACCTTGAGAAAGAGCTGGGTTGCTCGGTAGGTGCTGTGTGCTCTCATTCCAGAAACATTCCATTCCGCTCTTTGCCTTTTGCTCTGCCCCTTACCTGCGACCTCTGCTAATCTAGACCCTTGTTGATACCTTAGATCTGTACCGAGCTTCTCTATCAGCCCCTCACCCTCCTCGACTGTTTGCATACCTTCTGTGGTTCCTGCCTGAAAGAATGGTTCTCCGCGCAGGGCTCACGCCGCCATCCCCCACCCCGATTTACATGCCCATCATGTCGAGCCGAGGTACGGGGCACTCGCCCTAATGCTACTGTCACTACTTTACTGGATATGGTGCTTTTGGCTCAGCCCGATCAAGCAAGATCAGCGGAAGAGAAGGAGGAGATCGCACAAAGATATAAGCACGGGGACTCGGTCTTCCCTCCACCGCAGGAGGACAACGAAAGCGAGGGCGATGAGGATGATAGACGGGTATTGGAGGAGGTCCGCGAGTTGAGTCTTCGAGAAAACCGAGCTCAAGCGCGGCGCGAGGCCCGTCGGACAGGACACGGAGAGGATGGTCGCTCGAGACGGCGGCGTGAAGAAGACCCAGAGCGGCTACGACGCCCATCACGAAACTCAGATCCTGAGCGCACAAGGCGGATCGAGCATCAATCCAGTTTGCGCTCACTCTTGAGCCTCTCCTCAGAAGCTGAGAACATGGAGGAGGAAATCATGCGACAGATCATCGAGGAAGGATTGCTGGATGACATCAATCTGGAAAATCTTGGCCCTTCGCAGGAGGAGGAGCTGAGCGAGCGCATTGCGGATGCATATCGCCGAAGGCATATGCAGCAACCGTCTTCCCGCCAGGAACAACGAAGAAGACAGTCGCCCGATGAAAGTGGTCGTACTCGCCCGCGATCGCTGTCCGCAAGGGAATCCAACGAAGTGGCCACGACAACTCGAGACAATAATAACCGACGACCACCTATATCAAGGCCTCATCTACTCGACTCAAACACATCCCGCCCTACTGGAGGTCATCGGCGACGAAATTCAGAACAAGGTAGAACACAACGGGCTACTTCACCCGTCCGTGTCAACCAGGCATCGACTTCTGACGACACATTACGGCCTGCAGCTCGATCTTCCAGCGATATGACCTCCGAGCGTACTCGCGGGGCTTTGACTCATTCAAGGGCAGAGTCGTCTAGCAGAACGCGACGGGCAACAGATTCGGACAACAACATTTCGGAGACATGGATGGGCGGAGGGCGAGAAAGAGCCTCGTCCAGAAACATCACCAGTCAATCTGCATCTGATTCCCCAACCTCAGTCAATTCCCCCTCCAATCAATCGCACACCTCTACTCCGACTGAGCGCTCGGCCTCAACGCTATCTTCGCCACTTGTACCACCCCGGAGTGAAAGACGACCTAGAACATCTCGAACCCAATATCCTGAGCCATCGATCTCGTGTGACTCATGTGGCAAGACGGAGATTCAATATGAGTTACATAAAAGATGCCCGACGTGCAAAAATGGCAACTACCACCTCTGTCTTCGGTGTTATCGTTCTGGCCGGGGCTGTCTCCAATGGAATGGCTTTCAAAAAAGTGCACAGGCAGCCTTTGAACGGATGCTTGCTTCGTCAAACAACCAACCAGTCCAAGCCTCTGATGCAGGCCATCTTCTCGTTTCCCAAAAATACGAAAAGCCTCGAGAATCGTCCCAAGCGGTGACAAACGGAGACAGAACGTTGACAAACGATAATCCTGCGCGACGTTTGCAAGCCGGGCTATTTTGCGACATATGTTCCTCTTCGGCAAACGAATGTTTCTGGAAGTGTAGCCAATGCAACGAGGGAGATTGGGGCTTCTGCAATCATTGTGTGAATCAAGGCCGGTGTTGCACCGATCCCCTGCTACCCATTCGGCGAGTTGCCGGAAGCCCAGACTCATCTACCACGACGAGTTCGACCGAAGTGGCGACCGCGACACCATCTAACTCGCTTGCAGAGAGCTTCAAGATCCTCTCGTTCTCCACCAATTGCGATATCTGCACCTACCCGATTCCGGCCTCGGTGACGCGTTTCCATTGCTCACAGTGCAATGATGGAGACTATGATGTCTGCATAAACTGTTACCGCAAACTCGTCATGACCTCGAAGATTACCAAAGATAATGGATACAATGGGTGGCGTCTTTGCCTCAAGGGCCATCGGATGATCATTGTAGGATTCGAGGACGGGCAAGACGGACAGAGAAGAAAGATTGTCCAAGACTTGGTCGGAGGACACGCTTTGAAAGAAGAACATATGACTCGCTGGTCTGCATCATCTCCTGTTACCAGCGGACCTATTGCATCCCCAGAAGTTGGCAGTGGCCATTGGAGCTGGAAGGAATCCCAAGGTCAAGAGCGTCGCAAGAAAGCTTCACGTGTGCGAAGTCCCGTCTCCCAAAATGGCAGCTACACTTATTCTCATTCCGATACTACGACTCAAAATAACGGTACGCCTACATCGCAGTACGCTCCGCCTCTCCGTCGCTTCCCTCCGGATGGAGGGGTCGGTCTTGTCGTCTATGCGATGTGGTCCTGTTATCCCGAAGAAGGGATCAATGATGAATTGGTGTTCCCGCGTGGTGCTCATATAAAGGAGGTGGAGAATATTAATGATGATTGGTTTTGGGGATGTTATGCGGGCCGAACCGGCCTGTTTCCTGGCTCGATGGTCACTGTGGTCGGGGAGATTAAATGAGCATTGGCACCGACTTGGACGGATGTTTTCTTGCACTGTGTATGCCCTTGCATGATGTTATTATTAGTATGACGATGATGATTATGATACGCATGATTGCATGTACAGTGATTGGAACGTAATTGATCTCACTAAGGAACTTTGTCTACGACTCTCTTTTCAGAATATGATTTCCAGACATGATAACAGCGGACTTGTCATCCATTCGGCATTTCATTTCATGAGGGGCATAGATCCATAAACTCATGTCAAAGGGAAAATCGAAAAGAGTGGTATCTGATAAAGTACATGCAAACCGAAGACCAAATACCAACAACAATCAAAGTTGGTATGTCAATGAGGAAGACGATTAAAACTAGGGCAAAGCCAGAAACGGCGCATAAAGGAAAAGAGATGACCTCCCAAATTAGATAGGAATGAAAAAAAAAAAGAAATGCCATGATGACCCTGCAAGCCTTTGGACTCTTACTCCAAAAGAGCAACCATCAAGCGCTGGTAATCACCTGATGTCTCCCCACGCACACGGTCAATCAAGTTCTTACCAAAGCGATGACGATAGGCAGCCTTGACACGTTCCTTATGATTCCTGTTCCAATGAACCCGAACCACCCGAACAACAAGGCGCTCATCCTTAGTCCCCATGCCCGCCATGCACTCCTCGAGCAGAATAGCATCACGCATAGCAGCATCCGTCGCAGTACGAAGCATATGCAAGAAAGCATCCTCCATATGGCCCGAAAACTCCTTCTCGAGATGTTTCTCCAGCGAAACATTATATCTCCGGTGGAATCCCTGGTCAATAGCCCTGAGCTCTGCGTCCGACGAGCGCGCCAGAATCCCCGAGACCTCGACGATATTATTGACCATGCGGCCGGCGGTCGATCCATGTAGCGTGCGTACCTCATCCTCGACAGCTTGCGGGTTAACGGGGACGGACTCCTCGCGACGATCGGCGCGGATAACCATCTTGAACAGGTCGGCCGTTTTGAATGAGAGATCGCCCTCGATGTCGCGGCTCAGATTGCGACGGTACTTGCGCTCGTAGGCAGTCTTGATGGCGTTGAGATCAGCGTTTGATCGGCCCAGGACGATATCGTTTAACAGCCACTCCTTTGTGCCGATGCCGTCGATGGCTTCGCGGGCGCAGATTACGTCGTGCATGAGCGGTCCTTCGATCACGGCCAGGAGGCCTTGCTCGAAGTAGCCGCCCGTTTCGGACTTAACGTCCTTGTACAGGTCGCGGCCGATGTGGGTAGTGTATGTAGCGCGCACGGCGGCCATCTGGAGCGGGTCTAGCGGGGCTAGGACGGAGATCAGGGCTTTCTCGTCCGTGCCGAAGCCTTTCATTGCTTTGCGGAGGATGTCACATTGTTGGCGGAAATCTCCTGGGGCTGTCTGGCCTGGCGCGTAGCCTAGGGATGGCATGGCTGGCGGTCCCATTGGGGCACCGGGAGGTGCGCCATGGGGAGCACCGTATGCGCCTGGAGGAGGGGCGCCATAGCCGGGGCCTCCGGGGGGGACCGGCGGGAGGGGCATAGCCGTGTTGCGGCTGGCCGTAGGGTTGTTGACCATGTGGGGGACCTTGTCCATACGGGGGTTGTGGTGATGGGGCGTGATAGCCTGCTGGAGGTTGAGGAGACGGAGCGCCGTAGTGACCCTGTCCATGCGGAGGCTGTTGGGGAGGCTGACCGTAGCCTTGCTGAGGAGGATAGTGGCCTTGTTGGTGCTGAGGAGGACCACCGGGAGGGGCACCGTAGGGCTGCTGAGGGTAGGGGGGGTTGTTGAGGATATCCCTGAGGAGGATGACCTTGCTGAGGAGGGTATCCGCCGTATGGAGGCTCTGCTGCCAGTCAGTATATATGATCTACTAGTTCTTGAGATGTCGTCTGCCCCACGGCGATGCGATTTGGGTTCACTCACGGTTAGGCGGAGGGTATTGTTGATAAGACATGACGGAGGAGTAGGGGATATGAGGACAGAGGGAGTTTAACAGATCTTGATGGGAATCAGGATCAGGTCAGACTTATAATGGTTCTTGTGTCCCTCGAGTTCTTTGGTTCAGTGTGGCGCAGTATCGAAAGGTGGGGTTGCGCAGCCCTGCTGGGCTCGCCCTAGCGCCTGTTCAAACCATCAGATTGACGTGTGCCAATGTTTGCTCATTTCCCCTAAGCCACAGCAGGGGAGTGCTGCCTGTTCCAAGATTCTCGGTGGCGCAAATTCCAGACTTGAATGAGTGGTATTTGGCGGTTAGATATTAGTAAGTCGTAACTTGTATTCGAACGAATAGTGCTTGCTCCAAGGAAGTTCATTCTAAGGCTGTGCAACAAGGCTGAAATTAATAAATCGCAAATCCTGAACTGTGGAGATGGGAACAATTGGTTGCTAAGTTGATAGAATATTAATAGAAGCATTGGAAGACACCTTAATTCAACTAACATCCATGGGTTTGCTCAGCTGCCATGTGGTTAGCATCCATGGGTGAGGACAACCTGAAGTATCCTTCCAAGTTACCTAGGTAGATCAGTCTTTGGTCTCTTCAACCCTTCAACTCTTCAACTCTTTCATACCTCGTGCCCAGGTGTTGAGGCAGGCATGTCAAGATCCGCCTATATCGCCCCCCCCCCCCTCCTTTCTCTCGGAATCTACACCTTTCATCCTGCTTCCATATTCTCTAGTAGTAAATGTCCTTATCACCTCGTTTGCGCCTTCCTAAATACCCAGTATCTCTTGATCAGAGTCCCCCCAACTCCTCTCGATGATATTTCCCCGCAATCCCGATCATCTTTAGCTCAACTCCGTTTCGGCTGCGACTACCAAACCAAGTTGGTGATCTCCAATTCTTGCAGGCGATCATCATTTTCTTAGCTAGCGAGGCGGATCTCGCCGGTTTCCAGTTGAATACTCCAAGATGATCGTCATAAAGAGAAACATAAAATGATTGCAAATCGTATCTAGAAGCCCGTCCTTTTTCCTGTTCTTTTTCATCATCACTGCAACCATCATAACATTCAAAATCCATCTCTGATTCATCAACCCCCAGCATGGGACATTCCAAGTTGTCCTACCTAGCGACCATTCTATTCACAGGCTATGCAGGTGCGAATCTTGCGTACAAGTCAAGGCCCGACCTCGCCGCGCCGGTTTTAAACATCACTATCCCAGCAACAAATGAAACAGCCGATGGTCTGATTTTTTACACGCCTGAAAGCATCTATGCGGATAACACCGGCCATGGGCCCGCACAATCGGGTCCATATATCTTCACCGACAAAGGAGATCTAGTATGGACCGGCTTTGGTTATGTCGGACCTCGGAGCGAAAACTTCCTGGTCCAAAATTACAGAGGACAACAGGTCCTGACGATCTTTGAAGGCTCTCACAATTCGCCCATGGGCCATGGACATGGCCACACTAGCATCTTCGATAACAAGTATCGGCTTTTGAAGCAAATCAAGGGTGGGGGGGCACAAACTCGCCGATCAGCACGAGTTTCTCATTTTCGATAACCATTCTGCTGTCTTTACTGTTTATGATCCTGAGATCGCTGATCTCTCGGCATACGGAGCGAAATCGGATTCTCAGCAATGGATACTGGACAATAAAATACAGAAGGTGGATACTGATACGAATCGCGTTCTCTGGGAATGGAGTTCTCTCGAACATGTCGACCCTGCAGGAACCAACCTGACCCTGCAAAGCGGAAACGCAGGCACGGGTGTGAACTCGAGCCAGGCCTGGCATTACTTCTATATGAATGCTTTTGATATAGACGTGGAAAGAAACCAATATCTTCTCTCTGCCCGAAGTATGTGCACGATCTTCAAGATGGATGGCGACACGGGAAAAATTATCTGGCAACTTGGTGGCCCGAATTCGAATTTCTCTCTTGGAGATGGGGTGGAATTTTGTTGGCAGCACGATACCAGGATGCATCAGAAATATCTTCAGCATGAGACGAAAGGATCGAAGGAAATTATTTCTTTCTTTGATAATTCTGCCCATGAAAATCTCGCCGGTGGACCAGATCTAAAAGCTCGCGCGTATAGTGCCGGAAAGGTTGTTGAGTTGGATACTGAAAACTGGACTTCGAAGCTTCTTGCCGAATTCAGAGCACCGGGGGATCTTTCTGTTCGATCACAGGGGAATTTGCAATTGCTTCCGAATGGAAATGCGTTCATCAACTGGGGCTATGATGGGGCCATGTCAGAACACACGCCTGATGGCTCGACAATCTTCTTTTCCGGCATGGACTCTGGAAAGCTTGGTCCCGGGTCAGAGAATTATAGGGCTTTCAAGTTCGACTGGCATGGTCAGCCCTATGAGGAGCCTGCTTTGGTCGCATTCAAGGAATCGAATGGGACGGCTTTGTATATCAGCTGGAACGGAGACACGGAGAGTAAGGTGTGGAAGTTCTTCGGGGAAGATGCAAAGGGACAAAAAATGCTACTGGGTCAAGCGAAGCGGACTGGGTTCGAGACTGGCTTCCGCACTTCCCACAAACCTATTCGTGTGGTAGCCGAGGCATTTGATGTCCGAGGTCACCGATTGGTGTCCTCTTCGGTTGTCAAAACAAGGGATTACAAGCTACGGCTTGAATATTCTTGAAGTTCAAATGCTCAAGATATCTCGGGAGATTGTGAGAGAACTTGAAAGCTCTGGGAAATATTTGAAAAAAAATTGACATTCATCAAGTCCAGCTTATGAATCTGGTATCACAGAAAGCCAGCAAGATTAACTAGTAGGTAGAACCTTGGAAACTGCCGCAAATGCAAATTATTCAACGATAACCTTAGAAACCTTGGAACCAAAAAATATCTCACAGAGAATAGGATTCGAACGCCCCCAGTGCCAGCCGGGATATAAATTTCGCAGAAGAGACCGCGAGGTCAATGCAAATCTGAAGTCGTAAAGCTTTCCTCTCCACAATGTATCAAACACCAATAGGAAATGAGGGCAGAGTAAAGGACCGAAAATCTTGCACAGTGGTAAATAAATGGTAAAAGAGAAGAGCAAAAAGCCAAACTTGAAAGAAAAGGAAAATTTAACATTGTCGCAAGGGTATATTGAATGTATCATGCAAATCATATAGATATCATGCTTCGTAATGTGATCATGTAGGCAGGCGTGTTGTAATGTTCATTAAACGCTTGCTGTGCGACGTTTAACCTCACTCGGCTTCTGTGCGTATGCAATGAGCATGCGGAATCCAGTGCCTCGCTTTTGACACTCGCGGAGCGTCTTGCGATCATTCCACATGCTGGGGTCATTGTCGCCCGTATTGGGGAGAACTGGGTCTTCGTAGCATTTGGTATACCACCAACGACCAACACGAGCCACAATCTTTGCAATGGACTCGTCATTCGCAGCAGAAGGAGAGGGGTCTGAGAGGAGGTCCCACAAAGAGATATTATCGTCTGAAGGGGACGATTTGGATGCTGTCCGTGTACTCTGGCTTCCTGTCGCTGTCGAGACAGATGCAGAAGTATGAGGAAAGGAGAATCCGGTTGATTGGGTACCGGCTGATGCAGAAAAGGACCGACTCGAGGATGATGTTGTCGAGTCGGAAGATCGGACAACCATTCCCGCGACTGGAATACGGACCATGCAGCGGCGGAGGTTGTCAAATCCTTGAGTGCCGATGAGTCGTTGGACGCTATCGCTTGCTGGGCTGAGGCTGATTGTTGAATTGGCAAGACATGTCATTTCTTTCAATCGCCGAACGGCTTTGCGGGTGCGAACACCCATATTCACCATGTCTCGATCTAACACACTCATTTCGAGGTAGCCGCCAGAACGAAGAACTCGCCTGCACTCTTGAAGCATATTGCTTTGCACCGCCTCAGACGTTGTTGCGGGAAATCTTAGGACTGCAACTGCAAAATAGTCCTTTGGAAATGGGAGAGGGTTTTGTAACCCAGCATGGTAGACTGTGTGATGATTTGTCGGGGGCTGCCAGGCAGCAGGGTGAGGGATGGCCGTGGAAACTGGCCGGCTGCTTAGACTATATACTTCCGCGTCAGGGTAGGTCAAGGAGCAGTAAAATGACCAATCATCATTCCCAAGACCGTCAATCACAAGTATTCTCCCATGCGTTCCAGACTTAACATGATTGTGTGCTGGGCTGAAGAGAACCCGCCCAAATGATAGCCAACGACTAGTCATTAGAGAGGCAGACCGCATATTGGTATGGGTCACCGCATCCCAGTCACGCTCGGAGGGCTCATAAACACCTCTCAGTCCATCCGACTTTGGCTTCGTTGGAGGAACTGCTGCGAGGGAATGCAAGAACGTTGATTGCTGACGCTGGACATGGTCTGAAAATTCCAACTTGGGATTTCGAGGACTGCCAATGGTTTCTTCACGATCTTCGTAGCTAGAAATAAGATCGCTATACGACGGCTGCGTTGAAGGGGCCAATGGTGAATACAAAGCAGAGACAATTCTTGATCGGCGAAGGTGAACCGAATCGCCGCTGATTCTATTCGACTCCTCACCTGTTGGCAGGGATGGTGGCTGAAGCGAGTTAGAATTCTTTATGCCATCCTGAAGAGCTCTGCTCGCCATTGTTGCTTTCTGGAATCTCGATTGATCCTCGGTTTTAGCGGACTCATCGGGCTTTGGCTCTTCCGGGGAGAAGTGATCTATGAGGTCATCATACTCGTTCCACACCTCATCTTGGGTCGGCGCAGTGGCTGTACCGGGAACAACAGCAGTGACAGCAGCGAGGGCTCCGGAACTGCTTGATGAAACAGATCCTTTGTGCGGAGGCGAGAAGTGAAGAAACTCACTAGCCGAGTAAGGGCCAGCAAGGAAGTCCAAGGCGCTGATTTGCTCAGGTGCGCTAAACACTGGGTTGTAGCCATATCCCCAATCTAAAGGCCTGCTTGCTGACAAGTTGACCCCGTGGCTTGGAGATTGATCAAGTCGATGATTTTCATTTTGGCTTTCCAGTACCGGGGCCGGGATAGATAGCGACTCCGCAACACTGAAAGGCCGAGAAAAGGACTGCATATCATGTCTCAGCTGTCTATCACGCCTCGAGACTACCTTTGGAATCCGGCCCACAGAGGCAAGTCTTCTTGGCCGGCGGTCTTCGGGGCTACTCTCAGGTTCTGGGCCCATGATATTGCGATTGAACATGGCGGTCTTCGGGGAAGGCTTGTCGCTATCAAATTCACCATGCATTTTGGGCGGAGAGCGGAGTAGGATTGATGGCTGTCTTTTCTTGATATTCAGTCCCGCAGGAATCTCCACTGAAGCGACAGGCATCTCTTCTTCAGTCGGTGGTGAATGCTCGATGTTGCTGATAATTCTATCGAGCTCATCGGAATCTTCGTCAACAATTGCGTAGTGAGCAATAGGCCGGGTATTCAGAACAGGAGAGATAGCAGCATGAAGCTGGGCCGCGTGAGAAGCTGGCGCAGGTACAGGTACAGCTTGGGCAGGTGCCTTGACATCGTTGCCACGGCCGCGGTGGAATGGGTTCCAACGTGAGGACCTTGATTTCTTGATATGCTGCTCCTCCGGTTTTACAGGCGCTTGCTTGGCGGAGGGTGATATTGAAGTGACTTTCGGGGCTTGTTTTGCTATTAAACCTGTGTTGTGGCTCGAAAGGGACGTGGCACTGGGACTGGAAGCCAGCGTACTCGTTTTTCCTTTAGGAACCGGCATTCGTGACTTTTGGGCCTGGGAATTGACAACAGTAGGTCTTTTCACCGGACTCTTGCTTCTAATATGTCCAAGACTCACCACGGATTCATTGGGCGTATTTGTTTCCCCAAAAGTGCCCGTAGAAGTAGCCAATGACTCAGTGGATTGCACAGTTGAAGATGTAAGTGGTGTCGGATGAGGAAGAATTGACGAAGTCACGCTCATGCTGCTGATGCTCTGCTCACTTTGGGTTCTGGAAAGAGTTCCCCCATCCAGGCCTCCACCCGTAATAACGACCGGTTCAAGTCGGCTTGAGAAGAAGTCATCCAACTCAAAATCAGGTCGACTAGACATGCTCCCTTTGCTGCTGGCTACTGAGCGAGAAACACTCCTTGTTGTGCTCGTTGATCTCGCTCTCGTACCAGTGTTGCCGCTAGCACTTGCTTTCCGGCCCCGCTGAGAGTATTTCCCATATCCCTCATGGCCAGTCCCTGCGACCGGTCCTTTGCGAGCCGGGCGACCTTGGTCAATCGATGAATCATCCAGGTCAGGTTTTGACTTCTTGGAGAAAAGACCAAACCGTTTGGGAGAGGCGGCCACTATTCTTGACTCAGATCTCTCTCCAGGTGGCTCTTTGGTCAGTGTTCGAGGTGATTTTCGGGCCATAACAGGAGAGCCAGCTTCGCGTGATGGAGTCCGTGATATATCCTTAGACCGCAAAGAGTCTGTTGAGGTGGCAGCAGAGTGATTCGGAATGGGAGTAGTGCTTTTCTGTCCTTGAATCCGTATCCTTTCCGCTGATTCGCGACGCGTATGACCCGTCGACCTCAGATATGGTAGATTGCTCTTTATCACGGGCGACGCTTCAAGATCTAAACGTGGTGTACCGTCTCTGCTAGGTCGTGGTGGAGTCTTGGGCACACTTGGCTCTGGGCTCGAAATGACAGCTCTCGAACGATGCGAATTGAAAAGTTCTAGCTCAGCTTCTTCAACTTCTTTCTTGGCCTTTTCGACGTCAATATCAACATCTTTCGGTGGGCTGAACTTCGTCGATGACTTCCTTGGAGGCGGGCTATGTGGTGGGCCTTTGAAGGTGGCGATAGCGGGTTTCCTGGGGTGATTGGGAGTATTGACAGCTGGTCTCGTGCCGGCAGTCAATGATGCAGGCAACTTGGGTGTTGTCTTTCTTTGCGGTTTCAACTCTGCATGCTCAACTGTCGCGCTCTGTGGACTGGTAGTTGTGGCCGGAGGCGAAAAGACTGGCAATCTGGTTTTTGATGTGTTTAGCTGCCTCAAACGGCCAACTTTGGTCGAATGCACAATGCCTGGCGAATATGAAGACAGTGAGGTTGGTGTCGAGCCACGACTCCACATGCCAGGAGATTCCGAATATCTGGTCGAAGGAGTACTCGCAGAAGGAATGAGGGGAGTGCTTGAGGGTGGTAGGGGCTCAGTGGAGACTGCTGTACGAAGACTTGCCAGTTCCACCGGGCCCTGAGTTGTTGGTGTATCCATAACATAATGATCTCCCTCATTGGCCGAGGTGCGTGCGAGTTCCTGTGGCTCAATCGATTGCGAGCTAGGAAATGTTTGAGGTTTGATGTCTTTCATTTCCACAGAGCAAAACGTTTGGGGTATGAGGAGGCTCAACTTTTGAGACTGCTGTTCCACATGTTTTCCTATTGTTGGTGCTTTTCTCCGAAGCACGTTGCGAGGTCGTTTTGGAGGGGGCGCTTGGTATGTAGGTATGAATGCAGATGGGCTGGTGATATCGGGTGTAGATATAGACGAGGGTATCGATTGAGTTGAGAACTGAGGCGATATTGACGATGCAGGGGATATCGATGATTGTGGTTCACCAGTACTTGGGCGTGGGAGCATCGACAGACGCTTGGTACGAGTGGCCGGCTGTAGCGTTGACGTTGATAAAGCTGGTACTTGACCAATTCCTTCTGCCGCAGATACAGATGAGGCTCTACTACTTCGAGGTATAAATTTGAGAGGTCGTGCAATTTGAGATCGAGGGATTTGAGGCGCGTATGTCATTCTAGAGGTGGTGGTATCTCGATGTGATATGTCTGCAGGTTGGGCAGATTGATTATTCGACGGCATGCGACGGTCGCCACGATTGTACGACGACATGGTGCGATGTTGACAGAAGTCCGATACTCCAATTTTGAGACAAGTCGTCTATTAGCGAGGACATGTGCATCGAAATCGCAATCATCACGGGCGTCAGCAATGTGGCAAGGGAGATGCACTAAGCGCCAGAGTTTGAATAAGTATGGAAAATATTCGTAGGTAGATGGTAGAAGAGCGTACATATTTCTACCACATTACTCTCGACAGTTAGATCTTCAAACCGCTTGCCAACGAGAATTAATTAAAGATAGAAAGAGGAAAATGGGATTGTGCGGTCCCAGGGTATCTCAAGGCGAACGTGACGCCAACTATAGAGCAAAAGGGTAATTAGAATTAACAGTAAAAATTATGAGTGACGAAAGTAGGAAGAAACTTGCAGATGTCAGGTAGATAAAAGATGGAAATTGACCGATATTGGGCTGATCGGCGCCAGCGGAGCTGCAGCTGCTTCGCCACAGTTTGGAGCAATGTGGCACTCAGGATTTTCCAGCCTCGGCCACGTCAGAGGTGGGAGATCCATACATGCCTAAATTAAAATCCCCGGAAAGGAAATCAAGTTTTGACCGCTGTTGATTATCGTCGTGGCCGAAGAGGAAAGAAAAATTCAAGGCGCGATCGGACTACTACACCGCGAGGCGGACTTTATGTGCTGACTGGGTTCCCCCCCCCTTCCTGCAATGTGGGGGTTAGCGAGAAAGCCTCTGGGTACGCCATATAGAAAGCAGCGAGTGGCATCTTCGGATCAACTCGATGGCGGACCCGGTACTGGCCAGGAGAAGCCGGCCAACTGCACCATTATTGGGCGTAGATTTGTGACTACATTTGTGATGAGCACCGATGCGCGGACGCCGGGGTCTGGGGCCTGCGAGGGGACCGGATCGTGCACGTTTGAAGCAGCGGCCCCGAAAAAAGACCAGACAAAGTTAATTCGCTACTCCTATCACGAACCGTCGTGCTGTTTCAAGGGCCAGTGGCGCCGTGGTGGAAGGAATAGTGCATTGGCCCACATCTGGACGACCTGGCGATATCCACGAACGAACTCGGCGAGTTCAGCGAGTCCAGAAATCTCAGCTGACTTCCTCCAAGGTGCGTAGACATCTACTGCTGATAGTCGAATAGAAGAGCCAACGGGAGGCTCACCGCGTCTGCGTCGTCTCGTTGCCAACGCATCGATCGGAGACGCCGAACCCGATCGTACTGCACCGTCGATCCGCCCCAAAAGGCTGACTTTGCGCACGTTTCTTTCTTTCTCTAGCTCATTTTATGTGGGAAGATATCGCTAGATAGTGCCTAGTACGGTTGCCAGCTCGCGACTGTTTCCCCAGAACTCGGAGAATTATCCAAGGAGGCACAGATGCAGATGCAGATGCAGCTGTACCGACTAGGCATGGGGGTACATTGGCAGACGATGAGCCAGTGCTTTTGAGTTAGCAACTATCCTCCCAGGCACTGCATTTTGAGTATTCCTTTTTCAAAGCCGAACCTTGTGACCAGGTCAAAACCGTTATCCAGAGTCTGGTTCAGAGCAAGGCCCGTCCCGTGAACCAGGGAGGGAGGAGACCAGGGCCCCAATTCTCCGACCCCAAAATTGAGCATACATTCTTCATGCTATTGGTGGTGTTGGCTCTGTTGGATAGGTCACGTCTCGTCTACCAGTGAGATGTCGTAGATGGCGTTGACTCTTCTTGGTGGTTCAATCCCGGGGCTACAGCGACTCCACTTTGTAGCAGCATGGCGTTCTCGATGCTCATTGCACGTCTTACCGCCCTAAAAATAACAGTGGGAGCGAACAAGAGCCCGGGATTCATGGCCTGGTCCATTCTCGGTGGAGATGGCGCTAAAGACGAGCCCTGGCCATATCACATCCATCCCATCGGCCTCATTGGCGGCGGGGAAGTGGGCCATCTCGTTCCGCACTGTTTGCTCATCCCGTCTTAAGGCCGTGCGACGAAGCACAGAGTAAACCCAAGCCGATGCCGGTGAGGTCCAAAGGTAACTCACGTTCGAAGGCTTTCCTTTCGACAGGTGGGTTCGTCGATCCCGTTGTATTGTGCCGATCTAGAGGGGCCAGCCCCGTTCTGAAGCCACACTGGCTGGCGGCCACGCTGCAGGAACGAGAGGCTAATGCACATTTCAGCTGGCAGGGTTTCGAAAGTCGGTAGAGGAAAAAGCCTCTCCACGCTTCTTTGCACGGATTGGGGAAGTGGGACCCATTAGGGAGTGGTACTTCGACGATTGAGAGGGAGATAGAGAGGGAAAGGAAGAGGTTCCAAGGTTGATCACAACTGGAATCCTTAAAGGAAGTGCAGCCACCTGGTCAGCACAATTGATTTGATGCTCCTCTCCCTTCCAGTAAACAGCTACAATGCGCATTGTTCAAATGTCGTCTTCCAAAATTGAAAATAAGTTCTTGGACCCAAATTTAAATTCGATTCGATTCCCTAATAACATAATACAAACGCCCGTAAATAAGTAGATCCGATATGTAAAGCAACTCCCTTGAGGTTCATACTTCACCAACTTCAAGCTGCCTGTGCAAATCGCTTCTTGCGAGCCTCCATTGCTGCACTTTCCTTCTCACTCCAGTTCGATTTAGGCCGGCCCGAAGCAGCATTGCCACCACCGGTCCGCTTCTGTACTCCATTTCCACGCCCATCTCCACGTCCATCTGCACGACCGTTGCGGTTGCGGTTGCGGTTGCGACCCATATCCCGTCGCTTGTCTCCACGTCCCCCCTGGTCCTTTGGACCTCTCTTGCGGGACTTTTCGTCAGGAAGAGCCTGGTCAAGGCCGTGGACACCCACAGTGGAACCACTCTCCGCCTCGGCTCCAGTACCGAAGCGCTTTGCGCGGGACAGCTGCTTCTCGGCCTCCTTGACGGCCGTCTCGTGGTCCTCGACGATGCCGAATTTCTCGGCGCGCGCCTTGCGCTTCTTCAGTTCCTCCTCAAGCTCTGTAGCGGGAAGACCTCGGGTATAATCCACCGCAGGCTTCTTCTCTTCTTCGACTGCAGCTTCGGGCTGGGCAGCATCGGTCGCGCCGGTCGATTCCACCTTCAGGTCGTCTGTTGCGGCAGGATCAATATCCAGCTTTTGGTTCGGGACGGCGACGGGGTTGGCGACGGCGCCCTTGCCGCCAGCAGCAATGGCAGTCGCACCAGCTTCGGTCGTTGCATTCGCGGCTTCGGCGGGAACATCGTCATCCCAGTCGATCACATCTTCGGCGGCGGTGTCCGCCTTTGTCTCCGCGGGAGCGGCGGTGTTCTTCGCATCATCCTCTTGGAGGCGCGCGACCAGATCCGCCTTCTTTCCGGTGTGCGCAAGCGAGCGCGACTTGAGGATCTCGACCAAATCAGCGTTGGTCTTCTTGCCGTAGTCGGTAGCCATATTGAGAGGTGGCTTCGGATTGCGACGTGCGGTATTGAGAGGGTACGTGTCGGGGGGGGGGCGACGGGTTATGGCGAGGAATGGTAGGTGAGATGTAGTAGAAGAGTAGATCAAATGTCACTATCACTCTGCATTCCTTCTGCGATGGATGGATATGGAATGGATGCAATTGAGGGAATGAATGATGTAGCAAATGCCAATGACGACGCGACGAACCACCGACCGTCGCGATCGCGGCTGCCTTGCCACGTGATCACCAGCCACAGTTTCTATCCATGGAACGAAGTACTACTCTAACTATACAACAACATACAACAAGCTAACAAGCTAACAAGCTAAAACTTTACATAAATCGGCAGTTCTAATTGCGTACTCGGGTCAAGTGACTATTCCTCTGCATACTCTGCGCAGACCCCTCATTTAGCAGAGATGACCATGTTGCAGGTGGCAAAGAACCCTGCTGGCCAAGTCCGACACGGAATATACGCCTACAACTTGAAACTTTGTCCTTGATTTGTAGACCCATGTATCATTCGGTGACGCCGACTGGGTGATTAGTTTACTTTGTAAGCTGGCACTGCTGGTTAGGATCGACAACCCTGGATAAGACGATGGTCAGTGCTAAGCGTTACTGACAGCTAGCAAATCCTCCGAGCCGCCGGCCCAAGCGCCGGCCAGATAATACTAGGAGGAAATGGAGCTTAAGCCCTCGGAAAACTCTGCACCATCCTTGTTCTTTGAGTCATAATTGACAACTGTCCGCTGGGCATGCTGAAGGCCACCTGGTGGAGCAGATGCACGGACTGCGCCACACCGTGAATATCCGACTACGCCACGTATACTAACTATTGGCAGGTTAATATTTGCTTGTTCTTCCATTTTCTTATTGGACATTACTGCAAGTTTTTCAGAAGTAAGTTTTAAAGTCAAAAAAGTCCTGCAGATTGTAAATACTAACTATGGATCTAGATTCTATTTAGCCACCTAGCACAATACTAGTAGAAATCGCTGTCGTGAAATTGCACCTACTAGGAGCAATAGTCCTTCATAATCCATATCGATAGTTGAATCTAAGTACTACAACCCCAAATTTTTCAACTAAACACTCTAATATGGATGGCAGAGCGCCTCTAAGTCTATCTTTACGCATTTTCTTCGATGAGGTAAACTTAAGTGCATCATGACTTACACCTTCTAAATGCTAGTATTGAACATTCGCATGAAGAGTTCGGTGTCAAATCTATGAGATCGGACAACAAAGTGCAGCTCTATGATCAAAACTCACCAGGCCCTTTGCCAAAGAATTCTCCCTCGGGAACTTTCAACCATGGAACGGATTTAGCATCGTATGTGTTGGACCCAACCGTATTTCCCCCACCAGTCGAATTTAACAGCATGGTATCCCAGGGCAAAAAATATTATGATTGTCGCAATAGCCGTTCCAGTATCCATAGCTGCTTGTAGTAGGTCTAAAAATGAGAAAAATTAGAGCATTCTCATTAGAGGGGCTTTTTTTATAGACTTGCAGTTATAACGTCTCCACCAGTCGAAAGCGCGCTTGCGGATAAGATAGTTGAAAGCAAAGCCAACGATGAACCACAAAGAATATTGAGCTATTGAATCAGCTATTACTCAACGACGGAGCAATACAGTTCTTTGGACTTACTAGTATTTGCTGGTGGAATATTACCCGCCGCATTGAAGAAAATTGGAACGTTGATGTAACGGATCCAGCTATTGGGATAGCGCCGGTAGAGGAGATAGACGATTCCAGTGACAACAGGCTTAATACGGTCGTTAAAAAGACGAGTCATACCTCCCAGTCAGAAAATTTGGAAACTTACTCCAATGATAAAAAAGTACACAAGTTTGTTGTATACTTGGCCAGATTGAAACATTCGCTGCGGTCCAATGGTTCCCCAGATCACTGAAGCCTGATACATCACCTTCGCACCATTGCATGTGAAGCGTTCTTTGTTTGTCGATTTACAGAGATCTTCGATATTGCCAAGCATCCATCGTAAAACTAAGATTGTTAGTTGAACAAGTTTTTTATCCGCACGACGAGAAATTCACCTCCTGTCTGGGTTGCCGTTGCGAGGATACTCGCATAGATCTGGCCAAAAAAAAGAACACGGGGAGGAATTTTCTAGAACCATTAGTGGTATTCAACTTAAAGTTATGTGGCACATACCATATATTGGCCTAGCTTCAAGTCCTGCGCAAAGTCCATGCCATGTTTGACGGCATTGTAACCATAGCACTTGACCATCAAATTGGCTATCGGCTTTCCGGGCCAGGCATACCCTGCAATCATCTCCGTGATTATATTAAGAAAAACTCTTTGGTTGGTCGTGCCTTGAAGAAGCCCTTCGGGCACTATCAATAGGGCAGCTAAGCCAAAGCAAACCACGATGAACCCCCAGACGGGTAGCTCTGTATCCCAGTTCCTTATAGTCAAAATACCTAGTCCAAATACCACCAGCGTGAGAAGACCATACCACCATTCGGGGACCTCATCATATGCATTCATCAGTCGTCGGTGGACATCTTCACCTCCGTGGCGAACATTTTTGAGTCTGGCCCAAATCTCGGAGCCGTTGTATAGGTAGGTATGCACAACGATCGCCGTCACTGCGGCGAAAGATAATCCGTACGTGAGAGAATAAGACATCGAGATGTACATAGGAGAATACTCCTTGTAGTTGCTCTCTAGAAACTCCAAATTCTCCCCAACCACGCGCGATATGTTGTATGAGCCGCCTGTGTTGTCGAAAGTGCTAGAGGACAAGAGTGGAAGACTGGCCCGTTAGTATAAGGTTACCAGCATATTCCCTACCTAGGAAGGAGTCCAACTTACTATGCACTGTACCAAACATTCGAGTAATACAGAATAGGCGACAAGAATAAATAGAACAGCACGACGACTGCAAATGCATTGCACGTAATGTAAAATGGAGTCGTAAGCGGGGATCCTGCGTAATTGATCTGTGTCCAATCAAAGCTAATCGGTATCAGGCCCAAGCCGGAATTCATCTGTGAAGTTAGTTACATTTCTTGATATTATCGAAGATGAATTTAACTTACTCCGAAAATCGTATTGACCTTTTGGTTGTTGGGGAAAATCCATGTCATAAAAGCAAACGTACTGAGGCTTGTCCAGATGTAATCTGGAAACCAGAATGCCACGAATGCAATTGCTGTGACGTATGAGAAAAAGCGGTAGCGAGTGATAGTCCAGCCATTTGCTGGCTTGCGGCTTTCGGGCTCGTGGAGTGCTCGGAAAAGCACCGTTGAAGACAGAGAAGTAGGCCAAATCAATGCAGCGGGATACACAATCCATCGACGCGCGAGGCCTGTCAAACCAAACCTAGATATGTTCAGTACTAGTAGCTTATCAACCCATTCTTCTTGGAGAACCTTACCCTATCATCTGTGTTGTCAAAAGATACAAAAATGAGAAGCCAGCCCCAAGATCGCGATCCCAGTAAACAGGGCTGACGATTGCGACCAATGCACCTTGCGCATAAGCAGTGGAGGCGCTTATGTTGACGCACTAATATTCTGCGTTAGGCCTTTCTTTTCTCTCGTCTCGCCTTACCGAGACTTGACTTACAATCACAATGAAAGCGTGCTCTTTGATAGTAAACTTTCCTGGGTTGATATCAAATGACAACTGTCCCAGGGGTACTCTCCATCTAGGAAGCTTTTCCCAGGCCTTCCCAATAGGAAAGACCAGAATCTGAGCGACAACATAACCGATTGTGAGGGAAGGCTAAAGCCAGTCAATAGATGTACGAGTTTGATGATAAGGAAGACCCACATATCGTAAGCCAAAAAATTGATTGACTCCTGAAAACAAGATGACAAATATTGTCATCAGTATCCAGGCTCGGACAGCTGTGATTATGATCAGACTCAGTTAAATCGCGAAGATTGCTGTTTGGAAACTCACTATTGCACGCTATGGTAGGATCATCTTTATTTGACACACAAGCAGCGACCTCAGGGACTATGTCAGGTATGTGAGCTTGAAATCCATTTTCGGATCCACTAGTCATGTATCACGTCAACATACAGGGTGACTCGTCTCCCTCAACATTCCACTTCAAGGCTTCGACAGGTGTGATTTCTGTCAGCTCTGATCGCAACAACTTGTCACCTGGATCTTGTTTGGAGTTTTCTGCTTCCAGATCTGCGGTCGGCCTTTCCGACTGATCTGGAAGTTTAATGGAGTCGTTCGTTTCCATCTTCTATCCCCTGATTACGGATAGACTATCGACTTGATTCAAAGAGTCGGTATGAAAAAATCCTGAGATATCATTCCTCTGATAACAAGAACGCCTACTTATACTTTTCATGGTACCTTGTAGCCCTGTATGTAATGGTCACGATATATCGGCCAAAAATCGCAACAGGCCTACCTCCGAGTGCAGTAGTTACGGTGGCTTACGCCGACTCGAAGTCTAGTACACACTTACTAGTAGGTACCACTTTACTAAAGTCGCCAGCCCGACATCAGTATGATATTTTAAAGGATTAGCCAGTCGATCATTCGATGGTTTTATTCTGACTCCAAAAATACGACATTGTTGGCTCGTTTTCATCTCAAAATGAAATCCGAGTTTCAATCGTCCCAATACCTGAAGTAAACGTTTTGTGGAATTGCTATATGTAATAGACTAAGGCCGAGTGGATTATTTGCGGAACCCAATCTAACTTGATCACGCCTACATGACCAAAGATTATGTGATCCTAGTGGTTTTTGGGGAAGCTTTAGGGCTGATATTAAAGTTATTAAGCTTAAAAGCAGCACTTGGTAGATTGCCAATTGGTATTAAGGTCAAAGAACCCTTTCAGATAAGTTAGGATCGCTAATTTGAGATGTATACAATTATTTTCTTCTTGGGGACGAATTTTCTATGCCAAGTAGGCATGCCAACAGGTGAATCCTCGGGGTAGTTTCGGTACTATGCTAGTTCATGGCGTACACTGGGTTTTATCGTTGGCGTGATAACGCCGCCTTATGGGCCTATCTCTTAGCTCAAACCCAAATTTGTCTGGAACAAGAATTTGTTGCCTATGTATACACATCGGAGAAGCATTAATATGTTTTCGTATTTGACAACCCCATGTCTAAATAGGAAATCGCAGCATTTGAACAGACCGAGAAAAACCTTAGGAAGACACACGTACTAGTAATAGATATTTGGCCCATACCACAGCTGAAGCGACCCTAAGTCAACTCGTTTCTTGCTCGATCAAATAATTACCAGTAGCTTTTTCCATTCGCCGCTCCTTCCATCAAGGCCATGGCTTAACTAGGTCTACCTCATCCCTCCTCCTCCTTCTTCTTCTTCTTCTTCTCCATCCCCACCTCTGATTATTTTCTGGGCTGTCTCCACGCTCGTCTCAACATCGTGGAATCTCAACTGTCTCACTTGCCTTCTTCTGCGGTCGTTTATTCAACAACTTCAGTCTGGACCTTAGCCAGTTCAACCTCATGGGTTGAATCTTAACTCCTGCGCGAGGGCAATTCTACGGTATCTTTCTCTGCTGTTCTTATTTGAGGTAGAATTTATTGACTGGCCACACTCGCAGATTCCATTGATGCGATATGATGCCACGCCCAGATTCCCGTACCAATCATTGAGCACTGCGGTTTCCGCTTTACGATCGAAGCATGGGGAAGGCCCTAGTCAGATACCGTTATCCTGTCCCAGAGGCTAGAGGATCATTCTGGTCATTTTTGAGGTATAGTCGCCTCAGGCACCTAGAATGCCCGCCTTTGTACTTCAATAATTGCAGATTGCTTCACTCCACACACAATACACAGTTTCCCTGTCTCGATATTCGTCTCCAATTGAGCCTGAACCTCAACAGTTATCCTCGCCCGAAATTGCCGGATCGCCTCTTCTACGTGTTCAGTACCAATACTTACGGCTCTGGCGTCTCATCTTCCAACCTTGGAAGGATGCTAATATACTTTTTGCAGAAGCTCCCCGGTCTGAGTTACCTAGATTACTACTAACTAGTAGTCGGTAGTAGAATATGATCATCTGCTGGTGGGGCCATCCTGCACTGAATAGTGACAAAGTTCAAATTAATAAACTTGAAATTACATTTCATCCATAGAACCAATATTCTGCGGCATATTCGACGAGTACGGTATCATTCTGCCCCGCGCATGTTGTTGGAGCTACCCCATCGACGGTCATTACTCGATAGACTTCCTAGGTATTGGGTCAGCACGGTACTAAGTCGTAACTATACTCGGCTATTTTGCTTACCTTGACGCCCTTGCAATCCTTGCAATCAAGCTTCAACCATGGAACGTCGCTCTCATTCTTTCCAGATATACGTGAAACTCTTGTTGGTGCACTCACAGATGCATCCTTCTTGCATGCCATCCAATCTTTTGACCCACTCATGCTCAAATCAAAGAAAGGATCTCCTGCGGCATCGAAATAATGTTCACCGATGATCAGGTTGCTCGAGTTTGTAGTTAGGACCAAGGCCTCGACCATGAGAGCAAAGGACCCCAGCGGGGTTTGAGCAATGACTGCAGGGAGTTCGTGAAGCAATGTCACTGACTGTGATGCTATGCAAGATGCATCAAAAAGAGTAGCCACTGCCCCGACCGCTACCGGTATTGCAGACTTTTTTGAAGAATGTGAGCCCTCGGTGGATGAACAAGAATAATTCTGGGTACCACGCCCCAGGGCAATGTACTTGAGGTCCAAATGAGAAGACGGTTCTGGGAGTTTGATCTTCGTATAGTTCATTGGAAGAGTCACATTTTGGAGGGAGCAATTTCCCAAGCTGATATTATCAAGCTCGGTGGTGATGCGGGAGAAGGTAGAGGCCAGTCGCAAAGGGCCGGGAAGGGCAGATGCTCCTAATAGACATGTAGTCAGGAGTATCAGGGGCGTCAAGGAGATTTGCAGCATGATCAAAGCAATTATGCGGAGCAGGATATGGGTGTTTCTTCGGGAATCGAGCGTCAGTCAAGAATGGAAAGATTGCAACGAGGATAGAAGGCTAGAGATCGAATTTGTGAAACCAGAAACAAGAGGGGATAGACTTTACTTAAATAAGCGAGAGCACTAAGGAGGCTAAATTCCAGCACAAAGAAAGAACGTGCACTCTTTCTTTCTCGGATACTAGGTAGGAAGTCGACAAGGCTTACTCCAAGTCCAACATGTCCCAGCTTTAAATGCTGTGCACAGCGGGTCCTATTTCTTTTGAGATGCACCACGTCAGAATAGGCGGTTATATCTATTCAGCCCAACAATTAAAAGCCTCAAGGCTTACAGAATGCGGCCAGCATCGAGAAATTCATACTAAAGCTGGCCTCTTTGTTCGCCACTCTGGCAAAGGCAAACCAAAAGCTTGGCGAGAAGGCATTCGATCTATGAAGGCCCGGTAAGTAACTTTAGCTCCATTTCAGTGACCAATTACATGCCTAAACAGAGGTTACCATCTAATATAGCCTCGAGAATGTTACACCCCTAAGGCATTATCCTACTAGCCGCCTGAGAACTATCGGTGTGACCTCAATTCATTGCATCCTGAGTATCATGGGGCCAACAGATCTGAGACTTCTTAAGCAAGCAGTTTCATCATGATTTTTTTAAAGAACGGGATGTTCCCGTACTACTAGTGAGACTCTACCTAGGTAGTCCGAACAAGATTTTTCTATCTTACAAATAACTCGAGGACCACCTTGAGGCAGGGCACATTGCTCAAAAGCCCAGACACCGACACCGCAAACAACTTGAAAACTTAATATATGGAGTGAATCTCTGTCCATATATTTAAAAATAGGTATCTTGAAAGTTGTTCCACTGAAACGGCAAGTGTGTGACATAGATAGACCCTAAGCGCCCACCCAGCGCCACGGTGAGTTTGGAGTGAGGCATCCCCCGAGGTCAATTTCCCGCTTCCAAAAGAGGACAATTATCGGACTAGTGTCAAAGTCAAAGGAAGGCCTTTGCGCTATCCATTGCTATGATCAGACCAATTCGACAATTGACACAATTGAAGTCTTCGTGCATGGCATAGATGGACTAAAACTATAGTTAACTATTTTGTTGCCTTGTTGCCTGAGGCACAAATTGATAGCTGATCATCGGATCACGTGAGTCCCACTAGCGCGACCGTCACGGGTGAAAATGCACGTCGCGGCAGGGCCATCAAACGACACAGCCCCATTATCATCAATGCTGCCGTTCTAACGGTGCCCGATCCGGATGTAGCTGCTGTTACGCATTCTGCGCGATCATACACTCATCCTTCATACCTGATCCTTGATTCGACATCACCATGTCCGACGGTGCGCATCCTATGACTCTTCTCACTGACCCATTGCTGATTACTTCTATAGCCGATATTGAAGCTGTCCGGCGCCTCCAGGCGGAGCGTAATGCCGCCGCTGCTGGCAAGAATGGCTCGAAGACTTTTGATCCCTCTGCTCAGCGCACTGACAACTCGACGAAGGCCTCCCTCACCGAATCCTTTGACACCACTCTTTACGAACGGGAAGGGGCAGATCGATTCTCTGGCTACGATACTTCTATTGCGGTCGATGGTGGCGATGAAGAAATGGAGGATGCGAATGATGGCCACAACTTGGTCGGCCAATACACCGCTACCAGAAGCCAAATCGATGAGATGGCCCGTGGCAACGGAGTCGAGGAGGAAGATATCCTGACAGGCCGTGAAAAAGCGGCAAGAATTGCGGATCGCGAAACCGATTACCAGAAGCGCCGATTCAATCGCGGGGCTCTGACCCCGACCCGCGCCGATGCCTTTTCCGGAGACACAAATGTGGAGGGAGAAGGACAGACGTACCGAGAGATTATGGCTGAGCGTGAGCTCCAAAAGGAGGAGGAACGTGTTCAAAAGCTGATTCAAGAGAAGCGAGAGCGTGGTGAAGAAGTCCCCGAGCACCAGCCCACTCTCAAGGCCGCAGAAGACGACAAGGAAAACGACGACGATGGCTCAGCCGCCGCCGGGCGCAAGCGAAAGAAGCGCTGGGACGTTTCATCAGAGTCCACACCTGCTACCAGCGCCACCGAAGAGCCTGCCGAAGCGAAAACCAAGCGGTCGCGATGGGATCAAACACCCGCCCCGGGTGCGCCAGACGAAGGGTCCAAGCGACGTTCACGATGGGATCAAGCACCATCCCTCACTTCTGCTACTCCGGTCGGAAACCAAGGACTTGCTACCCCAATGCATCCGTCTCAAG